AAGCTATCATTAGTGGATTATCGTCAATCCTGCAAGTCATAGATGTGAGAGCTCGTTTTGTTACTGGGATGTTTCTTGGTTCAATGGCCGTCACAGAGACAGGGTCAGAATAAGGCGGACCTAGGTCGCCTGGAGTCACGACTTCGTCGTCTGAGTTCACATCTGTGCAACGCCCCGACCAGCCAGGATCCCTCTGAACAAAACCGGAGGGATGTCATAATCAAGTATATGTTTTTTGACGTGTTCTTGAATTTACCCGACGTCGAGTTGCACTTAGGATGCTACAAGGCATACAAGTCAAAGTAACACAGTTGCACAACCGTGGTCTCGCATACGCATCTGTTACGCAAGCTATCATCGAATGCTCCAGCGAAATCGGCGATTATCTAGAGGATTATTCGGTTGTGTTCTACTCTCCCAAGATTATTTGCATGCACTCACTATTCTGCCTTATTAGTTTTCATCTCAAATGCAGATTGCACACAACGTGCAAAAAGCGTTGGCAATTCTAGAGACGCAGCATGATTCTGAAAGATTCGTCACAACGCAGTTAACCGCGGCTGTCACACTTGACTGTGTGAAACTGGTTGACGCAACGGGCTACGAACATTCAATATCAGTGACCTTTTGCACCTCATTTTAGGTTTGCCTCCCCAATGGAAAATCTATACTGGGAAGCTTGCTCATCAAATTCTCTTTAGCAATTCAATAAGATACTCCAGGATCTGTTCGAATGCGAGTCAATTGAAGCTCGAGTACAAAAACAGTATATGAAGCAAGGACAGTACGATTTGTGCATTGACGATGACAAGCAGGTAACCCGACTGACAAACCATAAATGGCCAAGCATTGAAGCAGGAACAACGATCGTCATGAGGATCGTTTTTGAAGAAGAAACACGCCCTGAAGTAAAACATAAATGTCATTTTTGCGGCACTGTCAATCAAATTAGCGCCAAGTATTCACAGATTGGTTGCTCAATCATTTGGTGAGTATTTTTGTCTTTTGGATGCTGGCGGTGCCTGACAATCGAAAGTCGAAAATGCAAACGACGATTTCAGATCTCCAACGGAGGCTCCAGGACGACACGATCCTCCATTGACTCCGTTCGCGAAAATGAAGCAGAAATGCACCTTATTCGCAACTTTCACATTCAACAGATTGTATGTTGCTACGAAACTTCACTAGCAGTCTTAGACTGAAAACTCAACAACCTTAACCCACTCACGACAATGCTCAGACCGTGTACCGCTCTCAGAGAGTGCGTGTTCTCGTTTTTTGGGTCGCTTACCCGACGCTGATGGTCCTCTGCCCGCTTCCCGCTCTCAGGTGGTGCGTGTTCTCGTTGTTTGGCTCGCTTACCCGACGCTGATGGTCCTCTGCCCGCTTCCCGCTCTCAGGTGGTGCGTGTTCTCGTTGTTTGGCTCGCTTACTCGACGCTGATGGTCCTCTGGCCGCGCCCGCTCTCAGTCGGTGCGTGTTCTCGTCGTTTGGCTCGCTTACCCGACGCTGATGGTCCTCTGCCCAAGTCCCGCTCTCAGAATGTGCGTATTCTTGTCGTTTGGCTCGCTTACCCGACGCTGATGGTCCTCTGGTCGCGTCCCGCTCTCAGCCCGTGCGTGTACTCGTCGTTTGGCTCACTTACCCGACGCTGATGGTCCTCTGGACCCGTCCCGCTCTCAGAAAGTGCGTGTACTCGTCGTTTGGCTCACTTACCCGACGCTGATGGTCCTCTGGACCCGTCCCGCTCTCAGAAAGTGCGTGTTCTCGTCTTTTGGGTCGCTTGCCCGACGCTGATGGTCCTCTGGCCGCGTCCCGCTCTCAGAGAGTGCGTGTTCTCGTCGTTTGGCTCGCTTACCCGACGCTGATGGTCGTCTCTTGATGTTTCTTAATGAATAAAAAATGGATTTGCATCATCCCCGTAGATTTAGGAGTTAGACGAGTGAGAAGGGAGACTAACATTCAAAGAATGAGACTGTAGTTGAACGTTGATACTTCTGGGCTTCGTCTCGTTGCGTAGAGTACTTGTTTACATGCCAGGGTCGAGCGCCGTAGAACAGCAGCTCCAGCTACTTCAAGAATTTTTATCAAATTCGCTTTCTTCTTAGACGAACCCACCGTGCTCGCCGGACACGATGTTATGCTGCAAAGATTCAGTGCTTCAGGAATCAACACAAGTAGTCCTCAAGAAACATACAACGTATCTCAGTTCCTCAGAACAAACAAGTCATACATGGTAGTAGTACAAAGCGAGTGATGTTACATATTCGGTCAATGACATCAAGCTAACTACTCCGTCTTGTTCAAAACTTCACCTCCCCAGATATTTCACCAGCATATGTGAATCCCATGTGGACTCGCAGCATAGTGTTTTCCTCTGTACTGCCTTCTTCTTTACCACACAAGGATGATGGGTATACCCACTCAACGTTCTCGCCCCACAGTTTGAAGAATTTCTTGATAATGGCTTGAGACTCTTCAGATCCATCTCCAGAAGCGAGCAGGTATTCGTACACTGCACGCCATGCACTGTCCAACGCACCAACAACCCAACTGCAAGTGACATTGCCCTTGAATTGTAATCATCCAAAAAAACGACTGTTTTCACTCACGCATGACGGGTGCTGATGACTTCTCCAGCGAAATGGAACCTCTTGTTATGATTTGGAGCGCTAAGAGACGTGTATAAATCCTGGAAATCTCCAGGCCCAAACTGCGCAAAGGCACCTGTGGTGGAGTGAGCGTCGATTGGATCACATTAGTATCTACAGACTCACCCATGGTAAGCGGGTCGTAGTTCCAGTCCCATGCATGCATGTCCTTGTATTGGCTCAACAAGAACTCATAAGTCGCTTCACCTTTGTGTACTGCCGCGAGATCGCGCAGCACGAGTTCCTTTAGTTGCTCGATGTACTCTTCTTTACCGGTGCCGATGAGCGCTCCCAAGCGTTCTGCGTCATTTGTCCAACAGTAGCTCGCGATCAGCACTGTGGATGGTGAGGCAGAATCGACCCCGTAAGAGGGGTAGACGATAGTTCGAATGGGAAGGTCGGTGAATGATTGGCCTCCTACGATATTGAACAGGTCCGTCCACCACGCTGATGTGAAGCGGACCCCAATTTTGATTGAAGGACCGTACTGTAGCTTGCGCAATGCGTTTTTCTGCATCACGTTTAAACCAGCACCAGAGAGATCGATCGTCCGTAAGCACGGCAGAGGGATGGTCGATATAACATGTGAATATGTGCGGCTAGCACCTTCGCCCCGCACAGAAACCTCCATGGTGTGATCACCCTGGCAGATGCGAGTGACTCTCTTATTGAAGTTGATGAGAGCATTGGTGCCATTATTGGTGATGTATTTCGTCATGTAGTCGATGAGCACATGAGAACCGCCGCTAGGTACGGGAAGTATGAGAGCACGAATTTGGAGACAACGGGCATGCTTGCTCGAAACACTTCCATTCTACGTCTCCGATGATTTCTGAATCGGCCTTGGCGAACGCCAGCGATTCGAGAACTGCTTCAGTTAAAGCGCGATCATACGAGCCGGTGCTGTCGTCGAATGTCTCGCACCAATTGATAACATTATTGGAAAGATGCATAGGCGGAAGTTTGAGGTTGACACTGGGAATGTACTTGAATGACATATATGCGCGAAGCGAGTATGCGTCGTTCTCCTTCATGACCTCCCACCCCTTAGTGCATTGCTTCTCCAGATCGTTTATGAGTATGCGAGCGAACGGCTCAACGACGTCGTCGACAATATTCTCTACTCCCACAGAGATATACTCGGACTCGACACCCATTTTCTCGGCACGGAAGTCAGGAGGGTGCGATGTATCAGAAACTTGATACTGTTCATTGTTGTAGTATAGGAAGGATCCTCCTTCCCTCGCCTCGTAATAGTAATTGATAAGTTTGGACTTGAGAGGTACGGGACCGTCGTTGAGCTTTGAATAGTCGATCAACTCGCCCAAGCGCTTCATGATACCGGTCTTGTATTTGCCTTCACTGTCTTTCTGCGGCAGGGGGGACCTCATGGCGCCAACATCCTAGTTAGCGAGAGAGAAAAGAGGTTAGTTAGTTAGCATTATTGGTACGGCAGGATCAAATTAACATACGTAGTAGTCATATTCCTCGCTATTGGGGAACTTGTAGGTGAAAAGGCGGCCACCGGTGTGGTCCGACGCCTCCAAGATCTCGTAGTTGATGCCCAGCGAATCTAGCATGAGGGCGGTGTATAGACCACCAACTCCTGCCCCTAAAATTCCAACCGGGAGGCTTGACTTACTTCTAGCGCCAACAGAGGAGAGCGGTAGCTGCGATAGCGTCGGTAGCTTCGGTAGCTGCGGAGTCTGTCCACGACCAGCCTGTGGCTCGGATTGTCCAGGAAGCTTTTTGAGAAGAACACTGTCATGATCATGGATAATGTTTCGACCCCAGTAGCCTAACACGTCTCCTCCAAAATTCATGGTAAGCGTGAGTGATATTGAAGATGGGATGTGTTGGATAAGACTCCTCTGGTATGAGCCCAACCGTAACCCACATTATATATCGTATTTTTCATTCGGAGAATAAGGATTGACCAATTCCGTAACCGCACAGCGCAGTGAACATTTGGACAGGAACATTCGTACTTAAAATACTTGATGCGAAGGCTGTCAGCTGGGAAGTTGTGCTGATTTGTGCATTCTAGCGCGCTGTCAAGTGCTCTCAAACTACGAGGCATGTAATACTGGTCACGAGCTACCTGTCAATGAATCACAAACATGAATGTTTGGTAAGAAAGATACGCCTTTGTCCACTTACGCGAAAATAGAGGTCTTCCATATTTCATGTTGCTGCTATGATCCGTGGCCAACCCTGTCCTGGTTCCAATTGATTGGAAATGTGGCACATCTCGACTGCGCAATGGAAGTATGAACGCTTCGAAACTTGTCAGATGACATGACCGTTAGGTTTATCAAGCTTTGACTGCCTCAATCTGATATGAAGACTCACCTTGCAGATGAAATTTCTTCGTTGATGATTGAGAGCTTCTTGTTCTGATAGATCCAAAATGTGCGAAATGGGAGAAACTCAATTTGAAAGATAGAAATAGCTTACGTTCATTCCTCGTGACCAAAGTCTGGAAAAAGGCCACCGCTTCTGTCGTCTGAAATTTCGCGAGCGGACTGAGAATGAAAGGAAGATGTTGGATCCGAGGAAGGCGCTGCCCAGGCCGGCAATTCAAACTAGAAGTATCAAGCCCATACTATTGGCAGTATTGTCAGTTTAATCCTCGAGCGTCATGGAGTGCCAGTGAGTCTGCGAGTTGGAGTCTGCAAGGATTTTGAAGGATTCAGGATATCAACGTTATGAGCAAGGCCACAAGGTTATTTCTGGAACGAGCGCCTAGGGTCCGACACGGCTCCACTTGGTTGCCGGTCCGACCTCATTTGGACTTGATTCACTATTCGCTTGCTCTTCGCTGGCGTTTTCGCTTCCTCATGGTCCTTCCTTGGTGAATAAAGGCGCTACGCCTCAACCCCGGACCCCACCTGTATCACTCATAATTTCAGATCGTGATCTTGCATACCGTCATGTGTCTTTTGCGAGCGTTTGGCTATGTACCTGTACGCTACAGGATGAGGAGAAAATCGGCTATATGATGGGCACAAGCACGCTGAAATGGAGCGGGTCGAGATCTGAGAGTGGCAGCATTTTATTGCTTTACACACTTACATCGAGGAGCCATACATCAATGCCTTCGTAAGCCTTTTGATCTGCCTGATACTTCTGCATGTTCTCACTTGTCGAGTAACTCTGCTTTCATGCGACTTACCGTAATTATCAGGTCCCAACTTCCACCTCTGAGGGCATTGCCCAGGATGAGCCTTTGCTTAAGGACATGATCGAAGACTATGTTATGACAGAGTGCCGTCTTATGGCACAGTACTGGTTTGAAGTGCTCAAAACGCTCCAGTCAATCATTTGCTATTTCTCTGTAGGCACTTCAACCGAAAGTCGCTACCAAGCACGTTCCCGTACCATCTACTGCAGCTGCGGAGACTTACTTCTAGCTCGGTGCAGGTCAACCGGGGACCCCTTCCAGCTGTGAGAATGAGGAATGATGTCATATTGTTCCAGGCTTGTATCTTTTACTCTGGTATTTATTTAAACATCAATTATGTTCTATTTATGCCTTGTTCCGAAGTATTCGTTCATATTTACTCCATTGCAGTACTCCGAGTCCAGGATGTAAGAGTAGTCAAATACATGAATCTCATACAATATTGTTCTGATCCCCCGGATAATACATATTGATGCATTTGTGATCGATGATCATCCGCACAGATCATAGCACTCTGTGAAGCACGACATATGATCATCTTAACACTTTCGATGTAAATGGTTGATTGGCTGCAAGTCCACGACGAGAAATCCACCTTCAGACCATACAGCATCCTTGAATATGATGCATCGATGCGCATAGTTTGTACAGTGTCACCCTAGAGAGTTTAGTTTAGTTTTGGCATCGTACGCCGCTCCGATTTAGCATCATTGATAGTTGATCTCATCATTGATTGAAATAAACCCTAACCACAATGTGATTCATGTGAATCCTGTGACATCCGATATCCGACACTTGAACTCGTCATCTGCAAACTTAGCGACTAAAGCATCCACCGCGACTGATACCAGTTCAAGATTCCATTGGTCCTTCCTGCTTACTCCGAATTGTGAAAGTCTCTTGGAACCCATCGGCATCATTGCCGGAGCGGATGACCCCATTCTGCGATACGCTGAGCTGGTAAGTAGTTTATAACTTTCCTGCAGCGACCGAAGGGGGAGTCCTTCAAGTTGTTTGCCACATAGTAAGGTACAGTAAGTCACAATGCTATTCTCCTCAGGCTGAAGCCGATCAAAACTTGCCTACTGCCGCTATAAAATTTTGTTGACGAAATTATAAAGACCAACTCTTCTAATCCCATCAAATAAAATGTCTTCTGGGCAAACGCTTGCCCAGATGAATCTCACGTGTATGTGGCTCGAAGCCATACTTTACGGTAGAGTGTAAACTTTCGCAGAAATTGCAAATGCTGAATACTTGTGCAGGAATCAAGTAATTCATTCACTTTCAATAGGGTGTGGGGACAGATCTGAATCAAAATCGCAGTTGTATATTATTCGGGACGTGTATTTGTGTCATCTCCATTAGGAATCCAGCCCACAGGTGAATATTCATTACTGCACTCTCGTCTGCGTCCTGATTTGTTAATAGCAAGCTTCTGCTCGGTGCCACCTCGTTTCAATTCGCGCTGGCAACTGCACATGTGATATTGATGTTTGTACAAGCGATGATTGCATTCACGAGCACGATGAACACTGGTGTCCCCGGCGGGGCAAACTTTTATTATGCAGCTACCGCAGGAAACCGTATTTTCTTAGCTTCTCAGTCAATGTACTTTCTCAATGTGGGTTTGAAATTTTATCTCTCTCGCTTGACTTTGAACACAATAATTGTCGATGCAGGTATTTGCTCAAGAACTACTTTTGGTCAGTACATACGGCGAGAGAACATGTGTATTTTCTCATGCACAAACCTTTTTTAAAGATATGGAGACTCTACATCGTCTGGAATCAGAATATCAAAGTTTGCATTGTACCGGTGATTCAGATCATGGATTTGGACGCTGCTAATGACACTGAACCGCCTTCTTTAGCTCATTATGTGGGTAGCTCACTGTGGTACGCATCCATCTTTCAGTTACTGCATCATCATGTAAACATGACTCCCACAGTTACCGCTTCTATCGCCGTCGCCTTGCTCGCGCCCAAGCACACCGACATCTTTTCGCATACTTTTCGAGCCTTCGCATTGTCCGGATGGTCACTCGAGATGATCTTAAATATAACAGTAACTACTGGTATCGTGTACCGGATCTGGCGAACAGGACAACAGACAGCTGCTCTGACCACTTGGGGCACCTTCAAGTACAAAAGCACCATCGTGGCGATCGTGGAATCTGGGGCGCTCATCACAGTTTGTACATGCGTGATGTTCTTTTTATGGGTAGCAGGTCATGTTGCGGGGTTAGTGGCAATTGATATTGCAATGCAAGTCGCTGTAAGTCCCCAGTTTCCGAGCGTTCACAAAGATGATAACTGATCAAGGGTTAAACATAGACAATGACCCCTCTCCTCATTATCGTCCGCGCCGGTCTTAAACGCGCTAATTTCAGCCTTAAAGTTGGAACATCTGGGAGATACTCGTCATCCCACCCTAGATCCTTGGAGTTCAACGCCGTTACAATCGGCGATTACCCAATGGACATCACATCTAAATATAGCACAGGAGGAAGTGATAATTAGGAGAGAGATGTTGGTCTCGGAGGATGAAGTATTTGTAAGCGACTACAACGTCACGAAGCCCATGTCGAGACTGAAGACACTAGTCTGAATGCGACTTGTGGTGGGGACATATCTTTGGGCACTACTGCGCTTTTTCGGGAAATCCTTTCCTACCTGCATGACAACTGCCTCTGCACAGAAATCAACAAGCCTACAGAGAAGTCTACAAAGTGTTGGTATAATGCTGTCTGTATTTGAATAGCAGGGTCTCTTGTCTTGATGTGATGACTATCATCAGGATACAGGCGAGGCATTACACCGTGAGGATCTGCGGTCGCGAAAGTCCGACTAGGAACGAGCATTTGACGATGGTTGGTCTCAAGCTTCAGCGTCATTGCAATCATGTAGATTGTGATTGAGGGCAGAAATGCCTTGGGGAGAGTTGACGTGTACCAATCTCGGTACTGGTCATAGACAGTGCCCGTAGTCGGAAACATGGTTTGCACAAGGTCCCAATAAGGAACTCGGAAAACGTCGCGAAGGGCAGTGATGTCACAGCCCGAATCTCGCTCCTGGTGAAAAGTCACAAGGCAGTACTTCTTTCATCATCCCTGATCATGACCATGACTACATCCATATCTTGGTTTGGATATAATATTTGCAGCGAATTCGAAGGCATCAACAAGGCGACCTGACGAGTGCCCTTACATCACGCCGCCCTGCAGGGGTCAGCAGTTCATGGATATCAGCATCAATGTTCATCCCCTCGGACCCCAACGTGAAATCGAACAGGGGCGAGGCGTACCCACAACCACAACGGGTTGATCGAAAGAGCACCCCAAAGTAAGTGAAATGAAGAAGCTGAGCAAAGCGATGTCTCCTGGCGTAGCATCTGCCATGCCTTGGACATACGTTCATGCCTACAATATGGTCGATGCTCATCGATCAAACCATTATGACCATCTCTGGATGAGGAGCAGCTTCATATTCGTTTTTCCGTACGCGCTTCTCGGGGAGAGAGTATATTTCAATCCGACGACCACTGACGTGACTTCTAGATTCCCCTCGCTCATTTCAATCGCGATATCAGGCGGGCAGTTTTGGGCGACAGCTGACATTTTATCATCCATATTTGCCGCGATCGAGAATGGAATGGAATGGAAACTTTGAGTGATCGAATGTGACTTTGTGCATATTCACTGCGCATTTCGAACGAATCTTCAATGCATTCCAAGTCGGTCAATAAAGAAATGGTATCAGTGATCTGAAGTTCTCTGGTACTGAGCGGCGTATGACGAACTCTTTCCCAGGATTTGACTCCCTCAGCATATACCTGCATGACTCCAACCAGCCTCAGGCTTCAGCCTTGAGCGATAACTTTTGAAGAGTACTACTACTGGACGCAAAAGGCTAGCAACTTGGCTGAAATCTTCATCTAATTCCCAAAGTGAAAGTCAGTTCAGTCACTAGAGAGGCTTTGGTAGGGGTTGAGTGGAAAACTCGACTATTGAAGACAACCGCAAGGCTCAATGCCAGTTAGCACTCGAAGCACTAATAAACGTACGAACGATCAAGCAGATACAGCCCATCATGTGTTCAGTCGTAGGAGAAATCATCAATTGACAGACGGAGCCCAAAGGATAATAAAAGAATGTACCGTGACAAATGTGATTGCGTGCGACATAAGGTATGTATCATACAGTATTAAGTCCAAGCATAGCTCATAGCGTAATGATCCACTCACCGAGATCTAGTCTACATACCGAAAAAACAGTCCAAGACAAATTCACTCCGCCTCCGCATCATACTCCTCATCCCAATTTTTCCTCGTCCCGTCCCCGTTGACGCTCAGCCAGGCCTCGAGTCTACGCCCCAATTCCCCACCCCGCCCACCACAAATGTCACCAGTGGTATTTAACATCTGCTCCTTTTCCCGCTCTTTCTTCAAGGGTATGTGCCCAGCCTTCTTTCGCCGCTTGAATGACGCAGCATGCAAAGCACCGGAATTTGCCCCACAGCTGCTCGCTTGACTCTCTGCGCACACAGGCACACTCGAGGTAGAAAGCGCATCTGCAGTACACTCGGCATCTTTGAACCATTCGTCCTCAGTGTCCTCGGGCCCAAGTATACTATCAACGAGGCCTTCCTCCCATCCGTCCCATTCGACACACCTGTGAGCCATGCGCAGGCGTGCACCGATGGCTTCGTAATGCAGCCACTCTTTTGCAATCGCAACAATATTCACGGGTTTACCATTGTTCTTTCCCTGGTGCGTTGGCCGGGGGGCTCGGCCACAAGCTAAATCCTCGACCGCTGCTCGGAACATACGAGTCGTGAACGGACTGGATTGCAGGAACGTTGGAAGATGCGCGCATGCCCAGAGTGGTCGGGTAGTCGTGGATTCCCAGTCGATAACACACGTCTGTTTAGGATCACTCATCAGAACGGAAAATATATGCAAGTAGGCAAAGCTTACTATTTCTGTGGGGTTATTTTCGTCGACAAACACGTTCTCCAGACTTATGTCATGGCAGTCCAGGCCGAACTCTTCTGTCTCCCCAGAATGATCCGCGCATGCCCCGAGTCTCTCCATCATGCGCATCCAGCGACCCATCTCTTTTCGTACAGATTCCTCACGTCGCATGATGTGGGCAATTAGGAACGTGCTTCTCTGCATCCGCCTGTAATCCCTGTACATGACATCACCAGGGCCATCCCATTCTTCCTCGCTTTCCTGTGCATCCCACTCATCACTATCATCACTCTGATCGCCGGGCACTGCGTTCAAATGGTGATGCCTGGAGGATTGTATCTCATCTGGGTCAAGATGTAGTCGGTGCGGTGCCGTCTTGCCCTCATTCTCAAGAACCACGCCCCGGACCTCCCGGTCCACACACGAGGCAAGATACGAATGAGTACTAGACCACGGACCACGGTCGATCTCATCTGGATGGGAGAGATCTCCGCGATTTGATCCGAAGAAGGGCCATGATACGATGGGACCAATATGAGGCTCTCTAGCTGAAGTTGGCCATGAGACTGTTTTGTCTAGGGAACCCGTGGCGTTGGAAAAAGAGTTCATCGACAACAGTGGCATAAATTTAAAGCCGCTAATTGTAGGACGCGTCGCCGTTGGTGTCGGAGAGTTTGATGACCCGACCGAGAGAGGGGTCGGGGCGCCTACGCCTGCACCCTCTAGATATAGGGATCCGATATGCGAGAAACGTTGTGCGAACAAGGGTACTATGATAGCTGCGACATTTGCGAACAGACACTTGAGTTCTTGATTAGAGAGCGTGTGGTATACGCGTGACAGGGGAACTCCTTTTGCCTGACATGACACGTGACCTCCAAGATACTTGACATGAGAACGATATGATAACGTACCCTAGACATGAGGATATATTCACCCCCTAGGCGATTATAGGGATTCGCATCATAATGATAGACATCCGGAACAGGAATTGATGTTTGTTTGCGAAGATAGTGCATAGTAGCCACTTCAGATTCGGTTTTGAGGCGAGGCATGAACCGACGAGCGACGCGAGCAACCAGTTCGCGTGTGTCAACAAGAGTAACGAGATATGCCTGCAGCAAACATCAGGATGTCAAAATAAATAGGGTGGCCCCTGAGCTGCACACTCGCCTTATGAAACGTCCCTGAGGTTGTGATTTAATGTTCTGGTAGTCCTAGAAGACGAAGATAACGTACCGGAACTCATGAAATTTATTCGGCCAACTTCACAATTTGTCATCTCTCGTACGACGTCCTTAAGGACTCGTCGGTCGACTTGAAAGGGCTGTGCGCCATGCAGTGCTGCATCTGCTTTAGCTTCGAGCCGTCGGTCGTGGTGCTCGACATCCCAGTCCCATTCTATGACGGCCGTCGATGTCGATGGCTGCGGCAACGGAACGGTGCCAGGTAGTAGAGGCGTATCCTGCGCAACAGCATGGACGTGGTCGCCGTGGCCGTTGCGCTGCATCGTCACCTCGGGTTTCACTGAACGTTCGTTATGGACAAAGGATCTGGTCAATTTGTCCGAATGCGCCAAGCGCGAGTTGGAGGAGGAATCGAGAGTGTTGGGAGCGAACCTTTGATAGTGACGGTTCAAAATCAAGGAGCAGATACGCGCCGCATCAGGTTTCTACGTACCTACTCGTAATCTCTTTCGGTAATGCTATAGTATATTTGGCCTTGTTTCCGTGTGTTTCGGGAATAGGGACAGGCATTCCACTCAAGTTTGTTTCAAGCCCTTAGGGCGTTGACCACCAGAGTATGGTTCAGTTGGGCGAACGGTAAGCCTACTCCGAAGTAACCCATTGGGTTTTATATCTCTAGGTTTATGGGTTTCCCGGAAGAAATCCGGTGCATCTTGGCACCGCGTGTATTTCATTGTTTACTAAATGGACGTAAAGCGCAGCACTTAGCCTTTCCATATATTTAGTTCTGCTATGTAAAACTCTGGCGTCTTGCACTCTGTCTGCCCTACGTCAACGATGCAGATGTGTCGTGAGTGGCATGTCACTGACAGCGATAGGGACCAATGCTGGCATGTGGTAGTCTCGAGCTCTACTGAAGATTGAGTACCCGAGTAAGTAATAAAGCAACAGCCAAGCACTGGCTAGTGAAGCTTCTTGCCAAGGCCGCCTATGAACTAGTACACTATAAGATCTGCTCTTACCAAGCCTCGGTGGACCAATCACATCTCCTTCATCACCAATCGACCTTACTTTTATTCTGCCAGGCTACTTATATTAATATTGCAAGTCAGAACCAAAATACTCGGAACAAGTCTTGATATAACTACACGGTAAAAATCGGCAGAAGGACTTCACAAGGCACTTACCCATCTTCGTGGCGGCGCCAAGCAACTGCCAAGTGTACTCAGGTTACGGCTGCTCCATACATACATCGGATCACGAAAAGACGAGGCGAAAACAAAAATAAATACATATACACTGTAAGTGAATTACAACACTGTATGTACAACAATCAAAAATATGCCACCAAACCACAACAGCTAGAGCCGCGAGTCCTGCGTAATAAATAGTATCAACGCCAGTTCGGGTTACACAACCTCAAGGAGACCTTACATACGAAGAAGGCTCAGTACAGATGACCTCATCTACCCTCTTCTTCAACCACTCTATCACGTCCTGTCCCAGTGTTGCACAATCATACAACTCCAGGTGCTGCAGTCTCGTCGGGATAACTCCATTCACCATCGTCGCGGATCCCGACTCTGGATTGCGAGCCTCCACAAGCTGCACCAGCTTCGCTATCCCATCAGAATGCGCATGACAACTTTTCATCGCCACCGTCGTCAAATTCGGGCACGCCCAATGGGTTTGTTCTTCGTCGGGCATTCCGAGCGCTGACAAAAATGGCTCGAGCGGCGTCCCACCTATACTCAACGATTGCAAATGATTTAGATCCGTTAGGAAACCCCATGAGATGACAACTCCGCCGGGCCCATAATATAGCGTCGAGCTCGAGGTGCTGCCGTACGAGACAGAGAGGCGAGTAATCGGTGGATTGTTCGAACGTTGTAGGAGATTGGTAATGGTGTCTTCTATCGGATCACGAGCTTCTACGTCGAGGTTGAGTATCTCAAGGGATGGAAGCACGAGGGAGTCCGCTAGTTGCGACATATGATAGTGACCGCCAAAGGTGAGTTCACGAAGTCGAGATAATGAGGTCTGGACAAGGGGAAGAATAGCTGGCAGAGCAACGGCAAAATGCAAGGTGAGTGATTCAAGATCTGGGTTACTTGCGATGATATGCATGATGCGATCCAAGGGTAGATGATTTGATGGGAGCGAACGGAGATTGAGAGACCGTAGATTGGTCTTGAATATTGGCGATGACCATTTGAATGGAACATGGTGTAGCATCAGTGACTCTAGTTTCCCAAGAGACATACTGGTCGCCGGACTTGAACTCGGTATCCACGGCCATTCACTCGCATAAATAGTTTCGGCGCAAGAAATTTCAAATTCTCTAAGTATGGGAGCATCACCTATTACTCTCATTAAATGACAACATTTAATCGCTTTGGGAATGGTACGTACCGGCTATTGATTTCAGCGCGGACATGGATGGAAACTGTCTATCAAACCTGAAGACAAACCGTTGCCATCGGTGCATCTGCTCGATAAGGTAGAATATTGCGATATGACCCCAGTGAGCATTCCGCTGAGCTTGTGGAGTATTTCTTGAAGAAGGCGGAGGGGGTGATCCCCATGAGTCGTGGTGTGAAGGTGATTGCGGGACAATGATAGGAGTGTGGGCGGGAGGTAGGAGCATCGCTGTCCCAGGAGGGTGAGGGATCACATAATGAGGTGGTGGACTGGGCGGATGCAACCACGGTGTAGGTGAAGCAGGTCGGGTACGGTTCGATGAGCCCTCGTTGGAAACACCGTTTACTCGCAAGTAAATTTCGATATCGAGCGGCACTTTGTCTCCAGAACGCTCCAGCCAAAGCCGTATGGTATCAGCGGTTGCGCTTTGATTCGTTACAAGCCTTATCTAGTATAAAGGATTCAACATCATAAAACGAAACACAGGAGATCAAAGACGAAGTACAAAGACAGTAACCACCTCCACCGCACGCACATGCGAGGGTATCGATGCCATCTTCTATGACGCAATAACGAAGTTGACAGGCGAAGAATTGTATCATCTCACCTTGGACCACAGCCTCGGCATTGACAGCGTGAGTCTTCGCCACAGCGTGCAGACAGATGCAAGCACCCAAGCACAGCAAGGATGATCATCGAAGTTGAAGAGGAAGATATGGCGAAGTAGTTCATGTGGCAACCGGCGTATAGGAGAGATATAGGCTTTGGTGTATGTTACTTTCTCTTCCAATAACAACTTTTCGCGTCGTAGGTCACGTATAGCGCGCTTTCTCTCGACCATAATTTGAGCCAGGGCGTCTTCCGCGTATGCAATCTTTTCCGAGAGCGCTAAGAGCTGCTCTTGCTGGGATTGGAGCTCTCTGCGAGCATCAGCAACAGCTGCGTCCGTTGGTGGCTCCGGATAGTTGGCCAAGTATGCGGAAGGCGTCATGGCGAACGATGGTGTGGATGTGTTCACGGTGAGAAAAGGCGGAACAGGAACAACAAGTTGGATGAGCTGAAACTGATGGAAAGTCCCATATATGGCCACGTGGGTTTTGAAGGCTTGGCTCTTTGGGGATGGCGTAGTACTCATGTCTCCCATATCCTCTTCTTTGTCTACTCAAAATCGTATTCAGACTATCGGTACCCAGTCTTAACTCGAGCCTACGACGATTTTAAAGAACTTGTATCGGAAATGAAGCCAGTATTTGCTTATCTATCCATGACAACCAGTGAGAAACAACAGCGTGGAAAGGTAGTACAACATTGTATGCATAAGTATGAAGTAACTGCCATAAGAGATGGCTCGAGCGTTCAGATATATCTCGGCTACTTCTTTCCTGCTTCAATGGCATCTCCATTCTTGCATGCGATTATTTTTATGCGAGCCGCTGACACCATTTCGTTCGATTCCATCTTGAAGGACGGGTTTTTGACGATGAATGTCCAAACATCATCGCACAAACGGTATGTCCGAAGGTTGCCCTGAAGGGAGGATGAAAGTTATGAGAAGTCAATTCCTTTCAAACCAGAAACGGACGAGCCTTGAGGGTAGTCTTTGTTTTCACCTGCTTGACCATCGTGTCTGCAAGCGACTTGTCAAACTATGAGAACTTGTGGTCAACGCTCATTGGACATGACAGATATTTAACCAACAAATACCTGTTGAAGGACTTTCATGGCCAATTGCGGTGTGATAGCGCCGCTGGTGATAAGCTCGTCCAGCGAGTCTGTCAGGGCCATTCCAATTCTGTGACCGTGAACATCCGAACGATCAGGTAAACCGCTGGAACATACGATGACCCTCGGTAAAACTCATAGTACGCTGAAGCCATGCTAATTTGCAGCTGTCTTCAGCTTCAGAGTAAAACAGGCAGTAGTGTGGAGAACCGCTTCTGACCATGCCATGAGCTGCAATGGTTGGTGAGTAATACTACCGTGACGTGTGACGTCACGTAAGGGTGTGCAACTTTGCGATCTGTGTCCATCAATGAACGCAACGCTCAAATTCTATGCAAATGTCTTCCACCGTTTATCTCGATATTTTCATGGGAGACCAGGAACTGCACAAACTAGATGAAGCTGCATTTATCGCCACCCGAAACTTCCTCGCTAATAATGCAGCAATCTACGGCTTGCCATCCGATCCACAACATCTATCATCAGAGCAACAAGAGATGCTCAGGGAAATCGATGTATTTGCATTCCTGCCGATGCTCTGCTGCCAACATATTCAAAGACATTCATTCTCTAATCGTCGATAGAAATCGCGTGTACTACGCTTCATGCCCCCAGAGGCACTTTATGTCGGCCGCCTCGTCTTTGAGTTGAACCCCGAGGCCTCTCTGAAAAAAACGACGACCAATTTCACTGCGCTGTGTACGGGGGAGAAAGGAAAGTGTAAAAATGCACGTAACAAAGAGTTATATTACTTGGGATGCCCTATACATCGTATCGTGAAAGATTTCGTGGCGCAGGGGGGCGACGTGACAAGGGGAGATGGCAGTGGCGGCGAGGTTCGTGCTCGAAATATAACTAATTAATTTTCTGATTTCACTCAGTCGATATATGGCGGCAAATTTAACGATGAAAAGGATGGTTTGAAGATCAAGATGAGAAGAGGAACCCTGGCGATGGCCAACTCCGGCAAAAATACGAATTCTTCCCAGTTCTTTATTGTGCTCACGGATGACGAGACGCAGCTTGCAAAGTTGAACAGCAAATATGTAGCGTTTGGCGAATTGAAAGCAGGGTTTGAGGTCCTGGACAAGCTGAATAAAGTTGCTGGAGACGTCGATGGGAAACCCAATGTACCAGTGTGGATAGGCGGATGTGGCAAGGCCAATCATGTAAATTGACACGTAACAAGTGGTGGAGTATTCACCCCAAATCCAAACAGTGGTGTGATGATAATCGGCATAAACGTTCGAGACTTATGGCACTTCCCGAGTGAAAATCACATAAGGACGCGAGGCCGCTTAGAAAAAACATGAGTCGTGTTGTTATGCTATGTGGGGAAAGCATGCATCTGGTGTCATGTTGTCCCTCTGCTTGTGTTTCTCCTCGTTTAGGCGAATGATACTGACGATAACTGTTGTGAGACAATTCGCCCCTGGGCCCTTGGAGCGAAAACGTCTGCAGGTAAAACTCAGGGTCTAAGCAAACTTGGCCGATCACGTATTACGACTCGTACCCACTCGTCATCAAGATTCACCAATACAACGTTATTGCGGATGTATCTGTAGGGTAGGCATGCACGACTTAGGTCTCAAGTAAGAATCATAGGAAAAAGAAGTCTGAGAGCAGGCTCACATTATGCGTTTCATTATGCATGGCAACGTTGAGCTGGTTGCTTATAAACGTCTTCGCGTCTGAATCACTTATATGCTGGCAGAAGATCAACGGGCGGTCAAGAAGTGATGCAACTATGTACTTATACTGCCGAGACGATCCTGCATCGTTTCGATTGAAGCAGGAGGAGTGTCGGCCTAACCATAGCCGCGGCCTCGTGTGCACTCCCGATTTGATAGCAAACCCGCGAAATGGAGAACAATTTGTAGCAGTCAAACCATGCACGACGGATCATGATGATCGACGGGTATGAAGAAGCTACGTCGACGGGCGGAGCCGTGTGATAAGCAGGTGACCATTGCGCATGATTGCCTCTTTCAACATCGCCGTTAGCATGGGATGCACTAGATGGAGATGGCGTGAACGAGAAAACAGGCTGGGATCACCAGCGGTCCATCACATGATTGATTTAGCGTGTAGAGAAGCAAAGGAGCTTACATAAATTGTTGATCATGAAGCTTTACAGCAACAATGCCAACGCGGTTGCAACGAGGATCTGCTAGGGAACAGATAATCAGAACGAAACTGAACTTGTCACTATCAGTGGCCGGCGGCATTGGGGAAACCTTAACGGTCATAGCCGGTCACTGATTAAGGCTTGGACCTCCCTCCGCGAAACTTTCGTTTAAACCGCAAATAATGCGGGTTTGGCTCATACTTAACCCTGCTTAGCACATGACTTATAGACTGTCGTTGCAATCAATACAATCAATATGCAAAATGAACATGAATTAGGATGAGAGATATGAAAACTCAGAAGCTAGCCACCCTACGAGAAAAATTAATGAGACAGCAAGATCCGCTGAAAATGAACACTAACACAGTTTTCTTTGGCGCCGGTATCTACAGCCTCGAGATCCGCAGGACTACGATCCGACGCGGGTTCTTGAAACAACAGATTCCTGTTGACGTTACCCAAACGTTCGCAAAGGACAGGCGCCTTCTGATGGAATTCTGTGGGCACACCCTCAACCTTCCCTGGCAGTAGGATATGCGGCAGAACGGGAGTGTGAAGCAAGCGATGAGACACCCTGACACATTTAACGTGTCAGCATAGATGATCGCAAATACTAAATTTCGGTCTTGTTGTGTGATATAGCATGAGGCTGATAACGTACAATTTGGCGATATTCCCCCGTGTAAAGATCCACACTTCTTGTGGAGTGGCACCAGTGTTTGCCGTCAACAGATTTTCCAATTTAGCAGCTACTGGCTGTTTCGAGGGTGAATTTTCAAATTTCTGTGGGTTCATAGAACATCTTGGGAAGCTGTTTGGGTCTAATCGTAGGATCCGACCCAGAGACCACTGAGGGGCGACGTATTCATCCCAGGGGTAGGTATTTAAAGAGCAAGAAGGAACAGGTTCATAGCTATATTGATGTTGACTCCGCGGGATGGAATTCAGGACTGGCAATTAATACGACTCAAGCAAGCGACGCCCTGCCAAATAGGTAGAAAGAAAATGAAGAAGTTAATACACATCATGGATGACCAAATTGTCTTACCTACAAGGCTGAGCCGTTCATTAGACAGCCGTCTTGTAACTTCCACGGGTGAAAATACGTTCTGTAAGCTCGGGTGTAAAATGAAGAGGGAAGACATTGATTAGATGAATAACAAGCGTCGCACTATGGCCCATCCAAGGATGTTTGAGCGGGTCGGGGAGCTCGTTCAAGAAACTGAATTCGAAACACTTGCAGCTAGCCGTGGAAACCCGGATTATAGTAAACAATGGGGTCACTACGTTAAACTTTAAAAAAGCTTAGCCGAGTCTAGACATGCTGGAAGTCACGTGATCGTGATCCGGCATCCCGATCGGGTGAAATCTTAGGTGACCTGCCGGTATCATCGACTTGATCTCGACTCCAGGAAACCATCAGTGTTTGCAGATCAGGATTTGACACCCGTTGCACCGAGAAACACCGCATTTTTCCACTAGCAAGGAAGAGAGGGTCTTGACAGGGATATGGAATAAATGCCACATAATATTTATTTATTTATGTAGCAGAACATGCATTGCTGTGCTCGAAACCGCGGCAGCTAGACCAGGGTACATTACGTATGGGACCTTGGAGTTGTTCTGTTCAACAGAACCTCAGTGAACTGCCTGCCAGAGGCCAGTGTCAGACAAAGTTTCAAACTTAATCAAGACCTTGGTGGAGCTCGCCGTCGCGTTATCTTGCCTATGCAATATAACACCACCCATCAGTTCCCTGCGAGCTGATCACTGTGCTGGCACACTTCTTGTCACCTTCAAGTTTGGTTAGGTGGAGCCCACCGTTGGGCCATCTGGTCATCATTGCACGACCCCCTCGATGTCTCCGGTCTCGGGTCCTCCAGGTTATTATTACTTGGTTTGTATTATATTGCTTGCTAAGAAGAGCATTTTAGGCCATCCTCTGTGAATGCGCAGCCTATGTCCACCTTTATCACCTCCGAGCCCTTTTGAGAGAGGTACGATTTTCGGAACCGGGAATGTCAATCGGGATCTCTACAGTCATAGAGGATCGTAGCTGATCGTACCATAGCATTAGTCGGGATAGCGGTCCTAGCATCAATCGCTAAGGATTGTGTGTCAAACCCTCTGCCGCCATTATGTAGCGTCCTCGTCGTCTTCTTCGTCGAGTTGTTGAGATGACGTGGACATCAATGCTGGAACGTTGACGATTGGGGCCAGCGCGAGAGCGCAAATTAATGTCTACCTTCCCGTTCGGAAGCACGTCCTAAATGCGAGCTTGCCGTAGTTCTCGCTGCATCCAAAGAAGTTCCTTGAAATGATCAGGACTCAGATCAGTGTAATGCACGCGCAATCAGAGAGGCGACGCGCGGATGCCACGAGGTCGCGGAATGAAAACCACCACTTCCCACCCAGTCACTGATCACAGTCACAGCCCAGGCTGCAGTTCTTCGCGTAATCAATCCTCCACCTCACAAATATCCCGTAAACTGAATTAACCGTTAGTATTTATCTTCATTTTGTAGCCCCTCGATCATTCTAGGACGACTCCGTTCACATCAAGGAACGTGGGCGTTTCGATATGAAACCCGCATTTGGGAGTCTTATCCCTGTGTTAGGCATCATTCCAAAACCATCCTAACCTGGTGGTGGTCCACCGTACCTCAGGGCTCGCACCCTTTTTTTCGAATGTGGTTCGCGAATACACACACATATATATTGCATGAATTGCTCTTGTTCGAACGCCACCTTTGACTCTGGCACCTCTCTTCCCAATGAACCTTTGCATTTCACCCTGTCTCACTCTGTCCCCAACGGCCGACAGTTGTCCATTCGAGGCCATTATGCTATCGTTCACGTGCAATGCCAGGATTCCCCTGGGACCAGCAGCGTTCACCCCGGGTGGCTCAATATCCATTTCATCGCCACATGCTGAGATCTGGCTTCAAAATAAACAGGTTAGAAAGCGTGTATTCTAAGATGACGGACGGACATTAAATATGCATTCCAGATACTGATACGAGATCAAAACACCGCACATGGAACATATGTGAATGGTACCCGAATAGTGCAACAAACTCTCTTGCAGAACGGCGACATCCTCGTAAGTATTCACGTTTTAACTGCAGTATACCCATTGAATTTTACATCTCTGCAGACATTGGGTGTTCCAATAATTCGGTCCTCCAGTATCCCCGGCAATGTAACCAATGCACAACTTAAGCCCATTAAAGCAATGGTAACCATTGTGGGTGTCTGATCTCCCAGCGGCAGGTGCCAATCATTATTGTGTGTGGATGTCGTGACTTTCGCGATCTGCTCTTTCAATGACCCACCACTACCTTGGCATCATCATGCGCTCACTTTTTCGGCGATACCCTCCGAAACTTCGTTCGTTTATTTCTTTTGCATCGATTGTCCTTTGATCACAGCGTCCACTGCACGCTTGCATAGTTGAAGCATCTTTAGATGCTTGGCTTAGATGTACAACATGGTTAGCATTGAGATTCTCGAATGTAGATTAGACAAAAGTTGATAATGGTGTATGATGTACGTAGGAGCCAATTCCTATATCCGAATTCCGGAGGCGCTCTAAAAGCTATGAAACCAATAAATTGAAATCTTATCGCAAGCGCCAATCTGCCGGGTTTGCATGTGACTTCAATTAGTACTCAAGAGGGCCAAGACCTTGATGAGCCAGCAGCAGTATGATGGACGGTGTATGAATTCCATACACCACTTCTGGCGGTCCAATCGTGTAGTTTGCTGAAGGCTTCCACCTCATTGGTAGGTTCAATAGGACTAAAAACGACGTGAGCCACTGACATGTTAGCTCGCGGCCTTGGCGTCCCTAGCCATCGTATCTTCGACAACTATATCGAGAACGAGGAGATTTACCTTAGGCACGGCTCGTATTCTTGCCCTCCAAGTGCTTGGTGAAGCAAAAATTGCATCCTTCGTGGGCTCTCGTCCACACCACTCGTTACCATGTTCTGAGGAGAAAGTGGGGAAGACTGACCAAATGGAGAACACCTTTACCGAGCTGGCAGTAGAATTTACTCGCCGTACCCCAAAACGATGCCGCGAAAGGTTCTTTTCGTCTCTGTTGACAGAATATTTGATCGCAGTCTCCGGGCGTACACAGGCTCTTCTAGGCCCTGTATAGAATCTTGTTCACGGTTGTTGCAGCGGGCCGACAATTCAATATTCAAACCTGATTCTCTCCTCGGACATGCGCCCGTTGAACCTATCAAATCATTCCGATTATTTAGGTGTCTGGCAGATTTCCAGTACACGAGTCTTTCCTTGATCGACAAGAGTTTTAAAGCGTGCAGGCACATTGCAAGATCGATGCCTCGCAGAGGAAATGTGCACGAAACCTAGAATACACCTTCGTTTTGACTCTATCCACGTCGGCCGAGGAAAAACTAAAAATGGAATGTGCGCACTAGCGTCCCTCAAATTTGGCCCGCTTGTAGAATGAGTATGTCTGTCCTGAAGTTGTGTGGGTTATTGGGTCTGGATATCCTGCACAAGATGAAAAAGAATGACAAGCGCGGGGAACGATCTGATTAGTTTGATTTTAGTATGTCCAACTCGTTGCATAAATCATCCTACTGTCTCCGTTTGATAAATTCACTCAGGATGGTTTGGAACACATAAAACGTAACTTAAACCCAGTCGTTGCCCGGATCTTCGTCTCCGCCATCGCCCACGGGAGACTAACACATGCACTTAGTTCATAGTAAAACAAACGCTATATTCCTTCCACATGTGAGATATTAGGCTTGTTATCGTTGACGTAGACGAGCGCCTTGGAGCAGACCGGGGAAGGGAATTGTCACGATCAACGAAGTTATGATAGAAGCACCTTGTCCCAGTCTCTTAACGAGGTGGCCCACCTTGTTCGTCGAGCGATGCTTCAGGGGAGATTCAGCTGCATCTGCACTGTATGATTACGTGGAGGATGAGGAGGGGAACGAAGTGAAACTTGACTGAAGGGGTGATGTTCCGATTTTATACAGTGATGGAAGAGGATATGCTGACTCGTACTTTGGAGACACCGCGACCGCTCGTGATGTCTGAGGCTCGATTCCGTTGACGAGATGGCGTTTGCGCTCCTGAGCTGCTGAAGATGTTAATGCAGTCGGTCCTTGTGCCACCTCTTTTTCTTTACCCTTCTTTCCCGGAATGGGAGGTCAAGCCATCGTCCGTTTCTGTTTCTCCTGAGACCGATAACCTAGTCGCACACGACCTAGCCGATCAGTAAGTGCCATTGTAAAGTGCCCTTCCACCACTTTTGGGAGAATTTTCGTCTCCATAGGAATGGAACAATCGTATGTTGGCGAGAGCAAGCCGAAGATAGGAGAAACGGACTTGTGCTTCAAGGCTAGTTGGGGCACTCGGGGCGGCTTTGGGGTGACTGCCTGCTATGAAGATGATGAAAGAGGCTGAGAACTCCGCCAGCCCGCTTTTCCCCCTTTTCTGATCCATTTCGAGCGGTCCCTCGCGGCCTCTTCTTCAAGATCAGCAGGCAAAAACTAAGGCTCTTTCTCTGTTTGCCTTTCTAGTTTGATTCCTTCTTCTAATCTTCAATATCCTCCTATCAAATTTTCCTGTATCTGTTCTGCCAGGACTGCCACGAGTGTCTTGGACCAGTTCTATTTGTTATCGACCTAAATCAGCGTTAAAACTCGTTTCACAAGATAAAAATGAGAGAAACTTGCGTTTTACCTCAAGGCGTATGTACAGAGCGCTTCCGCTTCTGTATTTCTGGGTAGAATCATGTGTCGCAATGTATTTCATCATTTTCATGAGAATGGATGTCCGCTGCGGTGAAGTCCGCACAAATACTAGAAAAAACATAGTAAGTCAGTGACATTAATCATGCACGTAAAAGTACAGACCCTTTCACTGCTTGCTAGTTCAGTATATGCATATGCAGTAGTACCAGGTCAAGTCCGAGGTGAACTATGGCATCTCGTAAGCCTTGACGCGTCCGAGAAATCACGCCGACCATCAATGTCACGTCACGCCCTCCAAATATTGCTTTGGATGATGCACACGGGCCCTCGTTAAATGTGAACGATGACGAAGAGCTCAAAGTTGCGTATTGCGTTCATTCACCCTGACTTAGGAATAGGTGCGTATCTCATGGCAAATTCGAATATGGAGCTCAGCTCATATTATGACACGTAGGAGGAGCCGAAAGGCTGGTTGTAGATGCTGCATTGGGTTTACAATCCCTGGGTCACTCTGTGGATATATACACCTCTCATCATGACCAGCATCACTGTTTTGACGAGACAAGAGACGGTACGTCAGGAAATACTCGTCAAAGGACCGCGTCACCATTGCACAGCTCTCCTTTACAGGAAGATTGCGCGTCCACCATGTAATTCCACCACTACCTCGGTCTATACAGGGAAAGTTTCACATCATGTTTGCACATGCAAGGCAGCTGCATCTCACAATGCACCTCATATGCACGTCAGCGCATCAATATGACGTCTTCTTTGTTGATCAACTCTCTACTTGCATACCGTTCCTCCGAATGTTGTGCGGGAAGCGCGTCATTTTTTACTGCCATTTTCCGGACAAGCTTCTTGCGAACGGTGCCTATGTAGAGGGCCAGCGGGGGAAGAGCGTCAGTATCTTGAAACACATCTATCGCTTCCCAATGGATTGGCTAGAGGAAGTGACTACGAGTATGTGTACCAACGCTCGTACAGAACTCACATTGACTGGAAACCCAGCACAAGCTGACATGATTCTCGCCAACTCAAAATTTACTGCACGAGTAACCAAGTCACACTTCTCTTCCCTTAGACACCAGTTGAAAGTTGTGTATCCTGGAATCAATATTGAAGCCTATATTTCGCCAATCGACCCATCAGATTCCGATATCCTTCAGGTCTCCTCGTGAGTGTATTTTTTGCCTTCTTTCATGCACGACTTTCAAACACTCTCGGTGAAGACAACGCCGGACATTATTGTCCCTTAACCGGTTTGAGATGAAGAAAAATGCTGCTTTGGCAATAGAAGCATTTGCGATTCTGCGAAATAGGGATCCGAAAACATCAGATGTGAGGCTTGTTCTTGCTGGTCGGTTGAGTAAAAGTCATCATACGAGTTCCTTACTGACTATCTTCCAGGTGGCTATGATCCTCGCCTAGAGGATAACATACGCACCCTGAAGTCTCTGATTGAACTGGCACAGTTCAGTGGTCTAACTTACAACGTCATAACCCCGTTGCAGTCCCGCGTGGCAATACCATCGTTCCCGAAGATGACCCCGAATGAGCCGGATATATTGTTCCTTTTAAACTTTACCACTACCCAGCGTTCAGGTTTACTCCAGGCTCAATCTACACTCGCTCTATTATATACTCCAGCTAACGAACACTTCGGGATTGGACCAGTGGAAGGCATGATATGTGGCCTGCCAATACTTGCCTGCGACAGCGGTGGCCCCACAGAGACCGTCGTCGACCAGCCAGCAGGTCAGAGGACCGGATGGCTCTACCGACCCCAGCCATCGGTGTGGGCTCAAGCATTGGAGGAAATCTGTAATCTCTCAGAGACAGATAGGAAAGCGCTCTCGCAGAGAGCTCGGGACCGTGCCAAGAAGATGTTCGGAATGGAGGCGATGGCGAAGTCCCTCGAGGCAGTTTTGGAAGAAGCAGTATCTATGGGACAAGTGTCAAGAACGGGGATGTGGCTTGTGATGTTTGCAGTTCTAGGGTTATTGGTGGTTTTAATCTTTCGGTATGGATCGTTTTCAGGATAGCTCTTTGATTGTGAATGGACAGGACCTTTTTTGCGGTTATTTGATAGGTCAGGACCATATCAAAAGTTGCGCGTAATGGCGAAGTCCTTGAACCACGTATACTGTTGTTTGGGAGTGGCCCAGCCGTCTCCGTGTCCGCCGAAGAAAGTGCTAAAGAAAAGCCCAACAAAACCAACCGCTGATTCATCGCTGGAATGACTGGTACTATTATCCAAGGCAGAGATCCTGTCGGCGACGAGGATCCTCAGTGCATCTTGCGTTGCATGGATGACAGATGATCGAGAAGCCACAGCTTCTTGCGCTGTGGCTGTCACTGCCAAAATTCCCAGCAGACCACCTTGTGTTTGTGGCGGAGTTGGCGATGTCGAAGACTTGGAAGTAGTTTTTGATTTCGACTTATTAGGTGCGTCACGATAAAATATATCTGTCCGGTTGATAACCCGCATCCCATTAACAAACAAAGCGAACGCTCCATCCTGCTTTCCAGGCGTGTTGAGCACAACGTCCTGGCGCAATGACGTCCAGTTCCCTGTGCTGTAGTGGAACGATCCCCTTCCGATCGAGAGTCCGTACTCGGAATCACAGACGGATTGGGGATCGGAACATAACGCATTTGTTTGCTTCCTCTTTGGAGCGTACTGTGGACAGGTCAGCTCTTTAATAACATTATGACTAAATTGACAGACTAGATAAAGTTCGCCGGCACCACCTTGCCTCCACATTAGTCGTGTGCTAAAGCAGTCTTCGGCAGCAGCGCCCCCGGAACAGCCTGTATGGCCACCGTACAGACCAGGAAGTTTTCCCCCTTTCACCCAGTCAAAATTCGCAGGAAAGTAGACGCTATATTCCATTGTGACATTCTTGGCATCGCTCAGGTTCAATGGCGACGCATAAAACTCCGCCCCACCTGGGGATTTGCTGGAAGGGTTGACGGAGTATGCTGGGTAAACAAGCTGTAAGGCAGCGGTGAAGTCTGTAACGTTCTGTGTGACCGTTGTGCTCTCTGGCTCGATTATATCCTGGGCATATACAGATCCTCCTGGTACGATGGCAAGTGCAGAGACATTGTCGATGATGGCGACATTCTGCTTCCCGCTGGGAAAATGAGTGACGTTAAACGCAGACAAGTCTTTCATGTTCGGAGGAGTCGTCCATGTTGTCCGACCGCCCCACGACGTGCTAGTGCTGGTCACAGTGGTTATTGCAGTCGCAGTCTCGACGACTGTAGCCGTAGACATGGGAGTGACTACAATCGTAGTTGTCACGATGTCGGTGACTACGATTGTATCGAGTGTTGTGACGGCAGCTTCTGAAGGGATTGACAGGTAGGTTGTGCCGACAGAGATGGACATTGGTGCCGGACTGTGGAAAGACTGGCTAACGGAGGGAGAGATCACCGCAGAGGCCATCTGGACGGTTGTGCTGACACCCCCAGGGACTGCAGGTGCGGTCAAAACACTCGGTATAGCCAGCGCTATTATAAAAAGTAGAGCCATTAATGCCATCCTGCAGAGAGATTATCGCTTTTCTAGAGAAGCATGCGTGTGACGCGCGCTACGCAGACATGTGCAGATGAGATTTAATGTGAATCCAGCAGTCCAGAACAAAAACTGGTTCGGCGATCATCAGCAGATGAAATTCAAATCATTGGTACCGATCTGATCTTTGACAAGGAAAGTCGTATTTGAAATCTTCCTCTCAACTATACGAGTTCTAGGACAATCGTTGAGACAGTATCTGCTCGAGTTCGAGCTTGATTCTCGAATTATGGTTCCAGACCTATGAGGATACTTCGTATTGGTAAAGGGCTCTATTTGCTGGGCGCTCGATGTTAACACGACAAACCACATTCTTGTCCTACAGTAGATAGTTACCTAAGACTAATTCAGGACGGCCGTCCTTCCACAAAATCTAGGATGGCTTCGTCAGAGGGTCGATGCTCCATATCCTGTGACCAACAACTCTGAATGAAATGCCAGTCGACGTCGCTGACCACATGCGCAGGCGGCCTTTTGGGTCTTATCCCTCGTGATATGCAGTTGATGATTGCTTCATATCTGGCAATATAATGGTATGGGATCTTGCCCTCCAAAACCTGCAGGAAGATGAGCTGATTCAGTGACGATCATCCGAGTAGGCTACGTGCCTGCAGCATGATCCCTCCGAAAGAGTACACATCGCTTTTTGGACTGAATTCCAGTAATGTGTTACCTTCATCATCGAATATCAAGTATTCTGGCGCCATGTATGGTGCGGTGCACGTGGGATTGGTGGGCAGTAATGCCTGACTCATTCTTTCGGGAAGGAGGGCAGAGAGACCGAAATCGGCAAGGCTTGCTTTTCCATTCTTGTCAATAAGAACATTATTCTAAGAAAACTTCAGTTGGGCGTTTATGGATCTCATGATGGCATACGCACTCCGCTCAAGTCTCCATGGATGATTGACTGCGAGTGGACTACAATTCAGTGTTAATAGGCTCTTACATCAACGATAAAATCACTGAACATACGATATTGGAGTCCGCGAGCTACATCCCTGAGCTAAAGAGACCTTAGCATGATGAATATGGTGAGATAATGATTGACCCAACCAGTGCAAATTTTGCATTGTAGGAAAGCATCTTATGCTTACGCTGAAGATATCCAGTCAAAGTGCCATGATGAAACCAAGGAGAGATGAGTGCTGGGAGGGAACCAAATCCATCCGTAACTCCAAGGAGAGGAACAATATTCTCATGCTCAAGTTGCAACCATAGCTTGATCTCTCGGAACAGTCGCTGATGGACCAAAGTCAGTAAAATGAGACCAGAAAATATATGCCAACTACTGACATTGATGATCTTCAACACGTCTGGATTCTCACCAAATTTTACTTCCTTGACTGCAACCTAAATCGATGGAAGGAATTTAGACAAAAATCAACTGAAAGGCACCTACGTCATCGCAAGCCATTGTAGAAGAGATCTGGTAGCGGGAGCCCAATTGTGGGACGCTAGCATCCATGTCTCTTGCATGGAGCCTGCACCTATGAACATTTGCAAACCCTCCAGAATTGTGGTGATCTTTGTTTAGTCGTTGGACTGAGTTTGTCAAATCAACGGCACTAAAGACGATGAGCCCAACAGCGGCATCCAGCCAAAGATAACTTACCCGCAGCCTAGGACTAAGACTAAGTAGCGGACCTTCTCGATTGAAGGACGAGATGTCTCCTCAGATAGGCACCGTCGAACCAAGTTTAGCTGCACTTCATCCATCTGAGTCAAGATTCGGTGAGGCACTGCATAAGAAACACTTCGCAAGAATTCTACCTTCACAGTCGTGTCAAAAGGCTCTGTGCCCTTTAATTTGTCCGAAAGGACTTGGCCCTCTTCTGAAATCCACCAATAGGGCAACTTTCCCGCTAAAACCTGGAGAATACTTGTGTGAAATGCGTCGAGGGCTATTTTGCTCCCATAACACACCAGAATCGCGACGCAGCCATATGAGTATATGTCTCCGGCTTTTGATGGTCTTGGTGCCTCTGCTCGATAATCATGCGTAATAGACTCGGGTGCAATGTACCTCGCGTCTCCTGGGAGCTGCTCGCTAAATATTTGATTATCTGCGATACGTACGCGGCCTGAACCATCACAGAATATGGTGTCCTGGAGATGCGGTGAGATTCCTTAGCACGTTACCCGAGTAATCGAAGCATACACCCGTTAGATTACCATGCACAATGCCCTGCTTATGCACTGAGGGGCGTATGAGTTCCGTGCGTTGTTGGCTATGGGATATACTGACGATATTCAATACCATCCGCCACCTCAAATAGCTGCCCATTCGAGGTCAGAACTGAAGGGCTTATCCGTGCCACAAAATATCAACTTACAATATCGGACTTTTGACGTTCAGACAAATTGAAGCGATTTCGTTTGAGGTGGTCGTGCAACGAGCTGCGCGGTGCACGCCGAGGGCTTAGCTCCGCACTGGCAGGTACACAGGAGATCTGAAATCGTAGTTTGCATAGTTGGCTTCCTGGTATGAGGCGCTATTAGTACATAGTAGACAAACATACTCACCAATCAATAGAGCAACCAGCCTGACGTTGAAATAGTTCCAGCAAATGCATAATAATCTCGACGCCAAGGCGATTCACAGCGCCACAAAAGTGACATTGGTAGTCGATTTCAGAGGTCCCCTGTTGGTCAATTATAACCCTCATCACAGTCTTCGTGCCTGCTTCGATGCTTTGCCATTCGTGACTTGTAGGTTGGGCTAATCCTGTGCCCCTGTCAATTGACGACTCGTACTGTTCTTCCTCTGTGACATTATTTCGGGCTGCAATCGAGTCACGTTCAAACAGAACTTGAAGCATCTTATTGAGTTGCTAAAGAAACCGTGGTTAAGCTTCTTAGATTGTCATCGTTGTGAGGCAGACCTGGAACGAGGTGTAGAAGTTCACTGGTGTTGGATGTTCGTGGTTCTGACGACCCTCCGGCACATTGCGAATTTTGTTTTGACTTTGTTGCAGCTGAAACCACTAGAAAAGTAGAAATTTGTTAATTTAAATCAGGAAATATCTAAAGAGTAGAACCCAACTAGACAGCCCAGTAGATAACGGTCAATTTCAATGGAACATTTAGCGATAGCTTGTGCGACAGATGTATACGAAAGACGACGTATATGCAAAATTTTCAGCTGTGCGGAGGCTTCTTGCAGAATCCTGAGTGCGGCTCGATCCCAAGTAAATTCAAGCACACATCGACAAAACGCATACCTAACTAAGGAATATCTCCGAGATCGTTCAAATGGATCCCGGGCAATTGTGGCGTTCCACAAATACCAGTTTACTAGACGATGAAGTCGTAATGTCAGACGATCTAGATCCACCTTGTGCTGACCACAACTCTGTTGGAGGCCTTTGAAATCAATATGTATCTTCATAATGGAATAAGGTCTCACATATATAACTTGTAGGATGGCCGATAATCTAGCAATAGCAACTTCCATTAGAGGGCAAGCAAATGACATTGTACCTGGGTCAGAAGCTTCGCGAGCAGATGATACACTCCAGGAGTATCTGGCGGAAGAAACATTGGTGGAGACATCGAGACCTAGTTCACTGGACACAGAAACAGAGTGTGCTGGAGAATTTGAAGAGATGAGACAATGGACGTCTGCGGGGATGGAGCCATCGCGCTCATGCCAGTCAGTGACTGACAAATTGCGTTGTATGCATCTGAACTCTGTGGGACGCCTCCGACGAATTGCGAATACCTTTCCCAAATGTTCACCAGGATCGTTGATAGAAACCATGTGAGAGTGCTCCAAGGAAGGCCGCCGCGCCGGGCGAGGTATTTAGCCTGAGGCAGCCTGTGTAGTACTTGCTACTTATACAAGTTCCACCCGACGAACTTGAGAGTAACACAGCCAAAGCACAGCACCAAGCTTTGAAATTACGAGACTTCAATGCTGCTCTTGATGCATGTTTTTGATCCTGGAATGATTGGTTCCCATCACGTACCTCTTGGCTGACTCAGCACACTGCACTGCTCTTCATCAACGTTTGTCATCAAACATCATCTCCAGTAGACTTGCAGGAGTACCAAGCTCATTACTTAACCTGCGATTTGAGCAGGGCGGTTCACAAGACAACAGGAGTATGCATGCTGTCTCTTGGCCATCGGAGGATAGCGGTAGTAGCATGCACTCACACGTCATGCTTGCACTCGTTGACTACGAATACGACGAGCTCGTCCAACGCTATTTTGTCGATACCATTCATCTCACGAAACTATTGGAACAGTCGAAGGAGAGGTGGACAAAATCTCACTGAACGATACCGCAGACTAGAAAATACTCTTCGAGGGAAAAATGCTATCGCGAAGCAGATATCTGAGATTTCTCAGGACGTCGAGGATGCATTCCAAGGCCAGGTCGCCTTCATCGACATCCTCCTCGCACTATGGTGCGCAAAACGCTCCCAATACCATCGCGGGCCTTTTGATCCCCGAAGAACCCATACCACCTTCAGATGAAGGTAAATGTTTTACCAAAGGCAAGTTCCCAGTGTCTAACATAGGGCAAGAATGTTGCATGTCAGGATGTGCAATTTGTGTCTATGACATTTATGAAGAATCTCTGGAAGCTTACAAGAAGTCGATTGTGGCCTTGCGCTCCTCGCTTTCCGCTCTTTCAATACCAGATTCCGAGTGGCCGGACCGCGTTCGAACCAATCCACCAGCTGCTGAAAAGAGGCAAGATGTCATCCTCAACGCTTTCGAAGAAATGGAACGTCAGTTGAAGGAGAAGAAGGAGCGAAGAGCTGCAGTTGAAACAGAGAGTTAGTTTGTGGCTACTAGCTGGAGCTAGCCAATACTAACATTCGGCTTCCGATAGAAAGGATGAGAGGAGAATTAGTCTTAGATGATACGATGATGTCTCCTATAAACATCCAGATGTTGTATGAAGGCATTAAGTGGTTACTATTCCCGAAATGTTGACTAGTATTATGGCTAGTAGGAGTTCACCTATGTCTGATTGGCCTACGACGACATTAATTTGGGTTTGACTTCGTTTATACTAAGCTAATACATGGGTCGCGCATGGTACAGTCAACATTAACAGCCAAACTCCTCAACGTATCGAGGAGCAGTTTTTTTGTTATTCCGGTGCTCGTGTGCCTCCTCGAGCTAAGTCGTGCAAGGCCCCATTACTAGACCAAGTTATCTGCTGTAGTATGGATTGTACTAATTTGGAATCTGCCTCCGTCACAATTCATGTGGCCCCTTGTCATCTACTACTACATATGACTTCTAGCACCGCATTCAAGACCTTCTCGATAGCGAACGACATATTTGAAGTTTCGCCTCAAGATGAGATATATGCCTTTGATGTCGAGGCTAATAAGCGGATAAACCGGGAGGCACCATGGGACAAGGAGTATGTCGGCAATCCCATATCACTTGAGCAGGCCTCATTGACCTCTCTGATAGTCCACAATACTTCAAATCATGCAAGATCTCAGCCGTCGCTTTAATAAAGATGGAAAGCTCGAACAGTTCAGGCTTCAACGCGAAATCTGACACTGTTTCTTCTGCAGGTTATTCATGCACGATCAGGAGTGCCACATGAGATCATGGGACTGATGCAAGGCAAGGTTATGGGAAACTCGCTTGTCATCATGGACTCCTTTGCACTTCCTGTGCAGGGCACGGAAACGCGTGTTAATGCTGCGAATGAAGCAAATGAGTACATGGTAAAGTATATCTCGGAGAGCGAGAAGGTATGGGATCGAGCCTTCCGGACAACTTGCGCTCACTCCCCTTAGGCCAAAAGATTGGAGAATGCCATTGGCTGGTACCACTCACATCCAGGCTATGGGTGCTGGCTTTCGGGGATAGATGTGGACACCCAAATGAACAACCAGCAGTTCCAGGATCCTTTCGTGGCCGTCGTGGTGCGTCCATTCTGTTCCGGCCCGATTGCTGGTCTGACTCTCAATGTGATAGATTGACCCAAATCGCACAATCTCTGCTGGCAAAGTCGATATTGGTGCCTTCCGCACGTACCCATCGAATTACACGCCTCCTAACGTATCTGCTTCCGAATACCAATCCATCCCCCTGAGCAAAATTGAAGACTTTGGTGTGCACGCGAACCAGTACTACCCACTAGACGTGGAGGTGTTTAAATCGAGCTTGGATACTGAACTGCTTGGTCTGTTGTGGAATAAGTACTGGGTCAACACGCTCAGCCAGAGCCCTTTAATTTCTGTGAGAAGCTTCTCCTAGTTTCAATTGTTTTCTCATACAACCACATGCATAGAATCGGGCGTATGCAGTATCACAGATCGTAGATTTGCATCAGAAACTCTCTAAGGCCCAGGCCACAGTGTCAAGCACACGGGCGCCTATGCCAATAGTGAAGGGACAGGAGGAGAAGGCATCAAGCGTACCCAAAGTATATCATCGTTTCAATTATCCGTGCACTAAATATTCATGCTTGTTCGTTGCAGAAGGACGAAAAGAAGAAAGAAGACAATCAACTCGCAAAGGGTGTGAAGGATAGGTAGGTTTTTGTGTTTTTGTGTTTTTGTGTAATCCATTTAAACTTATGTTTTGATAGCATTAAAATTGCCGCAGAGGCTCAACACGGTTTGATATCTCAGGTTTTGAAAGATATCGTTTTTTCTTCGCGACCGAGTCAGCAGGCTGGGGCCATTCACGTCGCAGAGATGATTGATACTGCAATGAGTGTCGAATAGATCTGTATTTCCTAATCATTTGTACTTTGTATGGTACAAGTTACACTACATCCTCATGAAGAATCTCCATAACGATTGATCCGAAACAGATCTCGGAGAGCAGCAGGATTCGCCACAGCCACAAACATTGACAAACAACTCCCTCAAACCTTGTGTACATAGTGGTCTCGCCCTCCTCGCCAACGTCAACGCCTCAAGAATAAGTCAATCTCAAAGTAAGCAACTCATTTATGACGTTCCCATACATACAGAGAGCTTTATCGAGGAAAACAAGCTAGAAAACCTGTTTCTCTTGATGGATGTTCATTTTCGTGTCTGGATGTGTACTGACATGTTATACACCAGATGGGCCTTAAAGAATTCCAGGTCGTCGGACGCCACTTACCCACCACAAATGAGCCCAACCCTAAAATCTATCGCATGCGCATCTTTGCTCCTAATGAAGTTGTTGCAAAATCCCGGTTCTGGTATTTCCTCAGGTACGCTATCCTCTAGACTTTTTTGAGGCGTCTTGTAACATCCACTCAGGCAATTGAAGAAGGTCAAGAAAGCCAGTGGTGAAATCATTGGTGTCAACGTTGTGTGTATCCCTTGCAGCCGTTCAAGTGGCAGGCGGAACGGGATTGCTAACGGTCTATATGACCTGTGTTACAGATACATGAGGCAAAACCTCTGAAGGTCAAGAACTTCGGTATCTGGCTCCGCTACGACTCGCGATCAGGAACCCACAACATGTACAAGGAGTTCCGTGACCTCACTCGTGCTGATGCAGTCAAAAGCCTTTACCAGGATATGGCTGCCAGGCACCGTGCCCGCTTCCGGTCGATCCACGTATGCTCTATCATTTTCCCATCTTTCATCACGTTGATATTTGCACTTCCTTAGATCCTCCGCGTTGTTGAGATCGCTAAGACTGATGATGTCCGCCGCCCCTACATCAAGCAGCTCCTTACCCCCAACCTCAAGTTCCCTCTTCCTCACCGTGTCAGCAAATCTGCTGCGACATTCGTTGCTACTCGTCCTTCCACTTTCTGATTGTCTTTTACGATGTGAAGGCGCTACGGAGTATGGGTTTGCATGCATACCTAAGTACGGGTTCATATGTAAAATTTCTTCGTCCTGCAATGGTCGATATTCACATGCATATATGGCATCCAAGCTCATGATTTTCATCTTTTGCGAGATCTGTAGGTGATCGAAACTCGACGATCTATCGTGGGTGATTCTACCTGTCGTTGATCACGGAACACGTCGGCATGATCTGACTCATTCATCACGTTGTAACATGAATGGAGCTCCTGTTGAGCAGCTCTGGTGCTCTCAAAATACGAAAGACGTCGTGGATGGTCTTTGATAGCCAGGCATAATCTGGGTCACTTGTCAAAGACGGTTTTAAGCTGTGCATACGTTCCTGTCCGGAAGAAATCAGCGCCCAGCCTTTCATTACCTAAGTTTGCGCAGCCGCAGCGTACTACGGTGGAAGTCCATTAAGCTGAAGTTCCCATAGAGTAGTAAAAATCTTAAAACCGACTCTAACTTTGCGATAACTACACTGCAGAATGATCATCCCTTTACAGGACCCTACCATGACAGGTTCAAACCCATCTGAACTCAAATCTCCACAAGATATCGAGAATGAGCTTGCCGCAGAAGCAGTGCGCAAAAGCTTTCTACTTATCCCACTTTACTGATCTTGCTTACAGCCTCCTCCATCATATTATAACAACACCTCTGAACAAGATGCAGTTGCGGGTGCATCCTCTTCTAGCAGTCCTCTTCAGCCTGCATTCAAGTCTAAACCAACAAATTACTTGCATCTCTTCAATGAGAATAGCTCTGTCAAGGGGCAGTACGTCATAGACCCTGGCATGAGCATCCCCACCTCTCTTCTTCCACCCCTGTCTCCAGAAGAGAGCGAGGCAGACAGAAAGAATCTATCCTTGCACTCGAAAAATGGATCTGTCAATGCAGAAATATGGCTACTTGGTGCTCAAGACGCCCAACCCTTCGATTCTAAGAAGCCCACAAAACGCACGATACTCGATATAGGCTCTGAAAATGGTTCTATCACTGCGCGGGTTGTATGTCGTCTATCTGATTGCCATGGGCTTTTCGTTGATCGGAATTCCAGCATACTACTCACAGGGCTGCGCCTTTCTTGTTGAACATTTCTGCGAGTAACGGTGCTGTGAACGTCTCTCTTCCGCGCTCTTTTAACGGTCTCCTTCTTCTGACGACCAAGCACGGCTCCGTCTCACTCTCCGATACTCTTTCCGAGAACTGCACGCATCTCAGTCAAGTGGATTTGACTCGCAGATATTTTGTTGGAGACTTCTCCACGCTTGATGATAGCGATTGGCCTGGGGATGAACTGCGGGTAGAAGGAAAACATGGAAAGATCAGGATAAGATACGTTGAAGAGCATACCAGTGCAGACGATACCAGCAAAGGAGGTCTTTTGAGTCGGTTATTCGGGTGGTAGTGGGTACTTTTTGGAGTCACTTGTACGACTATTTTCCAATTCCCGACTCTGTCGGATCGTTTACGTTCTGAATCCCACTCCTCAGGTCCCGCTCTTCAATCACGTCTGCTTTCCCTACCAATGTCACTTGGGCTGACGCATATAATCGCCCACTTTCTCTCAGGAATTGACCTATGAGTTAATATCTTGTATGCGTCCGGACAGAGAACAGAGACAGACGCATGCGTCACAAAAGGCTCTAGAACAACTTCCGAAAAAGGAAAGATTATCCGAAAGCGACAACCAGGTGCCTGAATTTGGCCTGAATACTAGGGGCGTGTGATCAGTCCTCAGCATGTGGCCTGCCTTTTTGTGTCGATCATTCGTTGCCGCAGTACGCAGCCGCAGTACCTTGAAAGCGCCGCAGCGTTTTGTCCTTGCATGCGAACTCACCCCAATTGATGACTTTACCTCCATCACCACTCAGTAGTCCCCAATGATCATCTCAGAGAAGCAGCTCCAGGATGACTATACAGAGGTGGCAGAGGCCGGGAAAGATCAATCAGAAGCAGGGAACAACGCCATGGATGTTCGTTGATGAGATATTTTCCAGACACTGCCGCCATCATTGACTACTGTCCGTAGGATGCACCACCTCCAGCATATTCAAAACCTGTGCAACACACATCAAGTTCACGTCCCACGGAGCTTCAGCCTCCTTCCAAGCCTACCAATTTTCTTTCGCTTATACTCAAGGATAAAGCCATACGAGGCTGTTATGTCATCGACCCTCTGATGGAAATACCCCCTAGTCTGCTTCCTCCAATGAATACTGGAGAAACAGATCAGGAAAGAAAGAATCTTTACCTTCGCACAAAGGATGGGAGCATCGATGCTGATATTTGGTTGATCGGTCAAGAAGAAGCTGCTCCTAGAAATGGTAGCCGCACTACCCTCTCGCTAAGTTCCGACGATGGAAGTATCACAGCTAAAATCGTGAGTATTGATCATTATTAACATCGCACCGCCTGATGTGCCCTAGAATACAGTCAAGATCGTTGCGTCATTCCTGTTGGACGTCTATTCACGCGATGGACGAGTAACCGTCCTTCTACCTCGGTCGTTCCACGGTTTGCTTCTCTTGACTACCAGGCAAAGTGCAAAGCTTTCCGACGATCTTCTGCAACAGAGCACTATATTAAGCACTGTGGGGCATACGCGGCGATATTTTGTCGGTGACGTTTCGCATCGGTTTGATGGCAATGATTGGGATGGGGATGAGCTCAAAGTTGTGTCTCGGGATGGCAGGATTATGATCAGATACAAAGATGAGGCAGAGCTGCCAAAACTTGGTTTCTTCAGTCGAATATTCAGCAGCTAGATTAATGACGTACGAATACTTATAGGGGTTGGTTCAAATTGGTCGGCAGAGGGCCAGAGGCCGCTGCTTACGGCTGCAGACCGCTGTGATCACGGAACTGCCTCGGAGGCCCATTAGGCAACTCCCCACGCACGGTGGTGCAAGATAATCACTTCCGAAATCCGATGATCATCTCCGACTCAGATCGGCATCGTCCGACTCTCCCTTTTATCAGAGCAACTCTCGCAAACCTTCAATCTCAAGTCTCTTTCTTATCCATCATGGCCAACGTTTACGTGAGTGTCATATCGGCGATATTCGCGACGAGGCGACTTATATCTGGCTTATCTGATTTTATAGTTCGACATCACCATCAACGGTAACCCATCCGGGCGCATCGTTTTCAAGCTCTTCGATGACGTTGTACCGCGAACCGCGAGAAACTTCCGCGAGTTGTGCACCGGTCAAAACGGTTATGGATATGCTGGCTCTGGCTTCCATCGCATCATCCCATCCTTCATGCTTCAGGGTGGTGACTTCACCAGAGGCAACGGAACTGGTGGCAAGTCTATCTACGGCGAGAAGTTTGCTGGTGAGGATCATAGGCGCCACTAGAATGCGGCATCTAAACTTGATATATTTCAGATGAAAACTTCCAACTAAAGCACACCAAGCCCGGACTTTTGTCCATGGCAAACGCAGGCAAGAACACCAATGGCTCGCAGTTCTTCGTCACCACCATCGTCACTAGCTGGCTCGACGGTGCTCACGTAGTGTTTGGTAAGGATGTTCATTCAGCAGATGTTGAACAAAACTAACTTATGTATCAGGTGAGGTTGTCGAGGGCATGGACCTTGTGAAGGCGATCGAGAAGTACGGGACTGAATCTGGCAAGCCTAAGGCCGAGATCAAGATCGCCGCTAGCGGTACAGTGTAAGATATGTGACTAATGCAGAAAGGTTCGGAGAAAGAAGATACTTTTATTCGTCACGAATGAGTTGTACGTTGTTAGAAAACCAGTATTACTTATGATCTTATCGATATGCAATTCAATCGTAGAGATTAGATGATCATAGATCCATGAAACGTTACGTTCAGTTCTATTCATAGGTGTAGCCTATGTATATATATAATAATTGTAAGGTTGAGTTCAAAGGACAGATGACTTCCTTCGAGATGTGGGGACGTGCTTGGAGCGGGGAATCAGCGTACTAGGTATAAGTGTACATGAAGTCCTCAATTATGGCTAGGCCGAACGATTATGTAAAAACGGAGGCAGAAGGAGGTGGCGTTGCTGAACTTGGCAGGGTGGAGTACCAACGAGTGGCGGTATGAAAGGGTATGGTTTTTGGCATTTGCAGAACAATGAGAGCTTTATAGAGATTCCGGGCAATTGTGTTGGAACTGGAGTGACAGTAACGAGAAAAGGGAACAAGGGTCGACAGCAGTGAAGGATTTGGTTGGGAACTGGGACCGTGCTGGTTGACGACGACGTTGAGATAATGAAGGAAAAGAAAAGGATGCATCCGTATGACTCGGATGCGAAGCATACGTGGATGGCTGGATAAGTCCGAGCGTGTTCGTTTTGAGTACATGGTCGGGGCATAGAGAATATACGGTCCTTACAGTATGCTTGATTGCAAGCAGATAGTTTTATGGCCGGCCTATATATGCAAAAGTGAGCCGAGGTGAGTACATCAGTACGCGAATGCAGCGAAGTGAACCTCAGATTCATGAATTGGAGGAGCCATAAAAACAATGCATTGAAACGAGGTTAGATGAGGAGACAGTTGGTAACAAAATTAGTAAGAAGGCGTTTACGCGAGCACAAGTCACAAGTGCTGGCCCATCTGTGTCATGGTGGCTGGGTTGATAATTCCTTCCGTTGTCTGGTTCTCTGAAAGAGTTCACAACAGTGGACTTCCTACACGAGTAAGTTTGAGTGAGTAATGTTATAGAACCTTTGAGTGCTCTCTACTCATGGCCGGCTTCCTCGCCGGACTTGCATGCGGATGTGAACTCACTGGATTTTGTGGCAGAAAAGAAACCTCTGTAAGGCGGCTGCAGACAGGGTACTGAAGCTTGCTGGAGTGTACCTTGAGCGCTGTGTGCAGAAAGTGAGGTTGATGCACACTGGATACAAACTTGTGTGCTGTCAGTGGGTTGCTCGGATTCAGGAAGTCTGTCAAGGCTACCGCACGATGTCACTATCATCTCGTCAAACCTTTGCCGCACCAGGATCTTTACCACCATCTCTTCGGATCCTAGGAGTCTCTCATGCCTGCTTGTCCGTCTACTACTTCCTCGGTTCAGTGTTTGCTTATTTCCTACGGTACTCACACGTCCTTGTTTGCAACTCTCAGTCATGTCCTCCCTCCAGGTGACTAGGACCGCAATAGAAAGCCTATAAGAATGATGAGTTTGACATGATGGTGGTTGGCATAGAATGGTGGCTGGTGACGTAGACGCTGCGGAACTTTCCGCCGATCACGTCCCCAGCGAAGTCTGTGCACACCGCAAACTTCATACAGACGACCATGTCCTAGTCCTACTAGTACATGTCCCTGACTGCTGTGTGGCAAGTGGAAAAGAGAAGCCACGTGCTACACAGCTATACTCACATCAGAATTCCAGGTTGCCATCAACATTACGCTTGACTCGGGAGTTTTGGTTTTTATTTTATTTTAATTTTATTTTCGCATTCACCTTCAACTCAATGGCAAGATTTCCAGTGAGCAGTGTCTATTCCTGCTAGATCCTGACCCAACGTGAGGCTCGATCGCCATGGTAGCATTAATCCTGTGCTCTAGCAAAGAGTTAATTTGCATTATTTTCCAATGGCAGGGATCAGATATCAAACATTCACTATCCATGCGAGGCTAGTAACATTTTATTTGAAACGCTGATGGCACAGCGCTATATACGGAATTGCCGTACATTTTCAATGCCAACGTTCTTGTATCCCATGCCTGGGCCAGTGATGAATACCTCGGAAGCGAAGCAAATGTGGGTGATGCATGCATGACTATGTATCCTGATAGCGACTGAATTGTTCTGCATGGACGCCCTTCCACGAGCCGGATGTGCCTCCTCTGCCACTTTACTTTTGATCCCCCTTGGGCCTTGATCGTCATGGTGGCCACAATCAGTGATGTGCTGATGGGCCAACTAGAATTATGCAGCTGCAACACTATATATAAAGCCGTCGGCTTGCCGGTTTCTGGGAAGTGTTTGACTGCAGACTTACATCCATAGTGCTATTGCGATCACGGTTGGCATATAACGGATCGTCTCACATTCTCAACAGTCTTCTATCGTATGCTGGCTCATTGTACAAATGGATACCACCACGGAAGCGCAGGAAATGTGAGTGATACACGTACAGATTGATCATGTATGCGGCTGATGACGACTGGATATTTACAGATTATTATGCATGTATACCGGTCTGGTGGGAGACAGTAATCAAGCTTAGCTTTATCTTCAGTCTCGGGATGATGACTTGATGTTCCAGGTATCCTGATGTACGACCACATGGCAACCCTACCCGAAGAAATTGCTTTTATTTGGCGTCGTCCAAAAGCCCTGTCTGCAACGCTATTTCTGGTCAATCGCTATTTCGCTCTGCTCGTCAACATCTCCTGCTTAGTTATAATGTATTTGCCGCTTTCTTCTGAGGTTCAATGGTTTCATCACGTGTATACTGAACTAGCAGGCTCATAACTTCTTTCTATAGAGGTTTGTCTTGCTTTGGTTCTTGAATATTGCTCAACAAATACTTAGCTGTTCAGGGTATCTTCTGTTTAGACAGGTGTCTTTTGTTTTCCAAGCAGTCGTTGTTTGCCGTGAGTAGAATTTCATTATTGCGAGAACCTTATACACTAAGAATTGAAGTCATAATGGCCATTCGCACTTATGCTCTATACGGCGGCAGTAAGCGCCTGCTTACTTGTTTGACAATCATAATGTTTTCTCTTTCCATAGCAGTTTCTGTGCGTCTTCGCGTATAATTTTACACTCTTGTACTGATTATCTCTAGGCGGGATCTCTGGGGCATTATTCAAGCGATGCAGTCCTCTTGCCAGGAGTTGGCTGCTATGAGACTTATACAGCAGCGACGTACGCCACCCTCTTCGTTGTTGTGTATGATTATTCAAAATTTGTTGCAGAGCCACCCGTCAGTGAATTCCAACCCTAATTTGCATGCAACTCGATGTCACAATCTTACTCGAGTCCAATTACAGGTCTTGGGTTGGCATGGCTGGCAGAGATGGTATTCCAAACGCTGATCTTCATCCTGACAGTGTACAGGATTTTCAAAACTAGAAGCTTGCTGCGGCTGTCCCTGGTCACCAGGAGAAATATAGTTGATATCGTATTTCACGATGGTGAATTTTTCGTTGCATCTGATTTGTGCACGCTGACTCAATCAAATGCAGGTGCGATGTATTTCGGGTGAGGTTGCTACCCGAGATCGTGATTTAGGTAATTCTGATGTGATCATCTGCATGCCCTTCAGAGCCATGGCGCTTGTTAATATACCGAACATCCTGACGTATTATGTGAGTGAACGAATGAACATCGAACGCGTCGCAGACTGCTTACAGCCTGAATTAGTCTGGTTCAGTGAGCCAGACCTCATATTCAGGTTTCCTATTTCCTGACGATTGGCAAGGTTGGTATTAGAGGCAGTCTTTCTACATTGACTAGCTGGCGAGTTATTGTTGCAATAAGCACGAATTGATATTAATTGTGACATCTAGCTTATCCGTTACTCTCGTCTCTCGACTGATGCTCAACCTACACAAATCTATCGACACTGGCATTCTCTCCATCCCTGCACAGAACGAAGGTCCCAGCCTTGCTGTCCTTACCACCAGGATTAACGTACAGTCCGCTACCTCCTCTCAAGATTAGTAGGTTTATATTGGATTCTGTTTCTGGACACGAAGTTACAGAGATACTTGGTGGGAGCGAAAAGTTCTTGTAGTCGTTTTTTTGAATGGAGGAGTGGACCGTGACCGTGGACGACGCTGCACCCGCAACAGCAGCTATGCGTGTTGTATGCTAATTATTTTCCAATCATCATATATATATATACTCGTCCATAATCAGACAAAACTGCAAGCCTCTCAACGACGGGAATGTTGTTGGAGCACGAGATTGGGGATCAAGGCTTCAGTCAATACTTCGAAGTATCTTATGATTAACCTGTCTGACTTTATTAACCCTCTCTCGGGATATGCATGCACTTGCGACTTTATCGGATCTGTTCCTGACAAGAACTTGTGCAATGACATGACGAGGAAAGCGGTCCACACGCCATATGCATGGTACACCAGGCACATCTATTTCGAAAAGAGAACGAACGACTACATATTCTCATTCGTCTATGATCTATCTATCCTGCCAGGTCCAAGGTCCTTGGCATACTAAATACCGTATATCGGTGCTGCATGATGGGTGTGAGTAAATTCAACGCCCTCGCGCAATTCGGACACTTGACTTATATATCACGTCCATAGCAAATTGTGTCTTGCCACATGAGGTGTTATGCGTCGTGCAACTTACCCGTAAATCATTAACCTGAGTGCATCTTAGGAGCGATAACATCTGGCCCCAACTCCGGTCCCAAGGCAACAAACTGGAAAACACGAATTGAAGCCGAAATTTCGTGTACATTTTCAGATCAGTAAATTAGGTGTACATATCGTGTAGGTATACAATCTCAAAGTCTGCAATATCGAACTCCTTGCAATTCACAGGTTGGGCGTGACTATGACTGGATACTACATGCAAAGTCGTCAGAATGCTTCAATCAACAAGGTGGGAAGACGCACGGAATTGATTATATGCCAATATGCACGAACAGTATGCGCTGGTCCAAGGGAATTATGATGTCCTTGTCACAAGCCAACGACTGGACCGCTCTGTGCAGCGCCCAGGCAGCTCGTTTGGAATTCATTGGGCCATCCCCGCATAAGTTTTTGTAGAATGCCTTGACTAAATGCTGCACCGTACTATCGGTGACCTTCCACATTGTCCCCACGACGCTGTTAACCCCGGCAAATTGCAGGCCAGCCGCTAGGTGTATCACTTCGTCGGGAGTATCAAAGTCACCGACTGCGGTCTCACAGGCTGAAAGAAACGCAAATTCATGCCGAGACAGATCCGCTTGCGTGATATCAAGGAGCGAAAGCGGCTGATCGCGCATAAGAAAGGCTGACTTGAAGGGTTCGTCAACTTTCTGTGTCCCGTGACATGCGAGATGGAGCCAAGTATTTTACCCGCAACGCACACAATGCTCTCGATCTCGTGGCATCCACGCTGGTAACCTTAGAGAAGGAAACAGTAGGGGGAGGGAGCAAAAGTCCCCGCACCAACTCCAGCTCAGGCTCCACAGCATCCAATTTGAATGAGGCACCGGCTGGGAAATCCTGACCAATGGCCACGAAGGGCACCGACAAGGACCTGTCATGACTTCTGCGAGCCTTGATCAGCGCGGTGAGCGATGGTGTGTATGAAGAGATATACTGCTGCGAAACGGACTTTCCCTTTGGCCTGTACTCGCCAGCAGCATGTAACGGCATGAAATTGAAGAGAGACGTCGGGCACCACCATATTCGGGAACCTGGACGTACGATTCTACCCAGACTTTCGACCACCGGGCCAACCACACCGTCCCACAACTCTCTCAAAGCTTTTATCAGCGCTGTTTGGTTCCCTTTAGGACTGGCCTCTTTTTGAACTGCCTCTCGGAGTTCTGGTACTAATTTGACGAGTTTCTGCCAATCGGTAGGGAGTTGAATGCTAGTCGGAGGTTGCTTGTGCGGGATGATGATGGCGTGGCACGACGCCTCGCTTGCGATGAGAACGATGATAGGCCCATCACGAGCTGCATCTTGAAGATCGGAGAATAAGGGGGGGAGGAGGAAGCGGGAGAAGCCCTCGATCTTCCGGATCTCTCCTACAGCTCTATTCCACTCCGCCACTAGACGTCTGTACCGGGCTTCCTCTGCTTCTCTATCGACTCTCGAGTTTCCTTCCGAATAGTTCGCAGGAGGTTTGTCGAGGAGGGAGCTGAGGTTTCTGAATCTCTTCATCAGGGCTACTCCATGATCGCCGTGAGTCTGAAGGCTGTCAAGAGGAGTGCGGAGTCGTGTCATCTGGGTCCAGATGATAGTCCTGCCTTGTTCCAACAACTCGACAGCGCGACACACATCACCACTACGAAGAGCACAGCATGCAGCATCAACGGCAAGCGTACGTGGGAATTCCTTCATGATATTGTGACGAGACGATACGGAAGATGTTGTAGACATATAAGCGTCCAGAAGTTGCATAGAAGTTGCATATGCCTCCAGTTCAGTGGGATGTGAATGTTGAGAAACTTCATCAACCCAACGCAGGCTTATTCGCAGGCGGGCTAGCAAGCCTCCGGGGACGATATTTGCCGCTGCCTTGAAATGATACATGGCAGCATTCAGACTATCAGTGTCTTCACTTGCGCCAGTATCGCCAAGGCTTGAACGATGGAACGACAAACAAACGCTAGCCAGCGAGCTATGCACTAGTAATTGACGAGGATCATGTTGCATCATCAGAGCTAATGCACAGCGTAGGCTCTCTCGCGACTCCTCGAGGTCTTCTCTGTTGCCTCTGTGGTCAAAGCGGGAGGAGAGTTGATTGGCGAGGTTATTTAATGACGTGGACCGATTTGTGTGACCGACCGGGCGCAAGGCCAGCGCTTCCCTGTCAAGTGCAATAGCCTGATCCAGGTCTTCGGCGTTGCCTCGGTGCTCAAAGCAGGCGGAGAGTTGAGTCGCGAGGTTATTTAATGACATGGACCGGTCTGTGTGACCGACCGGGCGCAAGGCCAGCGCTTGCCTGTGAAGTGCGATAGCCTCATCCAAGTCTTCGTTGTTGCGCCGGTGCTTAAAGCGAAAGGAGAGTTGAGCCGCGAGGTTATTTAATAACCCTGACCGATCTGTGTGACCGACCGGGCACAAGGCCAGCGCTTCCCTGTGAAGTCTAATAGCCTGATCCAAGTCTTCCTCGTTGCCTCGGTGCTGAAAGCGGAAGGAAAGATGATTCGCGAGGTTATTTAATGACCCGGACCGATCTGTGTGACCGACCGGGCACAAGGCCACCGCTTCCCTGTGAAGTCTGATAGCCTCATCCAAGTTGTCATCGTTGCCTCGGTGTTCAAAGCGGGAGGAGAGTTGAGTCGCGAGGTTATTTAATGACATGGACCGATCTTTGTGACCGACCGGGCACAAGGTCAGCGCTTGCCTGTGAAGTGCGATAGCCTCATCCAAGTCTTCGTCGTTGCCCCGGTACTTGAAGCGGGAGGAGAGTTGATGAGCAAGGTTATTTAATGACATGGACCGATCTGTGTGACCGACCGGGCGCAAGGCCAGCGCTTCCGTGTGAAGTGCGATAGCCTCATCCAAGTCTTCGTCGTTGCCCCGGTACTTAAAGCGGGAGGAGAGTTGATTAGCAAGGTTATTTAATGACATGGACCGATCTGTGTGACCGACCGGGCGCAAGGCCAGCGCTTGCCTGTGAAGTGCGATAGCCTCATCCAAGTCTTCGTCGTTGCCCCGGTGCTTAAAGCGGGAGGAGAATTGATTCGCAAGGTTATTTAATGACCTGAACCGATCTGTATGACCGACCGGGCGCAAGGCCAGCGCTTGCCTGTGAAGTGCGATAGCCTCATCCAAGTCTTCGTCGTTGCGCCGGTGCTTGAAGCGGGAGGATAATTGATTCGCAAGGTTATTTAATGACCTGGTCCGATCTGTATGACCGACCGGGCGCAAGGCCAGCGCTTGCCTGTGAAGTGCGATAGCCTCATCCAAGTCTTCGTCGTTGCCCCGGTGCTTAAAGCGGGAGGCAAGTTCACTCGCGAGGTTATATAATGACATGGACCGATCTGCGTGACCGACCGGGTGCAAGGCCAGCGCTTTCCTGTGAAGTCTGATAGCCTCATCCAAGTCGTCATTGTTGCGTCGGTGCTCAAAACGAAAGGAGAGTTGAGTCGCGAGGTTATTTAATGATGCGGACCGATTTGTGTGACCGACCGGGCACAAGGCCAGCGCTTCCCTGTAAAGTGCGATAGCCTCATCCAAGTCTTCGTCGTTGCCTCGGTGCTCAAAGCGGAAGGAGAGTTGAGTTGCAAGGTTATTTAATGACGTGGACCGATCTGTGTGACCAACCGGGTGCAAGGCCAGCGCTTCCATGTTCAGTGCGATAGACTGATCCAAGTCTTCGTCGTTGCCTCGGTGCTCAAAGCGGAAGGAGAGTTCAGTTGCGAGGTTATTTAATAACGTGGACCGACCTGCGTGACCGACCAGGCGCAAGGCCAGTGCTTCCATCTGAAGTGTGATGGCCTGATCCAAGTCTTTGCCATTGCCTCGACGCTCGAAGCGAGTTCCCAGCATGGCAGCCAGATTACATAGCAATTGCCCTCGGTAAGCATGTCCGGTATTGTAGTATCGCAGTGCATCGTAATGAAGGGATATCACTTCATTTAAGGCACGGGGCTCATCTCTCTCCAAACACCGCTGTGCTCGATGAAGAAGCTGATTTGGTGATAACGGGAGTATGGGTGCGGCAGGCCGCTCCTGCTGAAGATCATTTGTATCTATGCTTCCAACAGAATGCAGAGCGGATGTTTCTATTGCAATCAAAGCTGCTCTGTAAATGTGACTGTTGGCGTGACAGACATCAAGTACTTCGCTCAGTAACTCTTCAGCTGTGTCGGCATCTCTTTGAAATTCCCGTCTCGCGAAGCGAGAGAGCAGAGAAATAGCAAGATGGAGTTGGGTGGTGGGTCGGTCTGGATGACCAGTGGGATACAAATCAAGTGCGTCTTGAAAAAGTGAGATAGGTATGTCGAGGTCGAGGTATCTTCCGTTGGCTTGGCAACTAATAAACTTTGCAGTGGCTAGATTGAACATTGCTGCAGGGCGGTAGGGATGATCCACAGGGCAGAGATCTGAGGCGCGTTCGAAGTGATTTATGGATTGGTCGAGATCATTGTCGTTCTGCGTCCTGCGGTATCGTGCGAGAAGACGATGTCCGGCATCCGTCCTTTGAGCTAACGCATCCATATCGCGAGATGTAAGCTACAAATTACAGGGATCAGCATTAGAATCCCAGACTGCATTGACCACTCACGGTAGTAAGGGGACAAAGAATTCTCCCATCGTTTTGATCAGAAAACCGCTGCTCCACCACCATGAACAGTGAAGTACAAGTAGATACGACTTCGCCCTGCTTCGGTTGAAATTTTATGGCTGTGATAGTCGTTAGCATCCGTCAGGCGTTATTTGCAATGGACAATACTGACGATGAGACCTTTCGCTGCGATCCAGCAATTCTCCAACAGAGATCTCGAATGTGCGCAGGAGTTCTCCGTGACAGAGCATGTGACCCAATTCAAATGATGCATACACGCTGACCCGAGCTTTAGAAGATGACTCGCACGACCTCGAGTCTTTCTCAATGCCTGCAAGACAAACGGGGTTGAAGACCACTTACAGAAGAATGCGCTCGTGCCATTCGACGACAGCTTCATCCACATGTGCAGATTTGTTGCTTGTCCAATATTCAGCACCGTTAACCTTGATTACCACATGGAAGCCAGCGGGAATCCGTCGAAGACCAAGAGCGAGATCGGTTGCGCGAATGGCTTGAGGGAAATCGTTAATACGAGCTGGATAGAGATAGATGACACATACAAGTAATGACGACTTGTTGCACTCCACTGAGGTGTATCTCTCCCAAGTCCTGTGTGTGTTCTGAATGGCTTGGCTCCTCATCTATGACTGGGAGGGCATCATCGAGTGGATCAGACAGGGAATCTGTCATGGGAAATCATGGGCACCGCGTGCTGAGTAAAGGTAGATGACACATACTGTTGATGGCGACTTGTAACATTTCACTCATCACCAGGTTTGTCTCTCCCGAATCTTGAGGTTGTTCTGGTTGGCCCAGCTCCTCGCCTGATACTTGGAGGCTATCATTGGGCGGGTCTGACACAGAGTCTGTCTCGAAACAAAACAAGAGAGTAACGACGAGATAAAGTGCCGCCAAGAATGTTTTTGGAAATTATCGGTACGTGGTAAATGAAGATGGGTGACACATACTATTGACGACAACTTGTAGTGTTTCATTGATCACAAGGTTTCTATGTCCTGTGTCCTGGGGGTGTTCTGAGTGACTGAGTCCCTCTCCCAAGGGTGGAGTGTAGTCATTGAAATGGCCAGGAACGGATCTTGACATGTGGATAAGGGATGGATTTCAACTAACACTTGAGAATAAGATGTGTATTGGAGGTCACGAAAATACTGCAGAACCTGTGAGGTCCCGATGGCTTATAAGTGAGGGGGTCACGGCATGCATGTGGCATTCCACACTGTGCTACAGCACTGATGTCATTAGGACCTAAGTGACTCGCAGGATATCGCGCCACGCATAACCTGTGCATCATGTGCAGTGGGCGTCAGATTTGTGCAACAGAAGCACGTTGTAGCCTGTATGGTGCGATATTGATTAAAGCACCTGAAACGAAAAGGATACCGGAGCAAGGCATTCCATACTTTCGCAAGAATTCGAATACTACGAAGCCGCACTGCCTGGATGTGACTACCCTTAAGCTTGACAGGCCATCATACTGCTCTGAGTCTGAGAGAATAAATATGTTGCGCGAGAAGGAACGTCTATGACTGCATTTTGCTGCAAGGAGCACACGTGCATCAAGGATAACATCGAAGTTGATGCCGGCCACCAGCAGGCATTATGTAATCACATCTAGTGCTTCTTCCATTGGCATAGTTTCTAACTTTGCAATGCCAGGTTCAAAGTTTCCAACGATATCCACGAATACCCTTATTTCAATTTGAAGAAATATAACCGTTTTTTCCGGTCAAGCGTGGCACTACCAGTGAGCCAAGAATACAACCCGAATAAGCATACTAATTTCCAATAAGACTTTGATCACAACATTCATATGTGCGACCTACAAGTTTAAATTGTGTCCTTGATCAACACCACGTTATAGAAGTGTGCAATGTGGTAAATTTAGTCCCAGAGATACACCAGGAAAATGCGGTCCCCAGGACCATCCAGATACTACTATGCTTTCTCTTAACAGACCTTGCCTTCAAACACTCCGACTTCAAAACACCAGTCCGGATTCTGTTGCAGAGGACTCGTCCTCGCAGCGTGTATGTTGCTAAGGATCAGGTTCGTTCGTTTCCTCTTTTCATTTCTCCAAGCCCTGGCACTTTCAACTATCTGGGTCTATTACGACTACTTTACCAACCACATCCCGAATCTCCCTCCTCATCTGTGGAGACTCCGTCGTCCCTATGCGCAGACGCCCGCGCCAGTCCTTGCCACTGACGAAACACGATTCATCCACACTTCGCATCACTTTAGATACTTCTGGGAACACACAGGGAGGTAAATCTTGATGATGGTGAGACGTATGGGTATGTAATAAGGGATTTTATTTGGTGTAGGTTCAATGCGAAGAGTACGAAGGAATGGTATGGTGCACATCTCGTCTGTTGATGCCGCAAGGGCGGCACTCGGTGCGTACGACTGTATGAACGAGTCCGCGCGCAGTGTGAGGGGTGTGAGAGTGGTGAAGTTGGTTGTTCTTGGACTTGGGAAGAAGCATTTGGGTGTTGTTTTGGATGGCGAGAGGGAGGTCGAATGAGATTTTCCCGTGGAGTTGGGATGGGGGTATTGGTCGTGAAAGATCCTGCGGTGCGCATGGTGAATGATTGGGCTGTTGTTGTGAAGTTCGAGTGGCATACTTAGAGTGCTTGTGCTTTGTGTCGCAGATGAGTTCATTGCTTTCATGCCTTGATCGAGGTCGAGCAGATCTAGACTAATAATACATGGAAAAACGAAGTCATGTAGTTTTATCCGCCTGAGATACACGATGGATCTAGGCTCTAGGGAGGCCGCAGGGACTTGATGTTCTATTTATTAAAACCGTGTTCGGGACGAGATTACATGAAACCTTGGATGCTACATGCTTTATGTTGCCAGCTGTGGGCGCTGAGGTACTGCGGTCTATGAATGAAATCGGACGTATAGAACTCTTCGATTGAAATTTCGATTGCACCTAAACGCCTACGATAACATTACTGCGCTGATTCAATCTCGAGCATTCAAAGTTTATGTTTCATCACATCCGTCGAATATTTGCAGGAAAGCAGGTATGTGGTCAAAAGTTACCCTAGCCGTCCTCACTGGTATGCCTTTTTGGCTCATGGACTTCGACAACTTGAATATGAGCGCTGAGTCCGCGTTTCAATGCTGTGGCCGAAACCTCGTGCACGAAGCTTTATTATTACTCGCCCGAGAGATGTGCATATCATCTATAGATCTGTTATCAACTCGCGCTCGGTGAGTCGATTATCCGCTGAGGCTCTGAACTTCTGCACGAGGCATGTTCGTAACCGCTTCGTGACTAATGCCTCCATCTGACCACCCAGACCATTTTGACTCGTCTTCTGCATGAGATATTATGCCGGTCTTCCTTTACTGATGCAGATGTTCGCTTCGTCCTTTGCGTTAGATATGAGTACAATTGCTGTGTAGGAACGTGCCGTATATCAATCGGCAGTGGTGCATGATATGGAAAATGCTGTCCAGCCTGACAGTTTCAAATCCTGCAGTAGTTCACTTCATACAAATATACCTGTGTCCGATACAGCACAGACAATCTGAGGCGCTGAAGAGTTGCATTCATCTGAGGACAGGTAGAAGGGGGGTCAGTGTTTGTTCAACATCAGAGAATAATGAGATCTCTTCCTTGCACACGCGATCTCAGCATATTTCTTTCGGTTGAACTGTGCAGAGTTGTCTACAGGGCAACAACGAACCGGCGGCAAGATAGACAAACACTCACTGTGAAAGACACACGATGATACATGACAGGTGGCGTCCCACCGTTGCAAGATCGCAATCTGAAATCATGAGTGATACCGTGACAGATGGGGGCGAGGCGTAGCGCCTTGATTTACGAATAGTGAGGAGAAACCATGAGAGAAGGATAAGGGAGTAGCGCCAGTAACGTTTGTAGCAAAAATTAGGCTGTGGCTTTTAGGATTGCCGGCCCGGGCAGGCTTCCTCGGATCCACCCAAAACATCTTCCCTTCTTTCTCAGACAACAGTGGTAACATTTTTCCAGACTCTGACACGATGATTATAAACCACCCCTAGAATTTGCTCTCATCTCCACTTCCAAGACCTACCAGAACAGAGCTCATGCAGTAGGATGTAGAAGTTCTCAATCGTCGAAGGAGAAATTTCATCTGCAAGGTCAGTCTTGAGTGAGGCAGTCAGACTCAAAACTAGCAGTGGTCATGTCATCATACTTGAGTTCAGAGTTCCATGTGGAGTCGAGATGAGTGCTACATTTTCAATTGATATAGCCTCGGCCACAGATCATGGAATATGGAGGACCTCAATATTGACAGGTAGTATGATGGGTTGCTGGTGACCGGTTCTAACTTGAATCACCTGCTTAGTACTATGTAGTAGTAATGCTGGGCACTTGACTCAGCAGATACTGCGCATCAATTCACAAATACGGTCACATGCGAAACCCCGATCGAAGATACATAGGGATGGGCAAAACCGTAACCTGGCATGTAAGTACATACTTTGGCTGTTCCAGGATTCATACTAAGTGACATTACCAAAATAAAACAGCATGTTGGGACGGCATAGTTCTAAGCAGTGATGGCGTTTTGATCGTGGTCAGCTACTTTGCGCCTGTTATCTGCAAGCGCCAACATCCCAGCTCACACTAGGTATTTTGCGCTCTTTGACCTGGAACTGGTTTCTAGCACGAAGGCCCACTGAATTGTGTTTGCTCGAATATGACCCCGGAAAATCTGGGGTCAAGTTTAACTTTCATTCCATACTGAATTTGGTCTAGTCTTGACCCCAGACGGCCACTCCAGAGAATTCATTGAAGAAACGACGTACGGGTGTTCCTGTCCAATTTTTTACTGCGCTATGCAGTCACGGAATTGGTCAACGTTTCTTATTCTCCGAATCAAGCACAATATATAATGTGAGTTTCGGTTTTGTTCATACCAGAGCAGTCTTATTCAACACATTCCATCTTCAATATCACTTACGCTTACCATGGATTTTGGAGGAGACGTATTCGGCTACTTGGGTCGAAACATCATCCATGATCATAATAGTGTTCTTCTCAAAAAGCTTCCTGGACATTCCGAACACCATGCTGGTCGTAGACATATCCCGCAGCTACCAACACTATCGAAGCTTCCGCTCTCTCCGGATGGCGCTAGTAATAAGGACAGCCACCCGGTTGGAATTTTAGGGGCAGGGGTTGGTGGTCTATACACCGCTCTCATGCTAGATTCGCTGGACATCAAGTACGAGATCTTGGAGGCATCAGACCACACCGGTGGCCGCCTCTTCACCTACAAGTTCCCGGATAGCAACGAATATGACTACTATGTATGTTACTCGCTTTATGCTGCTGTATCAATAATGCTCACTATCTAACCTCCTTTCTCTCTCGTAGGATGTTGGTGCCATGAGGTTCCCCCTGCCGCAGAAAGACAGTGAAGGCAATTACAAGACCGGTATCATGAAGCGCTTAGGCGATTTAATCAACTATTCAAAGCTCAACGACGGTGAAATCATACCTTTGAAGTCCAAACTTATCGATTACTATTACGAGGCGAGGCGAGGAGGATCTTTCCTCTACTTCAACAATGAACAGTACCAAGTCTCCGATAAATCGCACCCTCCTGACTTCCATGCAGGGAAAATGGGTGTTGAGTCCGAGTATGTCACTGTAGGAGTAAAGAAGATTGTCGACGATGTCATTGAGCCATTCGCCCGCATGCTCATAGACGATTTGGAGAAGCAGGTCACTAAGGGATGGGAGGTCATGAAGAAGAACGACGCATACTCGCTTCGCGCATACATGTTGTTCAAGTACATTCCCAGCGTCAACCTCAAGCTCCCGCCTATGCATCTTTCCACCAACGTTATCAATTGGTGCGAGACATTCGAAGACAGCACCGGCTCATATGACCGCGCTCTAACTGAAGCGGTTCTCGAGTCGCTGGCGTTTGCCAAGGCCGATTCGGGCATCGTGGAATGGAAGTGTTTCAAGTAAGCATGCCCGTTGTCTCCAAATTCGTGCTCTCATACTTCCCGTACCCAGCGGCGGTTCTCAGGTGCTCACCGAGTACATGACGGATTACATCACAAAGAAGAAACCCGGTGCTATCAAGCTCAACAACAGAGTCACTTGCATCTCTCAGGATACTGACACCATGAAGGTTTCTGCAAGGAACACAGTAAATGGCAAGGTGACCACCGCATACACATATTCACATGTTATATCGACCACCCCTCTGCCATGCCTGCGGGCAATGGATCTCTCTGGTGCTGGTTTAAACGTGATGCAGAAAAACGCATTGCGCAAGCTACAGTACGGTCCTTCAATCAAAGTTGGGATCTATTTCAAATCAGCATGGTGGACGGACCTGTTCGGTATCGAAGGAGGCCAATCATTCACCGACCTTCCCATTCGAACTATCGTCTACCCTTCTTACGGGATCTACAGTAGCTCACCATCCACAGTACTGATCGCGAGTTACTGTTGGACAAATGACGCAGAACGCTTGGGAGCGCTCATCAACAGTGGTAAAGACAGTTACAACGAGCAACTAAAGGAACTCGTGCTGCGCGATCTCGCGGCAGTACACGGAGACAAAGCTAATTATCAGTTCTTATTGGACCAATTCAAGGACATGCATGCATGGGACTGGACCTGCGACCCGCTCACCATGGGTGAGTCTGTAAATACTGATGTGATTCAATCGATGCTCACTCCACTACAGGTGCCTTTGCGCAGTTTGGGCCTGGAGATTTCCAAGATTTATACACCTCTCTCACTGTTCCAAATCAGAACAAGAAGTTCCACTTCGCTGGAGAAGCTATTAGCACCCGTCATGGGTGAGTGAAAGCAGTCGTCTTTGGGATGATTAAAATTCAAAGGCAATGACACTTGCAGATGGGTTGTTGGTGCGTTGGACAGTGCATGGCGCGCAGTGTACGAATACCTGCTTACTTCTAGAACGCCTCAAGACACCATTGACAAATTCTTCAAACTGTGGGGCACAAACGTCGAGTGGGTACACCCATCACCCTTGTGTGGTAAAGATAAAGACAGTGCAGAGGCGAACACTATGCTGCGAGTTCACATGGGATTAGCCTATGCTGGTGAATTGTCTGGGGAGGTGAAGTTTTGAACAAGATGTAGTAGTTAGCTTGGTATCATCGACTGAATATGTAACATCACTCGCTTTGTACTATCATGTATGATTTGTTTGTTCCGAGGAACTGAAATACGTTGTATGTTTCCGTTAACTTTTGAGGACCACTCGTGTGATTCCTGAAGCACTGAATCTTTGTATCACATCGTGTTCGGTGAGCACGAATTCATCTAATAGGAAGGGAATTCGATAAAAATTCTTGAAGTAGCTGGTGCTATTCCACGGTGCTCGATCATGTAGACAGGCATCACTCTACACAACTGGACGAAGACCAGAAGTATCAACGTTCCACTACAGTCTTATTCTTTGAATATTAATAGTCTTCCTTCTGACTCGTCTAACTACTAAATCTACGGGGATGATGCGAATCCATTTTTTATTTATTTTAAGAACATCAAGACACGGGCCCTCTACATACCAGCTCCTGAAGGACATGTTGTAGTACATAGGGAAACAAACGTCAAAGATTATGAAGCTGAGTCTGCAGTTCTACAGGGGCCGGTAATTTCATGCTATATTCAAAGCTCGACGTAAAAAGTTGTCTTCTCAGGATCTTCCCCGTCATCGAAATCTTCCCATTGTTCACAATCCTCCACGCTGTCGGCTGGAAGGTCATCATCTGAACCTTCCGCTCGACCCTTACGCACTGTCTGACGGCACGACAGAAGTTAGATTCAGCTGTTTAACTGAAAAGATAAACATTACATACCGTGTGAGGGTGAAATGTGATTTTGTTGAGGAGATATCGTTGGGCCAAGGCCGAGAGATTCATTCTGGAGGCGTCAAGGTCAAAAAAACAGTAAACGTGTCAACAGACGACATTACACACCAAATGAGAATAAACCGTCGCCGAAGCACTGCCAGCATTGAAATCAGGCACTGTGTCAATGACAAGTCGGGACTTTGACTTTGTGGGGCATCAACATCGGGTAAGTGAGAAAGAGACCAGAGCACGCACTGGCTGAGAGCGGGACGCGGTCAGAGGACCATCAGCGTCGGGTGAGCGAGCCAAAAGACGAACACGCACTTCCTGAGAGCGGGACGCAGCCAGAGGACCATCAGCGTCGGGTAAGCGAGCCCAAAGACGAGAACACGTACGAACTGGGAGCGGAGCGGGACGCGGCCAGGGGACCATCAGCGTCGGCTAAGCGGACCAAAAGACAAGAACACACGGACTGAGAGCGGGGCGCGGCCAGAGAACCATCAGCGTCGGGTAAGCGAGCCAAGAGACGAGAACACGCACGTCCTGAGAGCGGGACTGCAACTCTGTTCTATCCTCCGTCCCTACTTTCACACCCAAGAGAATGAGGGCCTCCAGTTTGATCAAAGCTATTTGACGCAGCCCTGCCTATGGACAATTACAGTGTACGTCGTCTGATTCTGTCAGGATGAAAAGGAAAACTGTTAGAATATCAATTATTATGACAGATATAAAATAAAATATACCCAAGTTATACGGACAGTGTGACAATTGCTATTAAAGTGGTGAGTTTTGATGTGGCATGAATGAAGTTTGACGCTGCATGGACGAGGTTTGATGCAGCATCGACATGGCACAATTTGTTTGATGCGGCACTGACGCACATGTGACGCGGCAGAGTGTGGATGTTGGATGTTGATGTTAGTACATACTTGACCCAGCCTAAACAAGGCTTTTGACACGCCATAGTGAGGCTTGATGCGGTGGTGCAGAGAGAGCGGATCAAATTTGGCAGGGTGAGGACCAGACTTTTGAGTTCTGAAGCAGGCTAATATTTGTAAAAAAACATACCAGTACATTATCTAGTAGTTTCAAAGCTTCGGAAGCAGGTGTGGCATTGAGGGCCATTAGTAACTCAGTGAAGAGTGGTAGTCGTGTTTGGTTCGTAGGATTCAGGCTCACTACACAGTGCACACCAACGGTTTCTTTAGGAAGGTTCAGCCATCCACGTGACTCACGGATGCAAAGACGCTTCACCCGGAGTTCACGCATCGCATCCGAGTTAAGCGGACGCTTATTCTCCTTCATCACCTTACCTTGTGCTCGAACATCATGATCTCCGTGCCTTCACCGTTTATTCTCACACTCACGGTATGCTCCGTTACCTCTTCAGGACTAGTAAGCCGCCCGAAAACGTATACGTATACCTCATGCACACTCATTTTCGATAGCAGAATCGTATTCGTATACTCTGATTTCCCCGCTTCAAGCACAACAGAACGCCTCAAAGAAAGTCTTAATCTCTAACATCTTGCTATGCTCGTCTTCGTGTTACCTATATACACGTCTCACACCTTCGTCCTCATGTTCGCAATTCCCTGACGAACTCATACACAGCTTTACAGTATCAACTATAGAACTTGATTTTTGAGTCGACGGCTCAACTCGTTACAGGCAGTGTTTGACTTGCATACATAGCACCTGCTCGGTGATCGCGTGAATGAACGTTAGGGTCGAACACGGCTAGTATATAATGGATCACCGCACATTCTCAGCATCCTTATTCTGTTGAATTTCGCCTTATCACGATGCATATTACTGACTCAGAAGTGCAGCAAGTGTGAGTGATACACACGTAGATTCATCATGTATCCTGACGGCGATTGGATATTTACAGGTTGTTCACCATGTACGCCATTCTGGCGGGCAACAGTACTAGAGTTTGTTTCCTTCTGCATCAAGACGATAACACGATATCTTAGGTATCCTGATATACGACCACATGGTGACCCTACCGGAAGAAATCGCTTTTATTTGGCGTCGTCCGAAATCCCTATCTGCAATGTTATTTCTGCTCAATCGCTATGTCGCATTGTTCGCCAATATCTCCAGCTTGGTTGTGGAATTCCAATCTATAATTTCAGATGAGGTTCTGTCATTTTGTTATGCGTGTACTGAACTGGCATGTTCATGACTTATATAGAGGTTTGGTTCGCTTTTTTGAGCATACTGTTTTGCTCAATAAAAGCTTAGCTGTTGGAAATTTTCGCTATACAGAGAACTCGTTCTTTTCCTCCAGGGAATACTCGTCTCCAGTGAGTAGGAGTTTGTTGCGCGAAATCCACATACAGAATATTTCAGTCACAATGGCTATGCGCACTTATGCTCTCTATGGATGTAACAAGCGCCTCCTTACTTGGATAGTAATCGTCATGGTTGCTCTTGTGGGAGTGTGCTGTGTACGTTTTTGCGTAAAATTTTGGACTCTGGAGTCTACTGATCGTTTCTAGGCAGATACTTTTGGACAATATTCGAGCGATTTGATCATCGTTCCAGGATTTGGCTGCGATGAAACATTTTCAAAAGCGGTGTATGTCATCCTCATCCCCATTCTGTGTGCTTGCTCAAAAGTCCTTACAGATCCGCCCGTCAGTGATTTCTAAGTCACATTTGCGTGCGATATGATGTCATAACCTTGTCTGATTGCAGGAATTGGGGTGGCATATGTGGCCGAATTCATCTTCGATCTATTCATCTTCATACTCACCGTGTACAGGATTTACAAAACCAGAGGCTTACTGCGATTATCTCCATTCGGCAGGGAAAATATCGTTGATGTCATATTTCACGATGGTGAATTCTTCATCGTATCTGTATTGACATTGTGCTAACTGAATCGATCAAACGCAGGTACGATGTTCTTTGGGTGAGGTTACTGACGAAATAGTGGATCGAGTAGTTCTGATCCTCATTCCAGAGCGATGACACTGTCCAATATACCGAACATCCTGTCGTATTACGTGAGTCACTGAGTGAATATTGATGATATCACAGAACACTCACAACTTGCATCAGTCCGGTTCAGTGAGCATAACTATCCCTCGCCTTGTATCTGATTGTTTTTCCTGACGATTAGCAAGGTTGTCCTCAGAGGGAGTTTTTGCACATTTACTAGCTGGTAAGTGGCAGATGCGATACGCACAAATTAATATTAAATATGACGCCTAGCATTTCCGTCACTCTCATTTGTCGGTTGATGCTTAATCTACACCAAACTTTCGATACTGGCATTTTCTCCACCCTTATCCAGGACGATGGCCCAAGCCTCCCTGTCCTCACCACCAGGATTGACGTACAGTCCGCGTTTTCCTCCCACCATTGATAGATTATATTTGTGGATCCAAATTTGCAGGGATTCTTGCTCGAAGCGGAAAGCTGTTCTTTTGGTTTTTTTCTCAAACACAGCACTGCACTGCGCGGGCGATGCTTAACGTATGTAGAAATCTTATTATTATCATATTTGGGTGCGCCCTATGTTTATATGCTAAATATTTATCCTGTATATGCTCGTCCGTAATATGCTGTAGGATCGATGTATGCTTAATCAGGCTAGTAGTCCCTCGAGGCTTGGCCACTCGGCTCCTAAGATCCCTGGTTGAGATTATTATTGAGCTTTTCACTCCCACCCTAATCTACATCACAAAACCGACGCTCCCCTATAGATCTTCTGATACCATCTCGGATATAGTTTCGCAGTTTTGCGCGATCCCATCATGCTCCATACAGATTCAGAGTCCGACTCATGTTCATGATACTCGGTGTTAGTGCTCTGGCGGCAAATCTTGTAAGCTACCAAAGCAAAAGTGAAGCCGCAAGCATCTCTGGCTTGTGCATGGTCATTTAATACTGTTGCAGCATAGATGGATCCTCTCAGGTGGGCAATGGGCGAAGATGCTGTCCTGTAAGCGAAATCGACAATCAATCAAGCTTCAAGAGGCAAGAGATTCACGTTACAAAGGACTTCCATTCCTCTGATCATAACTTCAAGCGCGTTGAAGAAAATTTATGAGAGCAGCATTAAAATATCCGATGTCGATGTTGAAAACGTCGCTTGCTGCGTTTGCGCCGCACCGCTAGCTATATATCCTCGTGGGTCCAAACGTGCTTTGAAACGTGTTTGACAATTACTGAAAAAGTAAATTTTGCAGTACGAATTGCCTTGGCGCTGGCTTCTTTTAAAGTTCTTTTGTTGGTCCACAGGCAATTGCTCTCTCGATTGCCTTCCTGCATCATTTTGAACTCTCGGGTATATATCTAGGGCTATGTTCGTCCCATCATCCCAACAAACCAGCCCCGCCGCGTCTTCTGATAGATTGACGAAACCTACCTCTATCACTTGAAGAATCTCTCTCAACCACGATCTAAAATGTCTACCTCTCCCATAATCTCCAGCGTCTCTGGCAACTGGCGCAAGACTTCCATATCCTCAGTTGACATTGATCTTGAGGCACAAACCGTTACTGGGGCACGCGCCTCCTTCACCCTTCCCACTGCCATCCAGGCAGCTTATTCTGCTGCTACCCCTACGCACACACCTCAGCAGAATGACAATATTACAGACCTGGTGGATGTCTTTTTCGGGGTGACTCGCACCCGTGCGACTCGCGAGAGTCGTCATGACTTATACGTCGCTCCTAGTCGCATTTCCGTGGCTTTAGATGAAGAAGCGCCTCCTCCATATGCAGATGCCACTGAGCCTCCAGCGTACGGCTACACTCCTGCAGAGCCTGTGACGCTTGCTATGTATCTGTTCAAATGTGGATTCTGTGAGTACTTCATTCGCTCTGTGCCTATCCTATTTTTTCTGATCGAATCTCTCAGGTTTCCCACTCTTCTGGGCACTTGGAGCAATCATTCTGCTCTTGCCACTCGAGGCCCCTCCCGATTTTGAACCAACGAAACCCGAGGATGAGCGCCAGGAGTTGATCCGCATCATGAGAGATGTTGAGATCAAGTGGGCTAAAAAATCTGCTTGGGCACTCCTTATCTTCCTCGTCATGATTGGCATTATCGTTGGGGCTATTGTTGGTGTCTTGAGATCATAAGCATTCGACACACGCCCACCTTTCCCCACACGACTATTTTATTCCCTCAAAGACCACTGCATGATTTCATTTCCGTCTTCATACGTCATTTCAACGTCCTGAGGCTGGCCTCAGGTCATAATCATCCGGTCTTTCCTGGTATTCTCTTCGAACTAAAGTTCTTTGTATCAGAACAACTTCATCACGATATTCGCACTCACGAATGGAACGGACTGTATAACAAGGTGTCGGTATTTATGACTACTTATATTATGATAAATACCGCGAATAAAAAACATCGTTGTAACTTCGTGTATGTTATTTCGAATTCGGCATCGATGCGGCAAGTGCTAGAAATTGTCGGAGAATAAATCTTAAATTATTCGAATCTGAATATTGGAAAGTATTTTAAGCCTTGTTCGTTTCCTCGAAGTACTCGCTCGTTTAAAATCTGCAGTGTTCTCTGTCTTTACACGTTCCACACCAAAATTTAACCATGTTCCGTCGTGTTGCCTTCGCTTGCGCCGCTTTGCTCAGTGTTGTGTCTGCACAGTTGACCGTCACGTCTCCTGGTACCAATGACTGGTGGGGTGAGTACTCAGAATCCCAGACCTTTAGACGTTGCGATGCTGATAATTATATGTGTATCCTTCTTGGCTTCCGTCGGTTAATCCTGTAACTCTCTATCGTAGTCGCGTCGTCGACGAACACACTCGCGTGGACATGTTCGACTTCCCCGTATTTGAACTTCACCATTCTGTGCGCACGGTCTCCTTTGGTGCGCGTGAGAGCCAACTCACATTTTTTGTAGTCTCGCCAACCCGAACTCCCAAATTCTCCCTGCACCCCTTGCCATCATTGCTGTTCAAGAAAACTTTGACTGTTCCAAAACCATCACCCAGCAGCAGTCTGCGCAACCCGCCGGCACTGGCTACGTTGTTCAGTTGGCCAACACTCTGAACTCCACTGACGTGCGTGAACGTTTCTCAGGCTGGTTGACAAAATTGTATTCAATGTCTGTTTATATCACAGGTCTATGCTCAAAGCCAGCCTTTCGAGATCAAGGCTCTCGGTTCGTCTTACCCCACAACCACCACCAGCGCAGGTAGCACTTCTACCGGGACCGCGTCCGGCAGTGCTGGGGCTGCAGAATCCACCAAAACAGGTGGTGCATTTGCGGAATACGTTCCTGTAGGCATGAGCATGGTTGCCGCTCTTGCTCTTGGCTTGGTCGTTGCCTAATTTTCGTTTCTGGACTTGGGACTCCGATACAGATATCCCTTTGTTTATTATCTTTTCTTCTTCAGGACCCTCCACTTCGTGGACATATAACTGCCTTGGGAATGTCAGTTTTTACAGCCCTATGACCTAATGTGCGGCGTGACGGTTTTGGACGTCGTGGTTTAACGAACTGTTGTTTTGCTACTACTTGGATTGTGTTATGAACTTGATTCAAGTCGTCTGGCCTGATTGTGCAGCTGTTGAGCTAGTGGTCCTTGAAGATAGTGGCAAATTGATCATGTTATGAGACTTATGTAGGACCGTGTTAGGGCCACTGGTTTGATTATCGACTGTCGCTCATTCAATCGTGCGGACAAAGACCACCGGTACCTGGAGGTAGAAGTCGGTGGTTACTACACGTCCAAAAAGGGAAGCTCCGTTGAACCTGTCACAATGGTTACGAGTTTGTCCGAAAGCCATGAAACTTCACGTGTAACGACCGGCATGAATGTCGCAGAACGCGTATGAATAAGTAGTCGAATTAGCCAACAATTCATAACGTACGTGCAAACTATATACTATTATCATAAGGCAAAGGTAATAATAACAATAAATGAGATGTTTCTACATTCATGTCTAACATACCCATGCTGCCTCCAAGATTTGAAAAGAACTAAAAGAGCAGGGTTTAACGTTTAACTTCCAACGACAGTCTCCGCCACTTCGCATCTATAAACAGAACCCAACCCCAGTCTATGGATGGTTTGAGGAATCCACGAGCTCTATGTCGACCTCGGTGGTGAGGACATCGGAGCCGGTCTCGGCAGAAGTAGATAAAATGCCAGTGTCAATACATTTGTGCAGGTTAAGCATCAGGCGAGAAATCAGAGTGACAGATATGCTGGGGGTAATACTTAGGATCGTTCCGTGTCTATCGCATCAGCCACCCACCAAGTAGTAAATGCGTTCAGGTTGCCTATAATGATATCCTTGCAAATCGTCAGTAAATAGTCAACCTGGTGAAGACATGCGGGTGTGTGCTCACTGGACCAGACTAAATCATGGTGTGAGCGTGTGAACCAATATTTCATTCCTTGACTTACGAAGTACGTCAAAGTATTAGGTAAATTGACCAATGCCATCCCTCTAAGAGAAAGCGGCTCAGATTTACTCCAACCATAGTTTCGCTGGCACTCACGCAAAGTATATCACACCTGTGCTCGGTTGGTTCAGTGTTTACAATACCGGTGCGATGAAGTAATACCATCGTGAAATATGACATCAAGAATATCTTTCCTGGATATCAAAGAGAACCGCGGCAATCCCCTAGTCTTCCAAGTCCTAAAGACTGTGAGGACAAAGATGAGTAGTTCGTAGATAAACATTGCTACCCATGTCGTCCCATGACCTGTAATTGGATAATTAGCACTCTTAATTTACATCCAGTTGTGACCTAGAATGCACTGACGGATCGATCTGCCGAATTTTTTGAGCAAGTGTATGGCATGATGAAGGGAAGGACATACGTCGCTGTTGTGTATATTTCATGGCAGTCGCCGTTGGCCACACTCTTTGCCGAATCGTGTCCAAAAGCTCCCACCTAAAACTTCAGCAGACTCTAAAGTCTAAATCGCGAACACGTACCGACGCTCCTGTTATGAGAACAACGCCGATGATTAACATCCATTTAAGCAGGCGCCTGTTGCAGCCGTAGAGAGCATAAGTGCGAAGAGTCAATGTGACTGAAGATTTGAAGATTTCAATATGTCTATGTCTTCCTTGCGATAAACTTCCAACTCACTGCAAATGAAGACTTGTTGGAAAAGACGTAACCCGTGTATGACCAGCAGGTATTTCGAACAGCTAAGTCTTTGTTGAGTAAAATAGTAGATATCCAAGAAGCAAGGTTGAAACCTCTGTGGAGATGAAGTGAGCCTGTCGGTCGAATATATGCACAAGAATGTACAACCTTGGCCGAAACGGGCAGAAAATTGCTAGCTAGGTCAAGGGTATTGCCGAGCACGGCAACATAGCGATTGATGAGAAATAACACTGCAGACAATGCTTTCGGACGACACCAGATAAACATGATTTCTTCTGGGAGAGTCATCATATGGTCGTATATCAGGATACCTAAAGTATTCAGTTATCTAAGTCGTCCGGACAATCAAGATAAAGGTCGCTGTACTGATTGCCACGAAAAGGGTGTATAAGTGCACCAACCTGGCAAATTGGAATGTTATGTCGGGATCAGCATACATAGTAAGAGTATTCGTTTATTACTCACGCATGCTGCACTTCCGAGTCAGTAGTACTATACATGAGAAACAGGATGTCATAAGAGGAGGGGGTGTTGAAGCTTGAGATCGACCGGAACGGTTTCATATGGTGTTATAAGGCCTGGTTCATTCAGGCCTGGTTTTCAGGCCTGGTTAATAAATGTTGTTGTTGTCAATGTCGACTTGACCTTACGGCCGTCGTCTCGTAAATGTTCCTCAGGCTGCTACCGGTCCAATAGTTTGTGTTCATACCTGGCAGCCCGAGGTAACATAAGTCGCGGTATGTTGTTGCCAAATCAGGAAAGGTTTTTCTCGAAGGTTTAGTCCGCATATGTAAGTCATTTGCATACGGCCATAAGGTCAAGTTGGCCGCGAGTGACTAGTGATGTGCGACCTCTCTATCTTTCAGAAACCATGTTCCCATTCAGCAGTCAACTGACGCAGACTGTGTCGGAGAAATGTTTGATGTATGAAGCTTTTTTCAATGTATTATCGTACTTATATATCATCTTCGTAAGTTGTCCTATTCGTTGAACTCGCGGTTTTTGCGCACAGCTGCCGCAGCATGATGGCCCCTCGTGCATCTACCTTGTTTTTTTCTCAACCCTAGTACCTGAATTCCATCATCCCGCTCGTACTACTCTTGACACCAATCTCACACCCCTAGTTATATCATTGTCGGTGGTGAATTTCTTTTTTTGGAACAAGACCGGGCGCCGCGTGGCGCGTTCGCACCAAGATCTAGGGCCAAATTCCCGGCTGGTCGACATCCCCTCAATTGCCTTTTCCTCAAGTTGTCGGTTGCGTGCGCCTTCACATTCTTTCTTCAGTGGTTTCCGCTGCATCCTGTATTTTTCCTTATTCTCCTACAATCTACTATATATCAATGTCTACATACATGCTCCTGTCATCAGTGGTCATAATTTTATATGGCATCCTCATCGGAAAATTAAAGACACGTTGTTTCATGATTAGAATTTGAACATACGTAAAGGACAAAAACATTGTCAAGGAGATGATGCTACCCAAGTTCTGTATGGGTGAGGGTGGCACACGAGGGACACGGGCACATGAGGATGAAGAAGCCAAAAAGTGGTGTATGGGGAAGCGCTGCCTTAACTTTGCGATGCGGTGACTCTAATCAAGGTCCGTCCGTCGGTGTTGCCAAGCGCTGAGATTCGTATCATCTGTAGGAAGTGAGAGCACGCAGAGGATTGAGGGAAGAATTCGGAGCAGCTAGCTCGGCGATGGATGTTGAAGGGAGTGACACAAACGTGGCAGAACAGTGCATGACAGGCACACGCGAGAGCAATGAACGTTTGAACTTTAACTTTGACAAGTTGAGAATGGCAAGGAACCATGCCTACCGAGCAGTCGGAGACACTAATGCTAATTGACGTGTTCAGGGACTCGTGTTCCCACCCTGTTGGGAGCCAATCTGCTTCAGGTCACTACACTCTAGATGAGAGGTTTCTACGTAAATATCTCGCATACCAGGTTGCATCCAAGAAGTGGACTAAAAGAACAATCGTTAATTTTCAACGAGAGTCTCCGTCACTTCGCATCCATAAACAGAATCCACTACCAACCCACTAATGGTCCAAGAAAACCGCGAACTCTACATCGACCCTGGTGGTAAGGACGTCGGAGCTGGTCTCGGCAGGGGTAGATAAAATGCCAGTGTCAATACATGCGTGCAGGTTAAGCATCATGCGAGAGATCAGAGTGACAGACATGCTGAGGGTCATACTCAGGCTCAGGATTGTTCAGTGTCTATCGCATCAACCACCCACCAAGTAGTAAACGCGCTCAGGCTGCCTCTGATGATTTCCTTGCAAATCGTCAGCAAATAGTCAACTCGGTGAAAACAGGCGAATATGTGCTCACTGGACCACACTAAATCATGGTGTAAGCGTGCGACTGAACTAATACTCCATTCATTGACTTACAAAGTATGTCAGAATGTTGGGTAAATTGACCAATGCCATCCCTCTAGCAGAAAGCGGATCAGATTCAATCGAATCATAGCTTTGCTAGCACTCTTACGCGAAGTACATCACACCTGCGCTCGGTTGGTTCAGTGTTTACAATACTGGTGCGAAGAAAAAATACCATCGTAGAATATGACATCAAGGATATCTCTTCTGGATATTGGGAAGAACCGCGGTAATCCCCTATTTATCCAAGTCCTGAAGACTGTGAGGACAAAGATGAGTAATTCGTAGATAAACATTACTACCCATGCCGTCCCGTGACCTGCGATTGGATGATTCAGTAATACCGTCAATTTACGTCCACATATGACTTAGAATGCACGGACGGATAGATCTGCCAGGACTTTTGAGCAGGTGTACGGAACGATGAAGGGAATGGCATACGTCGCTGTTGTATACATTTCAAGGCAGTCGGCATTGACCGCACTGTTTGGATCATGGCCAAAAATTGCCGCCTAAAAGTTCAGCAGACTCTACGATTTAAATTGCGAACACGTACCAATGCTCCTGCTATGAGAGCAAGGCCGATGATTATCATCCATTTAAGCAGGCGTCTGTTGCGGCCGTAGAGAGCATAGGTGCGAAGAGTCAATATAACTGAAATTTTGGGAACTTCAGTGTCTTTTTCGCGATAGACTTCCAACTCACTGCAAATAAAGATTTGTTGGAAAAGACGCAAGACGTATATGACCCACAGGTATTTCGAACAGCTAAGTCTTTGTTGAGTAAAATAGCAGATATCCAAAAAGCAAGGTTGAAACCTCTGTGGAGATGAAATGAGCCTGTCGGTCGAATACACACACAAGAATGCAGAACCTTGGCCGAAACGGGTAGAAGATTGTTAATTAGGTCAAGGGTATTGCCAAGGACGGCAACATAGCGATTGATGAGAAATAACACTGCAGACATTGCTTTCGGACGACACCAGATAAACATAATTTCTTCTGGGAGGGTCATCATATGGTCGTATATCAGGATACCTAAAGCATTCAGTTATCGTCCGGACAATCAAGATAAAGGTCGCAGTACTGATTGCCACGAAAAGGGTGTACGAGTTCAGCCTGGAAAATTGTAATGTTAGGTCGGGATCAGCAATACACAATAAATCTATACGTTTATCACTCACACCTGCTGTACTTCCAAGTCAGTAGCATACATCACAAAGGCGATATAACAAGAGGAAGGATTGTCCGAGAAACTTGAGATTGAGTCTGATTGACCAGAATGGTTTTATACTGGTATCATACTGTACAGCCCGCGTGTCTCACTCCGTTCTCGAGTATTGATCATCCATCATGATCCACTGTGCCATCAATAGCTATGTAGCCAACAAGAGCTGCAACAGGTGGAACGTTATCAACGGGATGTATTACGCTACAGAGTATTGCAGGGTGTTACAGAGTGCTACAGAGTGCTATAAAGCACTCTGTAGCAAACTATGTTTCCCTGATGAACTTGGGAGTCGAAAGTATCGTATACACGTTTGAGTGCTGTGCATTCAGGGCGTCCAATGTTCCAAGCTAGTCCTTCTACTAACCAGTATATGGTTAGCGGAATGATTACTGCCTCGGACCTAGAGGTAACTGCCACCATGGCGATCGATCAAAGTCCAGGGGAGTAAAATCGACTGTTTCGGTAATACGTTGGACCTAGACTTGGGATGGTGGCATTTCCATCTCTCCAGCTACGTCCACCTGCTGCATCTAGCAAATTCTGTTCAGAATCTCAAGCTCTCATACTCTTGGATAGACAGATAGACTCGTGATGGGGAGGCGAACATGTCCTTCGGTAAGTTCCGCTCGTATTTTATTCCAACTCCGCTTGTCACTGCAGTGCACGGTGCCGCACAGGTATGACAGTCCCGAGTCCATATGCCTCGAACCTCAACGCATTCATTGTCAGCTGTAAATCGGCACTAAGACGGGCTCATCGTGATCATCAAATCGAATTCTTCTGCATTTTGTCTGTAAGATTACAACACGCTAACTAAAAGCAGAGAAATTGCACAACTAGGAACAGAATCCAATCAACCAGAACCAGCCTAAAAATCGTGAGAGGAGAGCGCGGATTGCATGTCGAGGGTGGTAAAGACATCGAGGGTACGGCCATTGGCCCGGATGGCAGTGGATAAAATGCCATCATCCGTGGATTTGTGCAGGTTAAGCACCAGCCGAGAGATAAGAGTGACGGACATGCTGGGAGATTTTGTTCAAAATCGATCTGTGTGTGTTTATCGGCATCAATCACTCACCAACTAGTAAATGTGGCTAGATTTGCTCTGGTAATATCCTTATCAACTGTCAGGAAATAGCCAATACGATTATAAGCTGCAGTGGCTCACTGAACCACACTAAACCATGATGGTGTGAGCGTGTGACTCAATCAAAATCTCGTTTGTTGACTTACGTAGTATGTCAGGATGTTGGGTAAATTAATCAATGTCATCGCTCTGAATGAACGCAAATCAGTTTCACTGGGCTCAAATTACGGTTTTACTATCAATCTTACGCGAAGTACATCGCACCTGCATTTGCTTGGTTCAGAATTTATATCACAGGTGCGAGAAACGAAAATACCACCATGGAATATGATATCAAGGATATCTCTGCTATATGAAGTTAAGCGCGGAAATCCTCTAGTCTTGTAAGTCCTGAAGACTGTAAGGACAAAGATGAGTAGATCATAGACAGAAACTGCAACCCAAGCCAGCCCATGACCTGGAAGTGGATAAGGTAGAGTCATCATCAACCTGCATGCAACATGACTGAGAATTCACTGACGGGCAGCCCTACCGCAACTTTTGAGCATGCACACATACCGATGAAGGGAATAACATACGTCTTTGCACTGAATGTGTTATGACAATCACTTCCTTGGATGTACGGTGTAGTATTTGAATGACCTCCAAAAGAACCCGCCTAAAAGATCAGCATAATTTAGTCTAGAATGAAAAAGGATATGTAAACACGTACAGACGCTCCTCCTATAAGAGCAAGAGCGATGATTATCATGCAACTAAGCAGGCGCTTGCTACGACCGTACAGGGCATAAACGCGCAGAGTCAATGTGACTGAAAATATATCAAGGCATGCATTTATTGCGATTAACGTTTTACTCACAGGAAACAATGATTTGTTGAAGAAAAAGCGACAACTCTCTGATAAGCATGTATCTAGAACAGCTAAACGTTTGGTAAGAATGACAATATATCCAATAAGCAGGGTTGAAACCTCTGCAGAATTAAATTTTAAGCCTGGTAGATGCATAACGAAATTATCGAACCTCATCTGAAACGGCAGGCAAGAAATCGATAAACAAGCCAAACATATTGCCGACCAGGGCAACATAGCGATTGATGAGAAAGAACTTTGAAGACAGTATCTTTGGACGACACCAAATGAACACGATTTCTTCTGGGAGAGTCACCATATGATCGTATATCAGAATACCTGTGATATTTGTTATCCTCCTGAGAACAAAGATGGAAAGTCCCAATACTGTTTGCCACGAGAACAGTGTACAAGTGAAATAACCTGGTAAATTATAATGTCAAGGTCGTGAGATTCATGCACGTATAATTACTCACAACTGCTGTTTTTCAGTCAAATCCATTTCAGTGAGGCGATGGTGCAATCAAGTAGCGAGTGGGTGTCGAGAGTCTGACGTACTATTGGAACAGTGTTATATACGCCTTACCAGTGTCGCAGGAGATGACACAAGGAACTTATAGGGCCGTTATTCAAAGCCTTGGCGACGTTCTGACCACATCCACTTTACATGATATTATGCTAGGATCGCTCCTACCAAGTGGCGCCTGAGTAGGACCCCGAAGCCACAAGTTAAACAACGCACCTGCTAGTGCCTCTCTTTTATAACTAGACCTACATTAGAGAACTAGAAATACTCCTGATAAGTTGCATCAGGAGAATCCTCGTCAAGTTTTCCTTAAGTCATGATAATTTTGTGAACATATGCATCTGGGACCTACTGAGGTGTGACCAAATGCACATTAAGTAGGTTCGAACTCCAAGGATTTGCAGGGGGGTAGAACGTGTGACACATTGTGGTTAGGTTCGTCACCTGTCCAATAAGGTGGAGAACTTGTGGTGTGTCGACGAGTTGAAAGGATTGCATGAATCATGTCAACAAGCAAACGTGCGTACTTGATAGCAAGTCTCGTGACGAAACAATGACAGGACATGGGAATGCTTACATAAAACCTTAATTAAGTAAGTGGTTCTTCGACAACTAGGATATGATAATGTAGGTGTGCTTCGGAATGGCAACAGGTCACTACATACTCTAAATGATACGTTTCTACATTGATATGAAACTATCATAACATGCTATTCTTAAGAAAAGGACCAAAAGAACAACTTTTAACTCCCGAGAGTTTCCAATCCAATACCAACCTACCAATGGTCTGAGCAGACCGCAGACTCTACGTCGACCCTGGTGGTGAGGACGTCGGAGCTGGTCTCGGTAGGGGTAGATAAAATGCCAGTGTCAATACATCCGTGCAGGTTAAGCATCATGCGAGAGATCAGAGTGACAGATAGGCTAGGGGTCATACTCAGGCTTAAGATCGTTCAATGTCTATCGCATCAACCACCTACCAAGAAGTAAATGGGCCAAGGCTGCCTATACTGGTTTCCTTGTAAATAGTCAGTAAACATTCAACCTGGTGAAAACATACGGGTATGTGCTCACTGGACCACACTAAATCATGGTCTGAGCGTGACTGAAATAATACTTCATTCATTGACTTACGAAGTACGTCAGAATGTTGGGTAGATTGACCAATACCATCCCTCTAAGAGAAAGCATCAGATTAACTCCAGTCATCGTTTCGCAAGCTCACGCGAAGTACATCACACCTGCACTCGGTTAGTTCAGTATTTGTAATTATCGGTGTGATGAAAAAAATACCATCATGGAATATGACATCAAGGATATCTCCCCTAGATATTAGGGAGAACCGCGATAATCCCCTAATCTTCCAAGTCCTGAAGACTGTGAGGACAAAGATGAGTAATTCGTAGATAAATGTTGCTACCCATGCCATCCCATAACCTGCGATTGGGTAATTCCGTGGCATCATCAATTGACATCCGACGGTGACTTAGAATGCACTGACGGATAGATCTGCCAGGACTTTTGAGCAGGCGTGCGGAACGATGAATGGAACGACATACGTCTCTGTTGTGTATGTTGGAATGCAGTCGCCGTCGACCACACTGTTTGACTCATATCCGAGAGATACCGCCTAAAATTTTAGCAGACTTCAAAATTTAAATCATGAGCACGTACCAACCCTCCTACCCCAAGAGCAATGTAGATGATTCCCATACATTTAAGCAGGCGCTTACTACATCCATAGAGAGCATAAGTGCGAAGAGTCAATGTGACTGAAATTTTGGAAACTTCAGTGTCATTCTCGCGAAAGACTTTCAACTCACGGCAAATAAGGAATTGTTGGGAAACACGTAACACTTGTACAACCAACGTGATATCCAAACAGCTAAGTCTTTGTTGAGTACAATAGTAGATATTCAAAAAGCAAAGCTGAAACCTCTGTGGAAATGAAGTGAGCCTGCCAGTCAAATACACGCACAAGAATGCAGAACCTTGGTTGAAACGGTCAGGAAATTGCTAGCTAAGTCAAAAATATTGACGAGCACGGCAAAATAGCGATTGGCTAGAAACAACACTGCAGACATCGTTTTCGGACAACGCCAGATAAACACGATCTCTTCTGGGAGAGTTGCCATGTGATCGTATATTAGGATACCTAAAGTATTCAGTCATCGTCCTGAGAATCAAGATAAAAAATCGCAATACTGATTGCCATGAAAAGAGTATACAAGTGCACCAACCTGGCAAATTGTGATGTTAGGTCGGGATCAGCAATACACCATGCGTTTATCACTCACACCTGCTGTGCTCCAAAGTCAGTAGTATACATTAGAAGGATGATATAATAAGAGGAAAGGGTGTTGAGAGTTGATGGGAACTCACGATTTAATATTGGTGTTATACTATATAGCTGGCGTATTTCGTACTCCTCCGCAGATAATCATTGATGCTGTGTACAGAGGGCGATGTTCCAAGCTATTTCATATACTAATCAGTGTATTGCTGGTGCACGAATGATCCCTCAAGCCCTTACACTGCTAAGTATCCCATCGACAAGACGGTAATGCGCTATGTCTTGCAAGAATAATTGCCCGCACGGCGATTGATCAGGCTCCAAGGCCAAGGGTATAGAATCGACTGTTTCGGTAATACTGATGGGCGCTATGTACTAAGCACATGCAGTGCAGCACTAGCACAGATACGGCGGTCGGGAATCGGATGATGCGATACGCCGTTTGTTCAGCTAACAGTCCACCGGTTGTATTTTGCACATACTCTTGGATAGACCAGAGTGGCGGAGGCGGACATGTGTTTCGGTAAGTTCCGCTCGTGTTTTATGATGCTTGTTACCATGGGTTACTTACTTATGATGTCCGAGTCCATATATGCCTCAACAACTGGGAATCGATACCCGAGGTATTCTTGGTGATCATCAAATTGCATCAGGAGGCAGGTCAAATCATCATCAACTCCCCCCGCTACGTACGGTATTATTAGACCCATCAAATCACTTCGCTGACATCATCGAACGACTGCAACGCCGACGTAATTCACTGTTGTTCCATCTCCGTACGGGTCACGCACCACTCACCAAACACCTACGTCGAATAACGAAGTCAGCAACAGCAACATGCTCACAGTGCGAGGAAAGCAACGAATCAGTACACTACTTTTTATTCATTTGTCCAGCCTACACCAGACAACCCAATACCCTACACGCAGAACTGCACACGAAAGCGCACCATATGAAGCATTTACTCGATGAACCCGCTTGCTCAACACACCTGTTCAAGTACGTCGCAACTTCAAGAAGATTCGAAATGGTGTTCAGTGCCACGTTCCCCGCCCATAGCGAAGGCCCAGCAAAGAACATAGTTCACGAAGACTCCGAAATGGTGTTCGGTGACTCCGTCCAAGGAGAAGGACCAGCAAAGAAGTTAACGGAGACTCCGAAGCGCACCCATTGTACCCACTATCCTTTTCACCTTCAGCTGGTGTCAATGTCCGCGCTCCAACCAAGGACCATGGAACGAGACCCATCATCCAAGACAACAAAAAACGTACACACGGTATACAACATGTATCGTCTAACACAGGGCGTCGCTCCAACAGACAATAAACAAGGATCAAAAAAACAATTAGTTTGGAATCTTCTGCATCTCGTCTGCAAAATTACAACACGCTAACTCTGCGATCGTGAACAGAATCCAATCAGCTATAATCAGTATGAGGTCAACACTGTAACAGTCGGCACGTCGAGTCTGGTGGTAAAGACATCGAGGGCGAGGCTATCGTCCCGGATGGTGGTGGATAAAATGCCATCATCCGTAGATCTGTGCAGGTTAAGCACTAGCCGAGAGATGAGAGTGACGGACATGCTGGGGTCCATGTTCAAAATCGATCTGTGTTTATCGTTCATCGCATCAATCACTCACCAACTAGTAAATGTGGCTAGATTTCCTCTGGTGATATCCTTATCAATTGTCAGGAAATAGCCAACGCGATCGTAAGATGCGGTGTGTGCTTACTGAACCACACTAAACCATGATGGTGTGAGCCGTGCGACTCCATTAAAATCACTTTTGTTGACTTACGTAGTATGTCAGGATGTTGGGTATATTAATCAATACCATCGCTCTGAATAAACGCAGATCAGTTTCACTCGAATCACAGTGCGACCATCAATCTTACGCGAAATACATCGCACCTGCATTTACTTGTTTCAGAATTTATGTAACAGGTGCGACGAAACAAAATACCATCTTGAAATATGACATCAAAGATATTTCTGCTGGATCGAGCGAACGGCAGAAATCCCCTAGTCTTGCAAGTCCTGAAGACTGTGAGGACAAATATGAGTAATTCGTAGATAAAAACTGCAATCCAAGCCAGCCCATAACCTGCAAGTGGATGAGGTGATGGCATGATCAACTCGCATGCGACATGGCTGAGAATTCACTGACGGATGGCTCTGCCGCGATTTTTTGAGCAGGCACGCATACCGATGAAGGAAATGACATACGTCTCTTCTGTTAATGTGTTGTGACAATCACTTCCTTGAACGTAAGTCGCAACATTTGAATTATTTCCGAAAGAACCCGCCTGAAAAGATCAGCACGATCCAGTCTAGAACGAGAAAGGATATGCGAACACGTACAGACGCTCCTCCTATAAGAGCAAGACCGATGATCATCATGCAACTAAGCAAGCGTCTGCTACGATCGTACAGGGCATAAATGAGCAGAGTCAACGTGACTGAAAATCTATCAGGGCATGCATCTCTCGCGAACCAACTTCCTCACTCACGGCAAACGATGATTTGTTGAAGAAAAAGGAACAGCTCTCTGACTAGCATGTATCTTGAGCAGCTAAAACGTTTGGTAAGAACGACAACATCTTAATAAGTAGAGTTGAAACCTCTGCGGAAATGAATTGTGAGCCCGCCATAATATCTGGGTGGATGATATTGAAAAAACCAAACCTCATCTGAAACGGCAGGCAAGAAATCGATGCACAAGCCAAAGATATTGCCGACCAGGGCAAGATAGCGATTGACGAGGAAGAACATTGAAGACAGTATTTTCGGACGACGCCAAATAAACGCGACTTCTTCTGGGAGGGTCACCATATGATCGTATACCAGAATACCTATGATATCTGTGATCATCCTGAGAGCAAAAATAAAAAATCCCCAGTACTATTTGCGACGAGATTGGCGGTCAAGTGGAATAACCTGGTAAAATTGTAATGTCAAGATGAAGATACCGTGCGCGTATCACTCACAACTGCTGTTTTTCAGTGATATCCATCACAATGAAGCGACTCGGATGGTGCAATGTAGGAAGTGGGGTGTTGGGAATGCCTGACACATTATTACAACAATATTATATACATATTACTAGTGTTTCAGGAAACGATGGAGTAGCCCGGTAACGTTCCGATCTTTTGCAGAATCTCATTATCACAATTACAAAATATATCCGTATGGTAGACTCAATGTTGGTTCAGCTCACGTGACCGCTTTCAATTCAATATAATTCTAACGCATGGATGATGGGATGTTACGAAAAGGCACCCGCGCAGTCGTAGCCCTTTCACTGCCGCCACGGTCCGCAGTGTGATGTAGGAAATACGATATGTATAGGGCCATAAAAATACTCAACAGCTGCGCGCAGGAATGTAGGCTCTTTTTCGAGTTACGCAGCTGTGTACAGAAATGTGAATTCGAATTTATCAGATTATTTGCACGCTACCATCAAAGTTGCCATCGACGTCGCGCGATGCCCGTTCAAACGTACGTTCTTTTGACTAATCTGTGCAATGCTTTTCTCACGGGCAGATGATTGATATTGTTATGGTGTACATGTGTGGGAAAATTAGAATACGACTTTGTTAGTAACATGGTGTCCGTAGCCACGCATCAGCGTATACGTTACACGCACATGTCATGTGCATGCATGTTTCAGATTTGAATTTGAACATCCGAACGTCAATAGATAGAATGATCATAATCTACAACTTCAAGTTTACTTTCACTTTTGTAGACCACACCTCGGAGATATCCCACGAGGACGCCATGAATTTATGTGGCATGTATGGGGGTCTGACCTATGCAAGACGATAGACCCAGGCTCAAAGTGATTTGAGAATTTGAGGGGTACCACGATACGTGTTGGGGAATAAAGTGTTTTATATCGCGTATGTGCATACCGTCACGACAAGCTATAAGTACTACACGCGTGATTAGGTCGCTGACTCGAGGAACATAGACATATCTGCTGTATCTCAAGAAATACTAAGAAGTGCGTAGGTACAAAACTAGTCGTACTCGCGCGCAATGGCCGCGTTACCAAAATATACTGATCCGGGAACATCAAATGAATATGGAAATAAAAAAACTTGTATGTTGCATCATGCTAAAGGGTACTATGATCGTCACACGAGAGAATAACACACACCGGAAACTGTCACTGGATGAGAACGACGAGCTAGTGCGTACCTGATCCAACCTTCACGTTCTCCACCATCTCGCCATCGTCTGGCCTGTACTCGAAATTCTCTGGGCTGCCGTTGAATGATCCAAAGAAAGGAGTAGCTGGACTGAGAGTAGATGAGGCACGAGACGAGTAAGTTAACGCCGGAGATACGAGAGTAGGAGACCTCATGTCATTTTCGAATGATAGTTGTTTGACCAAAGACGGTGACTTCTGCATAGGAACGTATGCTTTTGAGGACACGGAAGTAGAACTGCGACGATGATCTTCTTGATCATCTGACCGAGGCAGGGACATTTGTGGCGAATGAAGATAATTCTGCGGATTACTATCGGATTGATCGTTGGTACCGGACGTAGCGATAGTGCTGTTTAGGTTATTGGAGCGGCTGTCCGTGTGTTGATAACTGTGCTGGGATGAATTCGACGCGAGAGGGGAACGAGGGAGATTAGCGACTTGTGCTTGCTGCCGCAGAGAAAGGTGCGAGCGCGAAGAGAACTGAGAGCGATGGTGCGACTGCAAAGGAGAATGCTTGGAATCATGCTGGGGTGGTGCAACAATTTCGATAGCACGACTAGGCGGTTTCGGGATCCTGACGTTGCCAGCGTCACTCCGGAAATGCAGCTCGTCCTGATAATGGGTGGGGAGGTCATAATGTGACCTGGACTCCAGCTGATGTTGGCCAAGAGCATGGAAGTCGTCTTCAGAGATTGGCGGTAGAGCGTCGCCCAAGAACTTCGGCCGGTTCGGCCCACTTAGGGCTCGACCAGTGAGCGGATAAGCGCCAACCTGTTCCGGGGCGTGGAATACTTGCGCGTTCGCATTGAGTTTACTTCCGGATTCTAATCGTCCAGATGAAGAGGCGCGCCGAGGAAGAGCGGAATCATGTGAGTGCACAAATTGCTGTTGGGTCTGCAGCTGCTGGTACTGTTGCTCGCGTATCCTCGCGTGAGCCTGAAGGATGAGCTCCTCGGCGGGAGTGAAGCCGTTCCTCGCCTGTATCTGGCTGCGAGGCTGCTGTGCAGACGGCTGGACGCTAGCCGTATACAGCGTTGCATTTGCGAGGGCTTGAAGATGGGCGCGCTGAGCATCATGCTCTTGATCAAGTGTCGACCCCGAGTAAGCGTGAGTTAGATTCAGATTGTGTTGCAGTGAATGCAGAAGGTCATCGGTGTAGGGATTCGGTTGAGGGTCCTGGTGCCTAGTCAACGGAGAACTGTCGTACGGATAACCAAGATGCCCTGGCAACGACGTAGATACGGGAATGTTCCCTGCTGACACGGAGGCTAGATTCAGGTTCGGATAGGAGTGATGAATACTCGATAGGGAAATCTCGTCACGAGGTTGCCCAATGATGGGGATGTCACGGGCACGATTTAAGCGGGATCTTGCGAGCGTGGGCCTGAAGCTCTTGGCCACGAAGGTTGAGTAGAGCAGCTTGAGCGATTGTCAAACGGACTGGAGACTGGTCCCCATTCTTGGATATTCTCTCTGATCGCTAACACGAGACACGTGGATCAGTTTAAAGCAAGATGCGTCTCAATCAGCGGACCGACCCTTAGCTCCCGTTGTTCAGCACTGTCAGCAAAACGGACGGAAATCCTGCATCCGGGGTCATTCCATCCACGGACCATTCGACCATGCAGGCGTTCAATGGTATCCTCTGCAGCTGCACGAGTCTCGAGTCTATACCGGGTGAATCAATTGTAGAACTTCAATTTTGTGAAAAAACTGACCGAACGAAAGCTATTATGCGAGGAGGTTCGCTGAGCTTTGTTTTAAAGAAGCGGCTGCTCTTGATGGTGTAAGGGTGCACCAAAGAAGCAAGGCTCTGTGTTCGCATGTAAATAACGTTGGATACGTGAACATCAGCTTTATATACCTCTTCGTCAATCGAGAGCGGAAGTCTGAAAAGAGATGGTCAGTATCAGCTCGAGCTCGTATCGAGGCGATCCTTACCCCTCGATGTATAGGTTGGTGGATAAGCCATCCTTCAGCTTTTCCATTCGCGCCTTGAAAGAATCTTCATCTTGCTCTATCTGAGAAGGGCTTTGCTGGGCGTACACCGTGCCAGGTATACGATGGACTTGCTGTACCGGAGATTTTTAAGAATACGGGTGCATACAAGAACAATAAATTGACCTTTGAGAACGATGGATGCAGATTGCGATATTTACGAAGACCTTCGATACATTTTTCTGCCGAATCGACGTCGCTGAACCTTTGCAAGAATGTGAGGTGGACGATCGCACAAAATACATATCCACCTACAAGACGAAACCATACCCTCTGTTTACCAGAACGTGAGTTTTGGAATTTTGTGCCATGGGAAAACCGGACATACGTTGGTTTCTCGCTCACATGCCTAGTAAATGACCTCACACTCTTCACCTCGCCAAATGGGCGAGTGAGAGCAAAGAGCTCCTGCTCCGGAAAATGAGGAGGCAGTCCATTGATATACACATTTGGGGTACGGTGTGATGCGCGAGACGCACTTGGGAGGCGCTGGGAAGGCGTCTCGGGACTCAACGACAACTGTGAGTCGCTTGAGTCAGGAAACATGTGGTCATATGGAAATTGCAAGCCTGTAGGACAGGAGGTGCTATACGAGGCTGCAACCCGATACGCAATGTGGATAAGTCGGGGAGATCATAGTTGATAAAATAAAATCTCACGAGAATTGGATGAAACTGCAGTAGGAAGACTATAAGACGGTGCCGTACCATTGTCCTGTAGCTTGAGAGACGGATTACTTGGTCTAGTGACAGCGTGGTTTGTAGACATAGAGATAGTATTAGAATGCAAAGAACTATTGGACTTGGGACTGGCAATGATAAATTTTTGAGACGGAGAGAGAGAAAGGTTGGGCTGAGATGAAGAAAATGATGTAGTGCTAGTGAGGGTATTATTGAGCGGCGACGAATCTGAATCCGGCGGTGTGGGTGGCGCTTGACGAGAAGAGATCGGAGTGTTCGGTACAGTGTCACAGGTAGTACCGGCTGAGGTGCTATGTTCAAGATGCTGAAATTGTTTGTTATCGAAGGTAGGAGAAGCTGGGAAAGCCAGAACGGCAGATTGCGGTGGCGAAGAGCAAGAAAGGCTCATACTGGAGGATCAGGGCAAGTGAGTTCGCGGGACAGAAAGGAAGCAAGCGAAGGGCAAGCTTTTAGGTAAGGTGAACGCCGGTGAACTGTAACGATTGCAATACGAATAGGATGGAGGAGTTGTGTTAAAATCGTTAAGAGTAGCGGTGTGATGATGGGGGGGGGGGGAAGGAAGAAACGAGGAAAAATGAACTTGCAAAGTTTATATTCATTTTTCAACATATGACGCACGGGACTTCGAGGTTGGAATGCTGAAAACCCAATAAAATGTGATGAAAGAAGCTTGGCTTTCACCATCTAATGTCATTGCATACCCCATTTTAGGTCGGTCGCTGCCCAGATTTGGCAACTCTTCAGAATGGCGCAACATGTCGAGGGCATTCCATGTCCCAAAGGTGATCCCGTTCGCGACTTCTTGGGTCCACAGTGCAATATTAAGCTTTAAGAAGCGTAGGCGAAGGCCAGAGAAAATCATTGCACAAACCTGACTGACGATCCTGGTCGCAAGAGAAAGTGACAGACCATGCCAACGGTAGCAAGGAAACTAGTACTTGCGATCCCAGCATCTGTTCGTATTCGATACTGCTTGGAAACAGACAACTATAAGTGTTTCATCGAGTGCCAAAAAGATCAAACCAAGCGCAGCGACTAGCAAGGGCGCTGACAGAAGCAGGTTCTGCGAATCCTGCGAAGGCGACTGAAAATGAATTGCGCGAGCAGCAAAATCTGAGCTTGCTTGAACCTGGCTCAACCTGACCTGTAATACGGTAATGCTCGAGCAATATTATTGTACCATGATCGCAGGAAAAACTGAGCTGCAAATCTTTTGGTGGCAGTGTTGAAGAATTTGAGGAGAGAGGCAGGGTGGCTGTGTCGTCTGCAAACTTCGCTCGGTTCGACCATGACACTACAATATGTCCCGCCCAAGTGACCAGTACCATAGTTTCGAGGTCACTGCTATTGGAGCGAGGTAAAAAGCTGTTGATCATTTGGTGCGTCCACGTACATGACTCGGACAATTTATATTTCGCTAATGTTTAATTGTACAGGTAATGGATATGGTCCTCCTTGTCGGACACTCGCTGCATCTCAAGGACAAGTTTGACGCTTGTAATTTGATCAAATATGTTTGATGCTGGTCTGTCTTACTGATACTACTAGGCAGACGTTACCGAAGGAAGCCATTCGTCTTATCTGGAACGTGTTTGACTCGTTCAGGCCAAACTTCTACGCCCACGAAGGACCTACAAATCCTCAAAATTTGATAGATAGTAAAATTTGACAGCTTCTTCACATCGATACCCTGGTGAGTCTGCATATTGTTTTTTCCTTTAAAAAAAGATGAGTGATTTGGGAAGCGACTGAACTTGTGCTCCAATTGATAGTTATGGTATTTGTATCTCTCTATATCCAATTGGGCCTCGCTCCTTGACAGATTCGTGGGTAATTTTGCACGTTGTTATGGAGAGAGCAAGATGATTCCTTTCAGATTCTACTAGCGCCCTCTCGCTTTACTTTCGCTTGCATTGATCCGAGATAACAGCCCTGCGTAGGTGATCTAATTCTACATCTAGGTATGGCCGCAGATGCAGCTTGTGGTCAATTGACAGCTAGTAGTACTAGTGAGCATGACGCCCCTGTCTGTGCAAGAGTGGGATGCACCGACCCCCTAACACGTGCTTGGGGAGTTCTAATCGTATGTCCGACTTACAATGTATCAACTTCTCCAGGGGCCTCCTGTGTACGTTACAGTGAGTGTCAAATTTCTCAATGTTCGCCGTGAATGTCGCAGATGTATATATTCCCAACAATCCTATCAGTATTCTTATTCAGATACGGCAATATTAATCACATCAACGCCGACGAAGCACATCTTCCCCGCTTCGCGTATTACGACTCTTATCTGCCCTGGCGTAAGTCCGTTGGTCTATCTCACAAGAATCGTCGAGTGTTGTCCGGCGTTCACGGACACGCGGTAAGTTGGTGGACGAGTTTCCGCGGAGGCACCTCGCTCAAAGTTCATTGACAACTTCAAGTTGAAGTTGGCGACCTCACCTTAGCGTTGATGCAGAATCATTGAAGACAACTGCAGCACGAGTGACCATTTAACCTATACATTTCTTGAATACCGCGGCCTCCGAAACCCTTGAATCAGAGTGCATTGTGCCCTTCCTTGGTGTTCGTTTAGGAGTGAGATCTAGCTTGGCAGTATCTTCAGCTTCTAAACGGTCCGGTTCCGAGTTGCTCATCAATGTTATAACGTGTGTAACAAATGCTTTACGAAGAGAACTTTGTGACTTTGATAGGTGCCCCGCAGGTAACAAACCTTGGCGTGTACCCTGAATCACCCGTTCCTTGAATGATACCAGGAACTGGACCTGCACTACTTAGAATGAGGATGCATGACCTCGGATCCGAGGACCTCTAGGTGTGGAGTAGTGGTATTTGGTACGTTTTGATAAGATAAGATCAGCCTAGTACTACTGACGTGGCTATGCCACGGTCACCCGATTCCACTTTGCTAATAATGTACAGCTGGTAACAATAGATAACGATACGTCAGTCCATAACACAGAAACAGAGAACACGCGACTTCAGTTAGGACACATCCATATCCAGATCCTCTGACGGTCGTCCTGCCTTGTCCGTCATTTGCGATGACGGTGGAGTATCATCTATATCACTCCACGCAGAAAAGTCATCGATGCTAACGCCCAAATCCGACAATTCTTGCAAACTTGCATATTCCGCGGCATAAGCCTCGATTTCCTCTTGCTCTAGATCCTCCGGCGTCACACTATAACTGTCAGGGGGCATTTCTGGAGCACATCCAACTTGAACCCATTTGATACCGTTCAGAATAGGAGAAACTGACGTTGCAATTCACTTTCCCACCGGTTTACATCCTCCATGTCTGGGTCGAGCGAAGATCCCACATCGTAAGAATAAGAAAGTCGATAGGAATGCTTTTGCTTTTGCGCAGTATTGGCAATGATTCTCCGAAAGAGCTGAGAGACGAGCGTCCGTTAATGAGCGTCGTCAAACTCCCCCCTATCAGGAAAGTCACTTACCTCGTCTTGCATAACAAATTCATCGTCTTCATCCTCATCGCAGTCCATCTCAGAATCAAAAAACACGTCACTGCTGCTACTCGTCCTTTGTTTTTCAACTTTATCATGTCGTTGTTTCTGGGCGCGCTCTAGACATCGCGCTTTAAAACGATCACGTAAAAATGTTTTTTGAGGGTTTTCTGGAGTCTGGCTACCAGAAAGCGTGCATGGGAGCTTAGTGGCCGCACTTCTGGATGAACTGGTTACGCGAGCTTTATATTGGGCTTGTCGTCTTGCTTGTGCGGCAGCTACCGGCGATGATTTTGGAGAAGCCAGGGGTGACGAAGCAAGCGGTTGGTGACTCCTTGCAGAGTAATAAGATGAACGTCCAGGAGTAGAGGGAGTCTGGAAGATGGGACTAGAACTTTGCATGCTCAGCATCTTGTTGGACGTTGCCGTGGCGAATGATGAGACGGTCCAAGAGTGGCGCGTTTGTTGTAGTTTGTTGACGTGTTTGAAACAGTGTTCAGTGCTTCCACACCAAGTTCATGACAATACTATGACCGCTGCCTCGACCCGCAGAGGCCGGCATTTCAAGTCATTGGAACAGCCCCTTGATATGACCATGATCGCCGACAAAGGTGGCATGCTGGCGGATAAAACGGTATCAAATTGCCTACCACCCAAATTAAATACAACATTGTAGAAGTTCTTCGGCACGAAAATGGTAAGCTTCAGCTTCTCATTCATGAACAACGTGGCGACTACTCGTTCGTTCAGCGTTTTTTTACATCTAGGCATCTTACACGGGCACGAAATTGATGACTCCGGAGGTGGTTGCTGGAAACTACCGAGGCGATCATTAATTCGGCCATTGAACATGATCAGGGCGAGGGTATAACTTCTATGCTGAAAATTATCAGCTTGCCAGGTGTGCACTCAACTGAAATGAACATGAGATTGAGACGCAATCTAGGAAAATATTAGTGACGGTACAGCACATGACGTGGCGGTCACTCGCGCATTGAACTATGAATGCGCATCGCACACCATGACAGCGGCGCTGCGGCTTGTGCCCTGCCGTTCATTTTTGCCGCGGATGAGTGACTGAGCAGAACTGCAAGCACCTCATCATGGCTGTCACGGCCTTAGTGGCATTACGACTTGCGACCTTGATTACATATTTGCGCTAGCACTCGGTCCACCAGGATGTTTATTCGGTTGACTAATATACACTAGTATTTGCTCTTCTTTAGTGTGCTGATTTTTTCTAAAATGCTTCTTCAGTGACACGCGGAAGAAAACGAAACGTTAGCATTTGAAGTATTACCTAGGGCGGTAGCAGTATGGTAAAACATTCTTCCGCACTCCGGCCTTCGTCGATTCTGTTTTTAGAATCGACAAAAGCAATATCCGACTTTCGCATAGAAGCAAGCCCAGCCGGGGTCCTGAAACTAATCCAAGCTGCGGCTCAAAGCGCTCAAAGTCTGTGGCGTTACCGAGGTGGCTATGTATTCATGAGGGACAACATTTAGGACCTGATCTTGGCTCTTTTGAGAGCTGCTGATTCCGATCACCGGTCTATCTAATTCGGACTGAGCATATTTTGCCAATCACGCGCGTTTCGTAGTCGAAACAGCGTCGTGTCGTGACCAAAAATGCCAGCGACACGGTGCCCCGTACTTGATAGCCTTCGCGTTTTCTCCGCAGACCAGTGCAACTGGAGGCTGTTCTAATTCCAAATTTTGCTACGTTCTGGAAGATACGATTCGACCTCTTCTTTGGGCCTGCCTGTCAGAGAACATTCAGTCTGACAGGTGATCAAACCTTCAATATATCTGACCGAGCATGTTTCGATATCTCCATTGAATTTTTTTTAATTATGGCATCCTGAGATCTGGTATCCTGCCTTCCGGTCGCGAGCAGCCCAAAAACATGAATCAATTAGACCTGCCGAAAGCTTATAATGGAGCAGAGTCTTGTACGATTGGCATAACCGGCTTTGGGCCCCAATCTCTTCCTCGACATGTTCTTCCAGTCCCAACATCGACTTGACTGGTGTGTATCCAGCTATTCCCCTGTGTTTACACACTTACCCGTGAATCTCATCTCTCAGCGCCGCCAAACAAGAGGAACGACAGAGGTCATTGGATAGTTTACCCTCGTCGTTCTTCGAGCCATGCACAGAGTCCGATAATAAGGTGCTTGAATTGCCCCTAAGCGAACTAGTCCAGCGCCATAACGCAGGATCACTATCAACGGCGAGCATTCTGAATGCTTACGGAAAGAAAGCAATCTCAGCACAAAAATCCACCAATTGCCTAGCCGGAGTCATGATTCAAGAAGCTCTAAACCCCAAACTTCCACCTTCTCCATCCGGTTCAGACTGCACAGACATTCCCGACCAACGCCCGAAACCCCTTTCTGGTGTTCCCATCAGTATCAAAGACTGTATCGATATCGAAGGCTACGACACCACCGTGGGCTATTCCTCTAAAGTTAATCATCCCGTTTCATCGTCGGCAGCGATAGTCCGACTTCTTCATGATGCAGGGGCGATTACTCACGTGAAGACTACCGTACCTCCTGGTCTTCTCGGACTAGAAACATCATCAGACCTTTTTGGGCGAACGAGTAATCCGTATAACCAGAATTACTCCAGTGGCGCTTCGACGGGTGGTGGGGGCGCACTTCTTGCATGCAGAGGGAGCGTTATAGAAGTCGGCACAGATCTTGGTGGCAGCATAAGATTGCCTGCCCATTTTTGTGGAATATATGCTATGAGGTCTTCGATTGGACGTTTTCCGTGCCAGGGCACGCTTTCCCCCATACCTGGACTAGAGTCGGTGGCTACTATATCCGCTCCGATGTCTCGAAGACTGGAAGATCTTGAAGAGTTTTGGAAGCGTGTCGTGGAGATGAGGCCATGGGAGTATGATCATACGGTTCGTCGAGTTCTCGTGTTAAGCGTCCGCCTGACCTGATGATTGCTGCAGTGTGTTCCATTACCCTGGCGACCCGTAAACCTTCGAGAGACGAAGCTAAAGTTTGGAGTCGTTTGGGAAGATGGTTAGCCCTTTTTACGCTGCTTTTTACATTCGTTCCTCATATGCATAGGCATTGTTTCTCCCTCTCCTGCTTGTCGTCGTGCTTTGGAATGGGTCTGTGATGCATTGGAGAAGCAAGGCCATGAAGTAGTTGATTTGTGCGTCCAAACCGCTCTAATCTTGAATTTTGCTGATCAATAGCATCACCCAGTTCACCCCCTAGCATCCCAGAAGGTCTAAATGTCGGACTCCAGTTATGTTTTGGAGATGGGGGTGAGCGTCTTTCTATTGCGCTGTGAGCCACATATGCTGAACTCTTCTTAGGGGCTGGTTTCTTTAATCCCGTGCGCAAGGACGAGAAACTTGACCCCGTGATGGTTGCTATCAAATCTTTATTGGGGATGCCCCTTTGGATCAAGAAGTTCCTGGCGATGATAACGCGTAAAACAACTGGTGATGAGGTCTGGGCATCAATGCTCGAGACGGTCCACCTCAAATCCCCAGCCGAGGAACGCGTGCTCGTCGTCTCCCGAGACGAGTACAGAGAAAAGTGGAACCAAGCATGGGAAGATGAAAGATTCGACTTTGTCCTGACGGTTCCATATGCATTGCCCGCTATCCCTACTGGAACCGCAGAGAAGGCGACCCTGGTGTCTGCTTCCTACATGATGATTTTCAATATCGTAAGCTTTTCATTTTAGTCATCGTGTTATCATCGTTGGCTTAATGGCGAATAGTTGGACTATGTTGCTGGCGTTCTCCCGGTATCTTTTGTTGACCGCCAGTCGGACGCGCTACCGAAGGATTTCATGAAGAGTTCCGAATACAAGAACATGGGATTGATTTCTAAGGGAGCGTACTCTGTTTACGACGCGGATAAAATGCACGGACTGCCCCTTGGCGTGCAGGTCGTTGGAAAGCGTTTTGAGGAAGAGAAAGTCTTGCAGGGGATGAAGGTCGTTGAAGACGCTCTCGAGGCATGTGGTCGCAAGTTCGTTCCCCGGGAATTTTAGGGTGACCCATCGTTAAATCTATGCGGTAAACTTGTACACTATCTTTGTTTGTTATCAAATGTTCCTGCTTCACGTCCCTGTAGTCGTCATATTGCTAGAACCTTGTTATAATGATTCAGGGCGTCCATTTTCCGTACTTTACATAATTTATATTGTGCGTGTGATAGGAGACTTGATAGCTGCAAATGACTGACAAATGCACAGGAAGCGGCATCAATTGATGACCGAATTCCAGCCCGTGCTTTTACAAATCCTGGCAGAGCTGACGCTCCGTATCTTCTAACCAACTCCTCAGAATTGAAATCCCGGCTAGTGATCAGAGATATAGACGGCTTTTGGGCCTTACTTCTTTTAATACATGGTGAAGCATGGTTTCGTATCTGGGGATGGTATAGAACCTCGCCCTGCAAGAAGATGAGCGGGTTTAGTGCGGATAATCCATATCCGAGTCACATCTGCAGCATGATCCCTGTGAAGGAGTACACATCGCTCTTTTAGATGAAGTCTGGTTTCATCATCGAATATCCAGTATTCTAGTGCCATATGCTACGTAGCGCATGAGGCATTGGGTAGGCAACAACGCCTGTCTTATGCTTCCAGGAAAGGGGGCAGAGAGACCGAAATCAGCGAGGCGTGCCTTTCTATTCTTGTGAACGAGGATATCATTTCAAAGAAGCTTCAGATGGACATTCATAGATTTCATTGGCACGCACGCACACCGCTCAGGTCCGTGAACTATTGACTGCGAATGGACTACCCAAAGTGTTGGAGTTATTTGAGTCCTATCTCATGCTTGTGCTGAAGGCATCCCGCCAGAGAGGCGCTTTCTAACCATGGCGAGACAGAACATATGCAAACCCTCTGGAATTGCAGTGACCCTTTCCCTTTTGAGCTGTTGAATAAACTCTGTCAGATCCACAACGCTGAAGACGATGAGCCCAGCAGTAGCGTGCAATAAGATAACTCACCCAAGACTCTTGACTAAGATTGAATAGAGAACATTCTCGATCGAAGGACGAGAATTATCTTCCAACAGGCACCGTCACCAAGCTCAGGTGCATCTCATCAATCTTTGAACTTGAGCTGCATCAGATAAAGTTCGCAAGGATCATACTTCCATAGTCAGAAGATAGGACTCTGTCCCTTATCTTTTCAAAAAGCACTCGACTCTCTTTCTGGATCCATTAGTACGGCATCTTGCCCAACAATACCTAGAGTACAAGTGTAAAACGTATCCAAGGTTGATGTACTGCATAAACGCACCAGAATTGCGATGCAGCCATACGAATACACATCTCCGGATTTGGTTGATTTTGGTACTCCTGTCTAGCCACAGCTAGCAATATGCTCGGGTGAAACATATCTCGTATTTCCTTCACAGCGGATCCTCTATCGAGAAACGCATGAATCAACGATAATTACCCTACACAATGTATCTTGTCTAAGTCATGCTGACTTTAACGTTATCCGACATTTTCTTGATCGAAACCTGTTGGCTGGTCAGTTATGTACAGCCCAGCAATATATGCGAATGCACTAACCTCGGTTATGTCCGACTCCTGCAACTACACTCACATTTCAGAGTCGAACTGGGGTAGCTGAAACCATCGGTATATCAGTCTCACTTTGTAAGAACTGTCTGTGGGTTGATTTCACTGCAAGATTCGACAGAAACGCCTTCGTAGTCTCTGTGATGTTTGTCCGTAACCAGAAGAAGCCCGCAATGTCAGCAATTGACAAAACTTTTCACTTGACCAGCATCCTCCGAGTCGTGCGACCACCTGGATGTCTTCGTCAACTGGGAGAACAGTTCAACCCCTCGCGTCTTCGACCAAAAAACAGCAATAGCGTTCTGTACATTGTGATAAGGCTGACGTCCAGAAAACACCTACACGATGTCAATAATATAACATTGAATGGAAACATGCAGCACACCTGCATCATGATACAGCTATAAGACCACACATCACAGGCCTTGGTTGGTTTGATGATGCCCATAAGTGCCTCCGGCGCCATCCACCGGATATTGCCTGCATGGAGATAGTCTCGGATTCTGCGACATATTGTGGGTTTCAACATTTTACCTCTTGCAAGATTTTAATCAAAAGCATATCTGAACCTGGCTAGAGCATCCCAGACCTAGCCTAGAGCGTTCCAGAGCACTCTAGAATACCTTTCGAATGTAATTTTACTGGCGGCAAAAGGTGGTAAAATGTCAGTCTCCCGACGTGCGAGGATCATCGATAAACCGAAGTTCCCGATATAGAGCATCCCATCACCGCTGATCAAGATATTAGTCTAGATTACCGAACCGTCATTTCCGGCTGGAGTAGGGTGGAAAATAACACCTACGCCAGTGAGGCCACCATGGACTTGATATTATTGTCATGCACTGCAGCAGATCAAACAACCAAAATGCAACAACCGATTGCCCACTCACAATAATGAAGCCAGCTGCCACTTCCTGACCTGACATGTCAAGTCAGGACTTCACTCGTCACCACAGATAGAAAATGCATACCATAGTCAACTTCTTCTCTCTTGAAAGATTAACTTTCCGTCTTAAATAGTCATTTAGTGATCTATTTTCCATCCATGAAGTAACAAACACAGGAAGTGACCCAAATCCCTCAGTAACACCCTCAGGAGGAAAAATGTTATCGTGCGACAATGGCAAAGTCAATCATTCCTGACAAAATACGCTTCCAAAGCAGACCGACCACGCTGCGTTGAATTTTGTTGTGTTTGGAGGATCAACGATTCAAACGTTCTGACATAACATAAGTGCGGAACACAACCTGAAGGAACCTATTAATATCGGAAGCGATATATGTTTAACACGGTTCCGATTGGGTTGCTGCTAAACCGTACCATACCTGATGCATATGTCCAAACCAGTCCTCGAAGCGGAAGATTGCCGACCCTAAAGTCCCATGGAGAAAACTCTTAGTCCCAAACATTCGGCTACCAGAGAGGTATCCCAGAGGAATCGGCTCCTGCTGGCTCGCAGCAATCATCCCAGGGTATATTCAACATGGGAGACGACGCGGAGTTTTCGTTGTGTTTAAATTCAAGTGTTGAGTGACTGAACTGAAGGAGCGTAGTTAACATTACAGAGTCCAACCCGTTGAAGATGAAGACTGAGTTTGATGGCGTCAGTGAGGAGCCCTAGTAGTAGGTGCTGTAACTCAACGAAAACGGGAAGTCTTCTCACAAGCTCCGTGTCACACGATCGTTCCAGAAACCCTTAGCTTGAAACAATGATACAGACCAGTATCGGTCTCTGATGCAACAAGTAGGCCTATGTGTCACTGAGAGGTCTGTGGAGGCAGATTGGGTCATAAAAATGTTGCCGGTGCTTGTGTTCATCGTGGTAATGCAGTGAGTAGCATCAAGGTACACTTGAGTATTCAAATTTGGCTCCGTAACAACGCCCAAGTAAACACTGGAAAACAATCTGAATGGAATGGTCTCATTCACTACTAATACTCCTTTCTCTTCGAATTCTCCTCTTCGTCAACGATAGCAGTAGTGAGGAGCATTTCGGACGACTTTGTCAATTTTTGTTAGGATATCACTGGCTGTGCTCTGCCTAAAGTTTTACTGGCAGTCCAGGCAGTGGCAGTCCCGGAAGCATTTGCCTTACTCCGCTTGTCGTTTGTCGAGGAACTTAGCGTCTACCGCGTCAGGTTTACCTGGGTTTTCGTATCAGTCCTTTAGGGTGAGTAGGTCGTTTGTGGTCTTATAGACTATCCATTGTTTACTCACCCTACTTTCACCAGTCGTGTCTTCCGTCGGTCTCAGCAGCAGGTGAGATCCGCGACGACCTAGCACTGCTATACACCCAGCCTCACGCCGTTAAGTACGTGGGTACTATCTGTCTCCTTCATGGATTGTGGGGCTGAGTCTGATAAATATAGCACCATTAGCCGTTGTCAATCATAAGTGGAGCTCACACTACCGCGTCATATTTAGCCATTCCTCCCATCGTGAACATATCATCTCACCAGTGATTCTGTCCCACTCGCCCAAAGCCTCCACTATCCCTGCGAACATCAGTGTCATAATAGTCGCTTGATCAGTCGCCTCGTGTGCTCGGTGATCAGCTTTCGTTGTCAACCGGTCAGGGCCTTCGCACCCTCAGATCGAAACAAGCGGTTTTTGTAGGCATTTTAACACGGATATTTCCCTCATCCCCAGGGTTGATTGTCGACTGCGCTTAACTTCCCACCTTCGCTTTCATTTTGTGCTTCATCTTATCAGTTGAACCAGCAGCCTGACACCTGCAGGCTTGCTGTGAAGTGCTTTCCAACGTGCTGTACCTGTTCAGGAACGACTCGATTTTCAGTTGTCTGTCTTTTATCCCGACTGTTGCGTTCAAAATTAGGCGCGATGGATGTACCTGCCACTGCCTCACATGAGCAGGCTATGGAAAATCAACCTTCATCTGATGATCCACCCTCGTTCCTACCGCAGTCAGACGCTGGCGAGCGTCCGTCGACAGCGCACGCAAGTGCTTCGCCTTCGTTAGGTCGTGGAACTTTCTACCCTCCTGTTCCACCCTCTGAACGCCCTTTCACTGTTCACGGTACCTCAAGTGTGCTCCCACATGCTACATTCACCTCAGGCCCATACAACTCTCCAAGTGCACGAACGTCGTTCACTCATGTCGATGTCGACAGCGTTCCGAACTTTGGAGCATATCCTGCCCTTCCAAACTCAATTTTGGGACAAGCTTCGCCGGACACTCCAATGAACGACGCTGAAGCAGTTGCACTGTCTGCAGTAGATGGATCTCCTACACCAGAAAACGTTGTACCTCAGACATCTCAAGTGTCCCTAACATTCCTCCTCGTCTCTGGCCGAAGGCGGACTATGTCGTTCGATCCAGCAATAACAATTGGAAGGGTCAAAGAACTGGTATGGAACGCGTGGCCCGTAGGTGGGTGTTATAAACCCTGCAGTCCTGGATTCCATTGTTATAACTGTTCTCGTCCGCAGATTGGCAAGATGAAAGTCCCCAAGCCCCATCGCATTTGCGAATTCTTTATTTAGGCAAGATTTTGCAAGACGAGGACACTCTTACTCGTGAGTGTGCTTGTCACTCATGACGTCTTGCTTATATAAACGAATGGTGTGATTACAAGATCTTGCATTTCCAACTTCTTTACAGTCAGATTCGGCTTCCCTGCCCACAATCGTTCATCTTTCTATTCGCCCCTCGAACACCTCAACGGTTGATGATACTATGAAGAAAAGACGTCTTAGCAATGCATTTTCCCGTAGGGGAACAATAAACAACGACGCAGCGATCGTGCACGAAGGTGCCGATAATACCGGATCGGGATGTTGTGGATGCGTTATTTGCTAATGTGGTCCCGACGATTCGTCGGTTTGGTCTGGAAGCATGTCAAGCCAAGATGCACGTCAGAATGAGCGCGAATGCGCGTGATGTCTGCTAACAACATGTGGGATAAGTTTGTTTATATGGAGGAGGACTGATTTTTTTTTACCATGGTATGCAACGTATCTTTCGCGTGCTGCTCGAGAAACGGGTGGACATATAACATACTATTGCAGCTAATTCATCTGATCACTTCTTTACACATTTCACCTTCAATTCATCTATGACTTATAGTACTCATTTGGACAAACTTGAACCTTGCTTGCAACTCTTCTCAATCCCCATCGAATGTTGAACAATGATAGTCCTCAGTGGCTCAATAACCGCAAAAGGGTGACAATAGGGACACGGTTTATCGTGCATGGGTGTAAATAAGCCAAAATACGTTTCATGTTTATATATATAGTCGAATGCAAGTTCAATCTACTCTTGTGTTGATGCTGAGATGCCTCTCTACCTTTTTCTTCGACAGTTCAGTGCTGGCATCTGTATCGAGAGAAGCTGGAGGATCACTGGATTCTGATTCTCAGCCTCGACCTCGACCTCCGAAGTGAGTTCGCCACTCTCCTGACTGAGATGAACATGATTCCCCAAGTCTCCTGGTTGTTTCTCTTAATACACGTATATCATATCACTGAAAGTTTACAGACAGCGTGTTACGTCGCGAACTCGATGTCTGTGAACTTGCGGTGCCATTGTATTACATAATCTAGGGGTAGTTTAATAATACGTTTTGGCTCGAACTTGATTCTCCAAAGGTTCTCCCGGCTTTCTACCTGATACAGAAAAACCAAACACATGAATTTGGGTGCCAGCTAACTTATAAAAGATTATCATCTCCGGCCAGTGATCCGACGAGCTTCTATAGCTACCTCCCTAAGTAACCTGTCAGCGGTTGACTAGTATGATGGCCGTGGACAACTCTCTCTCCCACTCACCTTTTCCCATTATCCATGACTCGTCTCTCACCCAGGTCGGTCGCAATCGTCGTCGTTGCCTGCGTTCTAGGGATCACATTTCGCAGTATCGTATTTGCACCGCCTAATAATACCATCATCGAGGTCGAGGTTCTAACTTCACCGCATTCTGATTCTCCCACGTCGCCACACTCTCCCATATCTCCTAACTATTTTACAGAAGACGACCGATTCGGCTCTGTTGATGACATACCAAACACTGACCATGTATGGGAGAAACAGCCTCCTCCACTCGGCCATCATCATTATGGTGATGACGGTTTGCTCGTGGTCAACCCAAACGGTCCTCATCCAATATTTGAGCTTATCGACCGAGCTGAGAAGGCTTGGGAAAAGAAGCTTGGCCGCGCAAGCAAGACACTAGCTGAAGCCGTCGCAGAATACAAACGAAGATACCACAGGCCTCCTCCCATTCACTTCGAGAAATGGTACGTGGTCAGCATACAAACCAAGGTCACACGAGCTTCATAGAGTCACTTGTAGGTGGGACTATGTAGTGGCACACAACGTCCAACTTCCAGATGAATACGACGAGATATACCAAGATTTGGAGCCTTTCTGGGGCATTGATCCCCTGGATTTCCAGAAGAACATAGAGGAACTGGAGGCGCAAGAAAATACTGTCGTTATTGCAAAAACAGACAAAAGCTCCTCGGTCGAGGTCGTCGGCTATCGTTTACCACCAGATAGTGTCTCAAGGCTCATCAGTCGCATTGACAATGTCCTACAACTCCTCCAGGATATAAAAGATGATCTGCCTCCTTTCCGTGCCGTTTTTTCGCCTCATGACAATCCCTCTATGCTATCGGATTATGGTGTTAAATCCATGGCACTTGACGCGGCCGCTTCCCGTTACAGTATGTTCATTCTAATTGACTTATTGCTCTGTGACACGTTTTGCTCACACGATATTAAGCTCTGAAACAGAATGAATTTCCACCCGTGCAGCGGACAGGGTGGCTTTCTGCCTGCCATTCATCATCTCCCGCGTGGCAACATCCCGTCGATCTCGATAAACCCGCCGAGCACCCATTGAACAAAACCTTCATTTCCGACCATCGCCTCTCTATGGACCCGTGCCTGAATCCTTCTCTTTTCCGCAGCCACGGCCAGTTTTTGTCGCACGACGCAGGGCCGGATCCTCGGAGCACGCTCGTTCCGCGTTTTTCCCTCTGTTCGACTGTAATTCATCATGATATTCGACCGGCTGTTCCCTACAGCTGGGTCGAGGACCTTCCTGACTCAGACAACCCGCCATGGGAAAAGAGGACAGACGAAAGATTACTCTGGCGTGGCACTAATACTGGCATATTTCATGGCGCCAAGACCAGATGGCGGCAAGGGCACAGAGACCATATGATACAGTTTGTCAACGATATGGCAGGAACAGCGGACGTGCTTCGTTCGCCTCTGAATGACTCTGAGCCTGTTGGAGAGCCCGTACCTTTGCGCAAAGCATACCTCAATCCTGCGTTGATTGACATTCAATTCGCCGGAAAGGCAGGTTCTTGCGAAGACCTCTGTGATCAGCTGGATAGACTTTATGACTGGAGAAAAATGCAAACGCTTCAAGAGGCTGGCAATTATAAATATGTCTTTGATGTCAGTCGGTCTGTTAGATTCGATGATGGCACTCTACTTACCCCCTTTCAGATCGATGGACATGGGTGGTCAGGGCGGTTTAAGCGCCTCATCACATCGAATGCACTTGTATTTAAAACTACGATATACCCTGAGTGGTGAGTACTCGTCTAGTCCAATTGGCGCAAAAGAAACAATCCATGTTCGTAGGTTTATGGATCGAATTGCACCTTGGGTACACTATGTGCCTGTGCAGATAGATTTATCTGATTTATATGATGCGTTCACTTTCTTCCGTGGCGGACCTCAAGGAGAAGGTGCGCATGAAGACTTGGCGAAGAAGATAGCAGGAGCCGGGCGCGAATGGAGCAAACAATACTGGAGACAGGAAGATCTGACAGCATACACGTTCCGGTAGGATCCATCTTTTTCACAGCAGGCAGTCGTCCTTGACCAGTTGATTCAAGTTTATTCCTCGAGTATGCACGCGTCTCCAGTCTTGATCGTGAGGCAATGACATACAAAGAAGACTTGTAGTAGTTCGTACTGGACTTTTCTAGGATCACGCGGGTTGATGGACATACGGTACATATATGGGTAATCTTTATTGCCGAGTTCCCCGGTTATTCCATGATGCTCTCGTGGACAATGACAAGTTGCAACTGCTTTGATACGAGGGGCCATTGACTCCCTCCGAGGATCCAGCCGGTTTTGTTTATCTAGCTGTCGTTAGTCATTACTCACTGCAATGTCGAACTTTGAATGGGAATCGCATGCATTTTGGATGTCTGTGCCATGGATTGCCAATGTGGCCAATGGATAGTATCTCATGAAATTTCATCCATAGTGACATAGTCGCATACCTTCCAAGGACAATCCGCGAGAGAATAAATCGTAATTGGGCAGGGGTGCGGACTCGGAGGAATTCAATAGCATCTGGTAGTGCAAGGCAACCTTCATTTTCATCGCCAAGGTCACACGCCGCATCGTGGCCATGTAGAGTATTGAAATTTTATCCTTGAATCTGTGCGAATGCCGCTGCTTGCAAACAGGAAAGAGAACCATATGGACACGCAACAACGCAGCATGACATTGCGCCCGATCCGGCGGATATGCGTGCAATCGCCCTTCATGGGAATCGACAGGAAAGTTGCCTGAATTCGGTAGTACTCACATTATATGAAATGCAGCCGCTGGTCATAGATTTCCATACTCGACCTCCCCATCGATGACAGTCGCTATCACTTTGGCACTCAAGATATCCTCTATAGGCACCGTCATGATATCACGGTCCAGAACGATGAAATCAGCTTTCTTCCCAATTGAAAGCGAACCGAGAATATTCTCAGAGAAAGACGCGTATGCAGCATCGAGCGTCATGCCTTTGAGGGCTTCAGCGCGCGTGAGGCGCTCGGATGGGTACCTAGAAAAAGAAACTGAATCAATACCTTTCAAATCAACGTATGACAGAATCTCACCATCCTCCGGGACCATGAGGCGAGTCGCCTGTTACAGAGAGGCGTGAAACAGCGGCATAGAAACCAAGAAGGGGGTTGATGCCCTCGACAGGGAAATCAGAGCCAAGGGGCAATATTTTGGTTGGGGACGCGCTGTGGGGTATGGGCTATCAGTGCCAGCTCGGTACATGGCGAGAGAAGAAAGCAACTTACTTGAGTAGAGTTCGATACGCATATGCGCCTTGAATTCTCTTTGGGCCCTGTAGGAACTCAGTTTGATGTGATCTAAGACGGATGTCAAAAATGAACTTACCAACCGATCCTCGGCGTACCACATGTCGCTTGTCCTGCAAGACGAAATACATCGGTCAAACAGTTGGCAAGATCTATCGACGGACTCACGCATAGGTCGGTTGCACGCTAGGTATCACTGGAATCATATACCATCGACAACGCCAACGCGAAGTAAGAATCGGACCTCTCACCATCTAACTTTCCAGTTCGTTTGATATCATCCAGCGTCAAAATCTGCGCATGCTCAATACGAGGTCGCAAGGTGTCTATGGAGAACGAGGCGTTGGCAAGCATGTCCTCATAAATGTCAAGTACGACATGATTTGCCCGATCCCCAGTGCAGTGGATGTTCTAATGGCAAGGATTAAATAGTTAAGCTAGTACAAGGATGAGAAAAGATCATGAACATCAGCCACTTACAACTTGCCAACCATCGTTCGAAAACTCCCTTACCAGCTTCGCTAATACTTCCGGCCGCATCCGCATGATACCGCTTGTTGATGGATTATCACTATACTAAAATCTTTCATATCAGTACATCCATGCTTGAATGGTAACGTGGTAGGTTACTCACGGGCTCAAGCAGTGCAGCGCCAAATGAACTAAGCGCACCTAATTATGGAATATGAATATATGCACAAAACATCGATTCGGACAGAACCGACCATCTGCGAACAGTTTGACGCTGCGCACTGTCAATCGTCCACCAAACCCGTGCTGGATCAGTCTTGGAATCTGGCCTCCCCAGTAGTCATCAGAGATCACACCACCCATGAGATAAAAACGGAGCTGGTACATGTGTCAGTAAACTGCTACGCTCAGGGAGAAAAAGAGCTGACAGGTAACTTTTGAGTCTCTGAAAGTCTGGAAGATAATTGATAAATAATTTTTGAGAAAGCATGAGCCACGTACTTCTTGTAAAACTGTATTTCTTCAGGAATAGAAAATGCGTCATGCACGCTAGTCAGACCCACCGCGAGCGCGTCACTAGTAGCGCGGGTGAAGTACTCCATCGCGCGGGCCTCGCTGAAGGGTTCTAAGGGTATGAGATCTATAGCATTATCGACGAGTATTCCTGTGATTCCGTGGAGGTTTCAGACAAAGAGGCACTACCTCAAGAAGAGAAACACACCGGTCGGTTTTCCGTGCTTGTCGCGAATAATCAGCCCGCCATTGATGTCACCCTCGGGGAGGGGCGCCATGAGTTGCAGCACGCGATTAGATACCCAGCAGGCATGAGCATCAATATGGGTCAGAGATATCCGCCGACCGCGAAGAAGTGGTTCCCTGTCAAAGTCGTCCTTGGGTGTTGTGAGGAGCTGCAAAGAGAAAGTAAAAAGAGGCATACGGCATGAGGATATTGCGCTCCAGGCCATTTATTCTGATCCCATCCCATGCCCTCTATCCATCGAGTTGGATCGCTTAGAATATCAGGATGTGATATAACATAAGCTTTCAAGCGACTCAAGACATCTTTCACGCCGTATCAGTAAGTCGAGCATGGACTACAATGTTAGTTGAAGCAAACCATCAACAGAGATACAGTCTTCCAAGTTGAGATTCATCTTAAAACCATATTGCAACATATGAACATGGGGGTCTTCAAGGGTCAAGAATGAGAGCTCGAAATTCGAAATCACATTGGTAATTCGTCGTACCAATCAGCCCGGGAACCACGATACTATCAGGTTGAAGGTTTATCACTCTCAGAGATGGCTCGAGAAAATTGAATGGCCGATGTAAGTGAATGACGCCTGCCAGTGGGATATCTAACCGCGATCGATCCCGCCAGCGCAAAGTTATGTCCTCTGTCACAAGCGTACCGCGTGAATTGGATGCATGAACGAGGCCACTTTGACCTGCGCGTACCTAGATCACCTGTGTCTGAGATGAGAGTATCGTGTACAAGGATGCATTGGACATTCGGAAGATCTGAGTCGACTGTGTAGATTGTGCGGTTAGCAGAACAGACTGCATAGTCTAATGAATGGGTTTGAAGTTGAAACCAAGTCAAGGTCCCTCCTGTCGCCCCCAGCGCAACCAAGAGTGCGAGGAGCCATGATCTAGCCCACCAGCTTCGATTCTGAGGTGAATTGATACTACTATTAGTCTGCCCGCTGGCACTTGCCGACTTGACTAGGAGTGAAGAAGAGTCCCATGTCGTGTGAAGTTGGAATGGGGATATATGAAGATACTTATACCTATGTAAGATATATAACGTCACCAGCAACTTGAACCAATTATATGTACGTCCGTGCGGTGTATTTGCTAAGCTCAGTGCCCTTCAAGTTCAACTTGGACTCCTTTCGCATCTTTGTCACCATCATAGCAACCTACTGCGCTTCTAAATCCCGCAGTTCTACTATCGGCATAATTCAAGTACTCTATTCAAGTCGGCATTGACTTGCCAACAGTTACGAACGTGTACTGATGATTGTTGTCGAGGAAAAAGTTTGACAAAAAGTGCGGGCGAGCTGTTGATGGCCCGAGGCAACTGAGGATTTACACGTGATATCTGGACACAGTTGCACAACTGGTGACCTCCAGTGACTCGCGTCTGTTGAGGTGATCCTCGGAGATGTCAGTTGATGGAAGAGACGACGCTTAGCAAGTTAAAAGTGAGTAGAGTAGTTCTTGCGCCAAAAATCACATCGTCTGAAGTTTGTGACTACTAGGATACGTAATCATGTCGAGGCACGCGAGGTCCTTCCTTTGACACACCAGACTGATCCGAGCTGTGGGCCGACGACGAACAAAATGAACAATCCAGTGCACAACACACTACTATCACACTGTCTTATTGTTTGTCAGTGACGGTAGCAGGATGTTGCTCTTCGGTTGTTTGTGTTGGTCTTCCTTGCACAACAGGGAGTTGAGACCCATGTGCGCCCTCCGCACTATCCGCAGCTCTTGTCGCGTTCCTGCCGCTCGTACGGCGGCGGTCACTTATCGCCGATAGAGGGGCAACATCCTATCTTTGAAATTTGGTTTCGCAAAGCAGGGAAACTGACCTTTTGCTGCCATTCGAAAGGTAGTCTAGAGTGCTCTGGAATCCTCTGGCCTGGTCCAAATTCTTGATTGAAATCTTGCAATAGGCCCCCGATGTGTCAACGGTAGCGATGGACATGACTAGCACGTAAGTACTGTCCTACGTACGTTGAGCTTCTCTCGATGGACAAAAATGGATACAAAAAAAAGGTCAGTTAAAATTCCACACAGATTGACGTGCGGGAAGGTGATGTTCCGAAAAGAACATCAAGCACAGAACAACATCACTTCAGAGAAGAACAGGGGGCGATATGACTGAGCCGATTTGTCGATTGTGCGGTCCTTAGTTTCTAAAACAAAGTACCGGGTCCAGATTGTTTTAGCGAAAACCTTGAAGCCGCCAAAAACGAGTTGTCTAAGAATTAAATTCGTTCTTGTGTGAAGCTCATCCTAGTAGTAAAATCCATCAGCTACTGGCACAAAAGAAAGGCATTAACATCGCATCCCTAGAAAATTGAATACATACACTGTTCAAGGACATGTGAAGGTGGACTTGAAACTATAGATCAGAACAGTTGCCACATCACATCGGTGTCCATCCACAATTGGGATTATAGTACCAGTGTCACATGAAAAGTAAGTCTGTTGTTCACTTCTACATAACAATAGTACATTAGTCTGTTGTCCATTCTGTCGTCCATCGTGCAATCTAGGTATAAATGTAATCGCGAGCTAGCTTAGTTTTCCCCGAGTCATAAACAGTTACGAGTGAGCTTAAACTACCCAGGCTACACTGGTATGCTCCGGTAATGCCACTTCTTGAACATGAGTGGCCATGAACCAATCACGGCAATTGGGGCTGCAATAAGAAACATCACCACTGCGCCCCATCCATTATGATTGTAATTCCGGGTGGATTTCCCACTGTAACGCGTAGTCGTTACCCTTGTGGGACTGGAGGATGTCGTTGGAGTGGCAGATGGTAGAGCAGAGGTGTATGCACGAATATAGGATATGTTGAAATATGCATCATCATATCGTGGACTGCCAGATCCAATTACGCAGTCCTCGTACTGTATGACAAGCATTGAACACAAAAAATAGTATTTTCAGCTGTTAGCACTCACACATGTACCTGTTGGACCCGAGTTGCTACACGATGCATCATAGATGTCTTCAACACCTGCCCTGTATGTAACATGATCATGAAGGTCGTATCCTACGAGGTATGGCAAGACTTACCAGTCTCCGCAAAGAGTAATATCTAAAACTAGGTTCTGCGCAGTAAAAAGTTGGGTGATGTTGCAAGTGTTAGAAAAATAACTGGCATGCGGAGTTCCCCATTGAGTGACGTTCACCGGAGCCGCCTGATTGATGGAAGCAGGTACGTCGGGTCGCTGAAAAAATATGTCAGCATATTACAATATTTATCAAACTCAAGAGTAAACCGCACACTCCAGTACCAGATACTATAGGTGATTGTTAGTCATAAGGATGATAAGGATATGACATGTATAACTACGTACAAGATACCCGATGCATCAAATTGGGTTGCATAAACTCCCCCACCAGCTGTTGCAAAACTGCTTCCATAACTATTCGGAGAAGTTTCGCCCACTGTGCATCCAGGGGGTAGAGAACAGTCGGTTGTTGTACCGCTTACACCAAGTTCATATTCTGATCCGTTATGAGTGCATCCTGGCGTGGTGTGGATACTCATTTGATTAGCGGTCATCATATTGATGCCCTCGATGATATCAATCTCCCCATCCTCCGGCCAGTTAGGCCCTACAAAGTTGCATCAATAATTGAAGTCGAAACTAACAACATCACGCGCACCGAAAGTCCAAAATGCGGGCCATACCTCGAGTAGATAGCTCAGATGTTAACAGTAAGTAAAAAAGCTTCCCATAACTTACTGAGCATCCAAACGGTATGTGACTGAGATCGATTATCCAAAGGCTTCCGATATCATATGTGTCTTGAGTAGTTATGCGAACCTGTTGAGCTCTAATAAGTATCGGGTGCTTTCCTCCTGTGATTTGCGCACCGTGCTGCGGTTCTGGCCCAAAGGCACGTTTGTTGTGTTGTCCACCTTGATTATGGCATTTCCTTGACTGTCTATGTACGCCAGCTTCTGACTAGTTGCATAGGACTCGTTGGCCCATATGGCATTACCTGTATCATGTTATATGTTGTAGCAGGATATAAGGAATGACGAATACGATCCTCACCCAGAGTCGTGTTGTCATAAGCGCCGTAAAAGTCCCAAAGATCGAAGAAGCTCTTGCCCGAATATTCGCGGACGAGACTATAGCCGCTCACAGAATATATATAATAAGCAAAGACCTCAAACACAAGCCAGTGTTTCATGGTGATAAAGTGTGAAGACATGAGCAGAGGAAAGTCCGAAGGTATTCATATAGCCGGCAAATCTTCGAGTAGCGGGCGAGTAGCCGCGCTAGCGGCTGGAGAAGGGGTGGCCTGGAGCTCGAGACCCTGTGGAATGAAGCCTTACATACTTAACCGCGCGCCGCTGTGGCTTTCGGCGACTCGGACTCACGCGCACAACAGAATACTGAATCCGAACAAACATGAGGCGCGTGATAGAAGAAGCGAAGCAGGCTGCCTGAGGCCTGGCCTTCCGTAACTGATGGTATCGTGACTATAGTGGGGTGATTACGTGTGCCACCAAAAATACTTGGTCGCTTCCGAACTGAAAACCGGATGCCATGTTGGCCAAGGGATGGTGCAAGGAAATATATGTTTTTGGAGGGATGTTCGAAGGTCTGAAACACATAGCTGTGACTGAGGACTGACTCAGATCCGTGGGAAAATATATCAAACATATTGAAAATACAAACATACCATATTACACCTGGTATATGATCTACTGATTCTACTCGAGGAAGTTGATTGTCCGAGTCATGGCAATGCATTCTCAAATTTGATTCATATTTTTCTAATTGCCGACCCACTTTGAAACACACCAAGTACTAGTACTACTAATAGTACGGTGAGTAGCATTGACAACAGGCGTGAAGCTTAAATGTTTCTTATTACTCGAGCACTTGATACTTAATCTTCATACCGACGGATTCAAGGCCGGAACATTGACAATGCTATCTTCCAGTTTTCTTCCACGCCATGACAGCGCTGGACTTATCCAAATCCTGTGCCGCGTGCGCATTGGTTCGGATGTCACGGTCAATTGTCATAACATTGGGCTAACGGTTGTTGATGCTTGTTGTTGTACAGCCAACTATCATGATCTGCCTCGCTCGCAGTGTTGATGTCGGCCTTCTTCACCAAGAGGCAGTCAGAAGCTGTACATACGCTCTATCAACCTTGCACCGCGGACATCAAACAAATTAACGGCAGCACAGCCAATAGTTCGGGAGGCAGCCAACGAAAATAGAAACTTATCGCCCCATCATGGTCAGTACCTGGAACAGGTGTTGTTAACGTATACAACATGTCACTGCTAGTATTAGCTACGTGTGGATGTGCACGTTTTCAGATCAAACACCATGCTGTCCTGATGGTGATGCATAGTACGATCATATCGTTCCGCTAATAAAAGAGAAGTTGCCTCTAATGATAGACACTCAAGCCACTCCGCCGCAGTCCTGACTTTCTGCGCACTCCCTATTCGCCACCATGGAAAAGCCCTCGGCAATGTTGATTGAACAATTGCAAAACGTCCACGCCCGTCAACGGAAGGTTATCCAACAACTTCAGGCAGATAACGCTAGATTGCTCAGCGATCTCGTTGAAATTCGTCGGGAGAGAGACGCTTTCCGGGCGGAGGCTGCGAAGCTTCGCAAGGAGCAGGCAGAACTACACAACCGACTAGATGAAACGCTCTCAGAGTACCAAGATTTGAAACGCGAGCGTCTCACTCTTTCCCGTGCATTCAGCAATACGTCCTCTTTCGGGCGGCCATCAAAAGCTAATAATAAGGTGCGTGCAAGTGGTCATAGTGATTATGCGGCTCTAAGTTGTTTAATCAGGCAAATGTCTTATCAGCGTTGACAGGAGATGAAGCGAAGAGCCCATCTCACGATTATAACACAGTCAGTCGTTGAGTCATTACCCATCGAAGAATGATCCCATTACTTTTCGCAGGGAATGACCCACAACAGTCAGAACTCATATTCATATCGTAAGTTGCCGGAACCCGTCGTAACGGACGAGCCCCAAGTGGATCAACCTATTCGCCGAATTCGCAAGCTGCCTACGACCGTGATGCCTGTTCCGAGGGTATCATTGTACGCACTCGACATGAATCGTTGAACATGGCATGGAAATGAGTTTATACCATCACGTCAGAACATCTAACGGAAGGCAGTGCCAAGGAAACCTACTTCCCTCGGGTCATGTTGTGGATGTATATCAGAGGACAATATTATCTAAGACTTAGTACTATGACACAGGTTCGACCTTGTGCAAAAACAAGAAAAGTTCGTCAACTAACGCGTAGGCGACTTTCACTCCTGGTACAAAGGTAACCTCGGAGCGGATTTGCACTGGCAATGACCGAGATGCCAGTAAACCCTGCGAAGTACTAGCTTATTTGAGAGTCACAGGTGGATTGATCCATACACCACATTGCCAAGGCAGATCTTAGGTGGCAACTTTGCTGGCATCACAGGTCTTAGGTGCCAATTGGCTGTCGTCGACTCATTATGGATATCATTCGTTCGAAAGGTGATTTCAGTGTATAGAACATCGTCCATCTTCATGATATATAGGGTTCGCCTGAACCACGCGCAAATCAGTTGCGCAACTGCTCGATAGTCGAACCTCTTCGGTGAACGGAAAGACTACAACACATCTTGGAGATGTCACTCCTCCGCAACAAAGTGTCAATGAATAGATTGCGAAGCAGTGCAATGAGAAACTACCTGCCTTCAGTTGGCGTATCAGTCCTCGCATTCGCTGGGCCAATAGAATACGGGTTTAGCCCCATAAGATAAAGGACATGAAAATGATATTCAGCACATAAAAGAAGGCGTCTTCCACACCGTACTCAGAATTATTTGATCCTTTATCACATCCTCACAACAATGCGTGCCTATTTTTTGCTCGACGTCGTTCTTGCTTTGACAGCATTAATAGCTGCTAGTGACACCATATCTGCTAGTGCCCAATGCCCACGGTATTGCGCCTGGCCTCCAGACTGTAAAGATTGCAAATACGGATTTTGCGTGAGTATGAGTAGTTTGCGTCCCAGATTTAACCACACGACTCACCCGGCTGTCAGGTATTCTTTGTGTGCGCGGTGAGTCATATTTCTGCTTTTCAGTCAGTGCAGTATGGCTAATGGTGAGACGGCGTGGAACTAGTAGTGGATATGGGTCCTTCGGGGTGGTGCTCTGTCATCAATATTGAACCGAGAGAATCCTGAAAAAGATATAGGTAGACAGGCAAAACAGTTTCTGTAAACGTCACGTGGTATGACCAGTGTGTGACTAGTCGACTTGCCTACGCTTGGGCATTTGTGTATTTAGGATTCAGCACGCAGACTATGGCGCTGGATCAGTTCAAAAAATTACACACAGGAAATTTACTTACACACAGATGCCGAACACACACAAATGACTAAACACACACATGTCTCATTGTAACACATTTGATCAGTACTTATAGGCGCATTTTCAAGTTAAATGTGTTGTTCTAACTAGTGATGTTCCCAGCCCAGCTCGGCTCAAAAGCCGGGGCTAGGGCTCGGCCTGACGAGGCTCAGGCTTTGAAAAATGGTGAGCCGAGCCTGCATAGATGGCTCAGGCTTGGCCAGGGCTTGTCACCAGAAAAAATCAAATTTTGTCTAGTGTTAGTATATGTACCTCTGCATCCTCAGAATCATCAATATCACTAGCTAAACCATTATCGTCTGAGTCTCCATCTTCAACCATGACATCCCAGCTTTCCCTTTCCTCGTCAAGCTTTCCATCCATACCATCAACTTCAGCTGCAATACATATGCACGTCGGATAGTGGAAGACATAGATCAAAACGTAAACATACATCCTTAAGCTGCTCTGCTCATTCGAGCATGACATACGTTGATGACCAACATACTTTCATATCCATCAACAGTTGCTTGTGTTCCTTGCTTGGTACATGACTGTCTTCATTACGCAGCTGTATTATCTTGAAAAGCTCTTTACACTGAGCTGATGAGCGTTCCTGTTGAGCAAACCTTAAGTTAGTTGTGTATTAAGAAATAAATATAAACCCAGACCTTGACACATATAGCATGAACTAATCCAACCTCATCACGCTGGATTCCATGAGAGGCAAAAAGAACCGTGTCTGGCTTTGTTGGGTCAAAATGCTCGGATTTGCTGTGGGCCGTGAGCAATGCCTGTGTAGTGAGGTTAACAATATGTGCAAGGCAGCTGGGGAAATGTCAAACAATCATTGAAAATATATTCTTTGAACACGTACCACAGTCGCCGTTTCTTGTGGTCAAATTTCTCCTTCGTGAACTCTTCAATATGCATACCAAAATGCGCCATCATGGTGTCATTATTTGCAGCATTATCACACATAACATAACCAATCTACAAACACATCAGTGTCATGACGTGAACATGTGAAAATTGTCTACTGGACCTTATGAGCAATACCAACTCGTTTCACAACCTTAAAAAGAGCTTGTCCAAGCTGTGTCCCATTGTGTGCATTGTTGAGGCAGTGTCTTAATAACCGAGGGTCTTATATAAAGTTGTGTAAATGTAATGACACCACAATTACACTTTGGATAAGACTGCTTGCCAGTCCTCGATTAACACGGTCTACAACTTTTCCTATTTCGTGGTAGATAACGTGTGAGTTCTTGGGAGGCTCGCTAAACTAATCTTTTTATAAAGATCAACCTAGCCGGAGCTTTACTTTTCTTTATTGAAACTCAAATCTCTTGTCTAGGAATAAGCTTCTAGACACGTAATTTGGTTTCTGGAATGTATTTGCCTAGGAAATCTCCTTCTAGGCTCTGGACTTGGATACTGGAACTAGTGAGACGTGGTCTCAAATATACAAAATATGACCAAGATCGCTTGGTCTATGGACACCTGACTGTGAGACAATGGTCTCAAATATACAATATATGTTCAAGATCGCTTGGTCTATGGGACAACTAGTGAGACGTGGTCTCAACAATATGATAGATGACTAAGATCGCTTAGTCAAAGGGCACAGAGCAATGAGACAAAGGGGTCTCAAAGACAATATATATGACCAAGAACACTTGGTCTATGGCACTAATAAGTTTCTAAGGTAAGAAACTTATAATCTCAAGGGAATTCTTTTCCCTGCACTTGTCTCACTTCAAAGGGACTAACTTTGCAAGTAAAATATCTGAGAGGCAGATTGCTACAAATGGGAGATCATATTTTTTTGGGGGGAGAATGGGCTCTCCTTATATACATTTTGTGTGGGAAAGTAACCTAGGTTTACAAACAATAAAAAATAAGGAGGACCAATCAAAATATTGGGTCAAACCCAATAAAAGAATAAAATACGTGAAAGATGGAGCTATGACATCAAGAGTGACATCATTGTGGAGCAAAAGATTCCAGAACCTTCCATGAGTGAGTCAGAGTGAGTCATTGTGGAGCAGAATATTCTAGAAGGAAATGACATCATGAATGATGTCATTGTAGAGTAGAATAATCTAGAGCTTGATGACATAATATCTTTCAACAGAATACCTGCAGGAGTATCTGTGGAGTCTTATGACATCATAATGACATCATACCTTATGGGTACAATTTTATGAAGTGTCAGGTGAGTCAAAGCATCCTAATGAAAAAGTAAAGTAAAGAAACACTAGAGAAAAGTAGGTAGCAAAAATAAGACAGTTGGCAGGAATTGAAACACAGTCAAAAAAATAATGCAGTTGGCAGGAATTGAAACACGGTCTTTTTGGATAGGTTTTTTATTGGCTTTGTACTTTTCTCTATGGTTTTCTCTAGCCAAAGTGAATAAGCCAAAGGCAAGGCTATACCTTAACCTTCATTTCCCTTCTCACATCAACTAGGTCTAAATGTGATTCCCATCTCACATTAGACTTTTTCCGTCAAAACATATTCAGATCATGAAACTTGGGGAAAAACTGGAAATATGGACCATGGTTTGAAACCAAGGTATGGGTTGACTAGTCTGAGGACTAAGCTAACAGACTTTATCTTTTGAGGGTCACCTAGTATTCATGTCCATGCATGATTCCCACATCATGCAGGACAGCGGGTAAAACCAAGCAGTGCCATTTGTACTTTCCAGTCACGTGGTGACACCTCCTCAACCCAAGATCCTGTGACGGCAAAGTAGCTGTCGACATTCTTGGCTTGCCATGCATCACACGTGAGGTTGATTCAGCCTTTGACTGCCTCACTCTAAAGTATCTCAATGTTAGTGAGCTAAGAATGCATGAGTATGAACACTTACAAGTAGCCGGTTGCGAAGATCAGTAAGATTGCGTTTGAAAAGGTCGATAATAGCTTGCCTTGTCTGTCATCGTCCTGGTAGTTTGACACCATTGGTAGCACGCACAGCTGTGTCAATCATATACTTGAAAGACTTGTGATTTATTGCATTGATGGGCTAGGTTGAACAAATAAGCATGTTCCTAATGGCAACAAGTGAAACATACCTGATCAGTTTCAATTAACCACTTGATAGCGGCATCGCAAAAGAGTGCATCCGAATATGGGATGATGCGATCTTTTGGTTTCTTGTCAGAAAGGTGGGCATCAAGTCGAGCTTGAGAGTCTGCAGCAGTGTCTAGCTTGCGACATTTTATGTCCCTCGGTAACATTGAAGTAAATTTGTTGTGGTCGGCCCATTGGATATATTCATTCTACAAATGAACAAAGTTAGTACTACACGTCACTCATAAGCATCAGAAATGCTTACCCAATGCAAAGCCTCCATGTGACGGTGCATGGTCATTACTTCATTGACAAAAGCAACAGGTTTCTTTGTTTTTTTGCTAATATATAATCAGTTATAGTACAACATGAGTGAGACCAATGGGAACTTACCTGCATAGCATGCAATGGTGATACTTCTTGCCTTTATCGTCAGAATATGGGGCTGAAATTTTTTTATTGGTGTCGCGGCTTCGCTGCTCTTGGTGTGATTTTTTGGGCTCATCGATGTCCATAACTTGCATGTCCTTTAGAAATCCGTTGGCATCGCGTTCGTTGTCAACGATAGCGGGAGCCTGTGGTGGATTGACTCCACATGTACAGGTAAGATTGTCAGCATCAAATGCAGCAGGTCATGACTTACTAGTTGCAGATGGGCCCGCCTCATTCAGGAGGCTATCTGGCTCAAGTTCAGCCCCTGCAGACAGTTCACTGTTGCTGTTGGCAGCAGCACGAGCACATTTTTTGCCTGTGAGGATTCAAAATGTCAGTACTAGAAAAACAAAAGAATGACATACCTTTTGTGAGCCGTCTGGGTTTGCTGTGAAGCAGGTCAATGTCACTATCATCCTCATTAGAGGCAGTGACAGTGGTGGGGGTTTGGATGTGTGAGGGTGCAGCATTGGTGGCGCTGTGAGCCTTTCTGTGAGAATGGAGTTCAAGGTCAGCAGTATTGTCAGCGCTGATTACCTTGGCAGATGGCACAACAACCCGTTTAGGACATTGTGGAGGTGCATCCTTGTCATCTGAATAGACATGCGGAGTCATTTAGAGATAAGATGACTGGAAGTATTAAGTTTTAGGCTATGGTGCGCCAAGTGCACAAAAAACTATTTAGTTATTCGGTGTTTGCCATGCGAAGATCAAAACCTACCTACTTTGAAAGCCATGGCTTGGCGGCCCGGCTCTGGCTTTCACATACCTCAGGCCGAGCCATGAGCCCTACTAGCCGCCCTCAAGGCTTGGCTGGGCTCAGCCCACAGCTTGAGGCCAGGCCCTGCACATCACTAGTTCTAAATAAGGCGTCTTGAATCACCTCGATGAGATCAAAAGCGAGACAGAATGCTGTTCCTTTCTCCACTATCTGAAGCAGCAATTTCCAGCACTCTGGATTGACCCTTCTAATTTCTGGCCCAAGTGCTCAATACCTTCTTGGAATTTTCGAGGATTGTGGCCATTAAGGAGGAAATGAGCCATTATATATATTATATCATTATAGGGGAGTTCAAAGCTGGATTTCAAGGCCGATTTGGACGTGGATTTGGATGTGGATTTTGGATGGATTTCGGCTGGTCAAGTGGGAACATTCGGCAAGGTGAATCAGACTCTGAAACACACGCAATGTGACTTACATGCCACGGTCTTGTTTACTATACGATGTGACTAGATCCTCCTTTGCTGCCTATAGATCAATAGCTTATCCTGAACCATGACGAAACATAAACAACTGACATCTGTTACAAGAACATCTAGACGCTTGGGCCCCTACCATTTTTCTCCTAATCCTCCTTGTATCAGCCCTCGCATCATACCCTTACCCCGACCTTACCCTTGTTATCCTTGTCATCCTCGCATTCCCTTTCGCTCTCTACCTATCGCTTCAGCAAAGCCAGTACATCTGGCCGGATCCTTTCACTGACGAAGCATACCCATGCTCCGTTCCACCACCTGACTGATCCTGTGGACAGTCCCCTGGCCCTTACCGTCCGGACGGTAACCTATGATCTGATGCACGACGCATCCTCTTTGCCCTGTTTCCTTTCTTGATCTCTGACTTGGTGCGCAGTCGCACATGCGACTTATACTTAGATCCGCAGCTGCATGATCGTGCCCCTGCGCGTTTCACTTCTTATTTCGATCTTTGACTCACTTTCTTATCTAGCACGTTCTACCTCGACCGAACGTGCCTTCCTGTTATGGTTATACCCTTTACTGATTGCCTCTCCCGGTAGTACGAGTTATCACCCACTAATACGTCTCCTGTCCTCTATATAAACTCGCTACCATGTACTATATTCCCTAACTTGAATCTACTTGGTTCTTGACCTCCTACTCTCACCAGAGTGATCCTTTCTGCCTCGCCAGCAGTCTATATTCTATCTTCTTATCTGCTCTTCGCGGATAAGCCTATAGTCTCGACCTTTACTCATCGACTTCGTCGACGAGCAAAGCCCCTGTTAACTAGTCGGACTTCCGTCCTTCTAATTAACGACGATCTTTATGATTAACCTTCGGGTGTCGTAAGCCTAGGCCGATATAGCTTATCGTCTCACTACCGCGTGACATAAGCTACCCGATTTGGACATAGGCGTCAAATCTTACTTGCTGAAGCCTCGCCAAGTAAGACCCCTAACCTTGGGCTAGCCCAAGGACATCCTCGACCGTTGACGACACAAGCTCTGTTTGAGCATTGCCAACAGATACCATCCAAGTCGTAACAACATCGCAAACACCTGTCAAATCTGTTGATGCGAAGTCCCACAAGAAGGCCATTCCTGTGCTAGCTGTTGGAGTATGGGTTTCTGTTCTCGTATTGATTAACATTACATTAGGGTATTAGACAACCTTGCCATCTCGTACCACATGCGACACACTTGGTGCCACATGGTAGCATCCTTCTCTGGTCATTCTTGCTCCGTCTCTTGCACAGTACAAATATCTTGTCGTCTCACTGTTAGCATCCCTCAGTTGTTGTCCCCAACACTGAGGTACGTGTCTCACTTATTTTGCTAGTTTCACACTTACTTAGATCTATCTCAGCGTGTTCTTCCAACAGGTATATAGATCGTCAATATAGTTGTTGTCCCCAACACTGAGTGTGTTCTTCCAACACTAGCTGCACCTGACTTCAATTCCGCGTCCATCTTCTGGCTCAAGAAGCGCAGTCTCATGCCTGGTCTTACATTCTCATCAGCTGCGAAGAGGGTATATACACCAATTTTGCTTGCTTGCTCTTTAACTGTGTCCATTCTCCTGACTCAAGAAGTGCGGTCTCATACCTGGTCCAAGTCTTGCATTCTTCAATGAACTCATCATTCGCAATGAGGGTATGCACACCAGTTTGCTCTCAGTTATCGGTAGTGCTTGATTTTCTGCAATACAAGTGAGATATTTGCCAGGGCTGCAGCGGCCCAATGATTCAAGACGCCTTAGTTAGAACACACGGTCAACTTGAAAATGTGCGTATAGTACTGAATGTTCGACAATATGAGACATGTGTGTGTTTAGCCATCTGTGTGTGTGTTTGGCATCTGTGTGTGAGTGAGTTGGGTGTGTGTATAATTTTTGAACTGATCCAGCGCCATAGCAGACTGTTGCAATCGTGCAGACATAAGTATGTTATACTAGCACACGTCAAACTTGGACATCTCCAAAACCACATGTTACTATGGAAAGCCGGACACTCATGCTCAATTATCTATAAATCTATTAAGTAAGGGAGAATGGTGGCGGGAAGGGATGGACACTCGCATGGTTTCCACTTGCACCACATAGATACACTTAGATTCGCTAAACGCCATGTGGTTTTCACTTACCTCGCTTAAAGCTCAATTTGGAAACTCGCGTGGCTGTCATGTGATTTCAAGAGTCCGCTGCCTGTTAGGGCAGCACACATTTAAAAACATTTATTATTTATGAAATTCAAATTATATACACACAAAAAAATTAACTACATAAAGAAGAAAAGTCAATTGAGAAATGGGAAATGAGAATGGGAGAATGGGGGAGATGGGAGAACAGAGAAAATGAGGAAAATTGCAGAACAAGAGAATAGGATAAACAGAAAATGGAAGAATGGGAAAAATGGGAAAACAGGAAAATGGGAAAAATGGGAGAACAGGAGAATGGGGAAATGGGAGAACAGGAAAGGGGACAAGAGGACGGGAGGATGACAGGGAGGTAAGGGGAAATCAACACATTCAATTGTACTTTTACTTTTCTTATCTGCACAGAGAACAGGGAAACAGGAGAATGAGAAAACCAGAGAACAACAGGAGGACAGGAGGGTTCAATATGTCTAATCCCATTAATTGTAATATATCATGCTCAACTCAATGAATACAATATAATTTATTTCAAGATCTAAAATAATGATTATTAAAACACCCAAAGGTAGGATGAAGCCGAAGGCCAGGAAGCCAACAAAGAGCATGAAGCGCTCTTTTTGCTTCCTGTGCCAAAGGCACAACGGGTGTGTGCTAGTTAAGCAAGTACTACCTCATATAGTAATCGGACCTCGAGCACCGTGATCGTGTATTTGCTCATGTTGATCAGTGCAAACCTAGTAGTGTGTTTGAATCTAAGTTGAGTGTATAGCGATGAAAATCCAAAGTTGTAGTACATTGTAACACTGCCCAAGAAAACATACGCCAAATGAAAACCAGCGTCATCTAAGCTACTTTGCCCCCAAACTCCTCAAGCTCAAACCCTGGCCATTTGCAGAAGTGGTTGCAAATGTGGCGAGTCTCAAATTCACTGACCACCTTCTCGATGTTGCCTCCTCCAAAGATATCTTTTGTGTCACTGACCAAAGGGTGTGTCATAATCTGTGGGTCAGTTAACAGCTTGGTATTGCCTATTCAATTTCAATGTCAGAATTGCCGATGCACAATGCAAGAATGTAAAGTACATACCTTGATAATTAGAGATGAAGACCAGCCCACCTGTCTTCACATGCTGCACATGTTGCATGAAGGCAAGAAACAGTGCAAAGTCATACCCGGATTTGTCTGGATCAAGTAACAGATTGGGGTCCATATTATGAATATATTTCATGAAATCATTGTCCTCGCCATTGATAACTTCCTCCAAGAGAAAACATGCACGCACTGATGCAACCTTTGATGCAGGCTTGCTACTATCTTTAGAGCGAGACCAGCTTCGACAAAGCGCACATGGGGAATATTGAATGGTACAGGCTCAGATGCAACTGCCACAGCACGGTCAATAATGTTGTAGATGAGACCTAACAGAGCTTTTGCCCAGTATAGGACATTTGCTTCCCTAAATAACTTAGCTGACTCATCCTTGGGTGCAAAGCGCCCAATTTTGAAATCCAAACTGGCCAGCATGCCTTTGGGATACACCTTCTTGAATGAACACATCACGACAACATCATGCCGTGCCTTGGATCCAAGGCCTGAGGTAGGAGGTGACATCAATGTCAGCCATCCTGCATGTGCAGTTTTGAATCCACCTATGCTGATGTGACCCTCAGGGGATGTGTCGACAGTCTTGTAGCCCACTGATGGATCAGCATTATCCACAGAAAATGAATGGTACCGGGTACACCTCAAAAGTTCATTGAGTTGTCAGGTGGAGATTGGGTAAAAATGAATGCTTTCGGTCTGAAACTTAGACACTTATATCTAGGTGAGTGTATTGAAACACATACATCAACAAAAGATGACGTACCTTGCTGCATATCTAAATCTGCCCCTCCTCCAATCTTCAAGGCTATCTTCAGGTCATTGCAATCAGGAGAGCAGAGAACAGGCGGGGGATTATGAGAAATACTGAGTTTGCAAGGAGGTGAAGAGGTAGAGCTTATCACACACTCATGAGTCCATTTGGTGAGGCTGCCTGTGCTGGCAGCAGATGACGTATTCAGTGCTGGGACTGTGATGGTGGCAGATGATATGTTCGGCGCTGACTCAGAGTCAAATGGTGGGTCAGCCGGGTCGAATGGTAGGTCAGTTGAGTATGTGTATGCTAGTGATGCCACCAAGTTGGCCAAAAAGAGTGGGTCCGCCTTGCCCTTGCCCTTAGCATGACAACTTGAGGGTTCAATCACCTGTACAATTAAGTGTTAAGTGTAAGTTAGTGTAGGTAACAATCATACAAGAAATAGATGTACCCTTTCATTCGCTCGTTCATTTGCCTGTACAATTAAGTGTTAGTTAGTGTAGGTAACAATCATACAACAAATAGACATACCATTTCATTCGCTTCTTGCCAATCTTCAAATTCAGTCCATTGAAGTTCTGGCACAATGACCATAAGGCTGAATTGTTGTCTTGAATATCAGGGCCTTTGTTGGACCTTTGCGGGCAGGCTGAAGACACTGTGAGTAGAAATAGGGAACTGATGGCTGGTGTGTTGTGAAATCGACCCATTTCAAGTCTCGCATGATGAATTCATGGTTGCGCCACAGAAAGGTGCCGCTGAACGCATGTAGCTTGGGCAGAACTGTCTTCATAGCTAAGTTGATGAGGCTTGGGGCATCAATCTGGGCATCAATATCCTTCTTGCCCTCACAGATATTCTAGATAGAATGTGCCAGTTTAGCTAGCTATAACAGTGAACATAGGAAAAATCTTACTCCAATTAATATACCTCTTGCTTTCTTGCGCCCACCTGCTTCATGAACAGCTGAGATCTCTAGTGAAATAGTTTCAGCCATTGCGCTGCCAGGAGTAGCATATGCAAGTTTGGCCCATCTCTGACGTTCAGTTGAATATGATCCATGGTGGGTTGAGTATCCAATGGGACCCATGAGCCTCAATGGCATTGGTGATGCTGCTGACCCCTGCCAAGATGTGGGAACGGCTACATCAGGACTGGGTCTTTGAAGAACACGCCAGCAAAATCATAATGTTGAGACCATCCGTGATGCTATGACTCATTTACATCTGATGTATCCAAATGCTGGAGCATGTGAAGTTGTAAGCTTGCTATTTCATGAATGGAATATGAGTGTGTCCAGGTGATATTTTCGTTCATTCATGTATCCTTTAATTGACGACTGCTTGTATCACAGGAGCATTGTAATATCCTATTTCCATACATACAAGCCAGATCTTGTTTGCCAGTGCAAGGCCAATCGCCTTCGCAGGAAATGATTTTGGGCTGCAGGCGTGAACGATCTATTCACAGTCGACCAACACGACAAGTGGCTGAGGTACGGTCTTGGCCTCCATACTGGCATCGAGCCATTCTCGGGGCGCATTATGTGGATGAGAGTCTGGCACTCAAACCGGAACCCACAGCTGATCCTTAGTTACTATCTTGACACAATCCAGACACTCGGGCATAAGTCATTCTTTCTGCGTATTGTTCACACAGCACTGATCTACCTCTACCTATAGACATGCCTATGGTGACCCAGAGCGACCCTGGGTCTGAAAACTATGGAATTGCTAATGCCCATACTATGCTACATCAGTGGCATGATCCTGCCTTGCAGGGTAGCCTACAACACCGCTGGATGAGGACAAAGAAAAACGTAATGCCGGAGATAATGTGGTCACAGATGCGGTGTTGTTTCACACCTGGATTTGAGCCCAACAAACATGGCTGTCCCCAAAAAAAGCAATTACAGCCCCCCAGTGGTACACAGGTGGAAGATCCTTGAAGTCAGGAAGTCATCTCAAAGAAAACCACAGCCATGGCCCATTCCACCAAAGAAGCCTGTGCAATGAAGTGTTCGCCAGATCGTGGACAATGACAGGTGTTTCCTGCAAGCCTGGCTAATCTCATCATGGAGCTCATCTAGATACATATCACAGCTGTGGGACAAAAAGCCATGCATGTACTTTTGTTATGTCAGAATTTGTGCAGAAAGAGATTGAATATGAACGCACCTCTATATCTTCCAAGTCCATCATTTGAGTTCTACCACTATTACCACCCCAGCTTTCTTTATACAGCTCCCCAGTCGATTTATAGCATCACATAATTTTTTCTATTGTTGATTTGCTTGCACCAGTGTATGCCATGATTTTGGATGATGATTTCGCATAGTTCTGGTGACAATTTGTGACCTTTCATAGTGGGGTAAGGGAGATATTCGGCTGGAGAAAAAAGTGTTGTTGTAGACTGTTGGCTCTAAGGGCAGGTGACCATCAACTTCACCGAATCACTTAGTTTTTTCGCTGGTCGTCTGCATTCAATTTTTCTGATCAGATTTGTTGCTTGGACCATGTCAATAGCTTGCTTCGTTGTTGAGATAAAAATCAATATTTGTAGCACTACTTTTCGAAAATAAATTCACACTTTTTTTGGAAATTACTGCCAGCCTCTACCATTATGCAAATTGCTGCAAGTATGCCAGGAGTCAAGATTCTGATGCGTAATGCCACTTTGTAGTGACACAGATTCAACCTCATGCAAAAACAAGAAAAATTTGTCAACTGGTGACGACTTTCACTCATGGTACGAAGGTAACCTCAAAACGGACTTATCCTCGCACCAGATGGCAGTAAGTTTTGCGAAGTACTAGCCTATCTGAGGGTCACAGGTGGATATCCATACCACATTACTTGATACCTTGCTCTACAAGGCAGATCTTAGGTGGCAACTTTTTTTTTTTAATTCCAATTTCTGTCCCTTGCAGAATAGAACTCTATGTAGGACACTACTTTCTATTCTAAGGACCCCCAGTGTCCTGATTGCATCTCTAGATCCGCAAATGCCCTGATGTGAGCTGTGCCCCATCAGTCCACCATTCCCGCCAGCTATTTTAGATGCACAATCTAGTGTAGGTGAGATGTCTAGGTTTGGGTTATGTGCAATATGGGTGACTGTCTATTATATAGGTTGAACACATACTCGGTCGCAGGGTGTGAGCGTGTACAGGAATCGGGTGGTACAAATGTGATGAAGTAATGTGAGCTTGTTTTGATCTGTGGGGAGCTTCTGTTACTTCTAGGTGACCAGTTTTGGCGGGTGATTCCATGTTGGGTGAGTGTTTGTGATACAGGTTGAGGAGTTTGAGGAGTTGATGATGTTACAGATGTTACAGTTTGTACTATTGATATGTACGTGTGGTGTGCTATATGGGATGTGCTATTTCAATCTGGTGGTTTGCGGGGTAAAGGTACTTCACTGAATGTCTGATGGAGTCTGCCTGTCATGTTGATGAAACGAGTAAGGTGGGGAGTGGCATTAGGGTCGGACAGGAGGTAGGAGAGTGATGAAGCCTTGCGTCCCAGAGCGTTTGACAGAACATGTCTTTGATGGCGGTAATGTTGACAGTCGAGGAGGTAGTGGGGTACCGTTTCTTCGATTCCTGGGCAGTGCGAGCAGTATGGGGATGTTTCTTTGCCTATTCTGTGGAGATGTTGTCAAAGAGGGGCGTGACCCATATGCAGTGCCATGTAGAGACCTGTAAGACATTTGGGGAAATCAGCAGTCAGTTTAACAAAGGAATGGTGCAAAATCTTAGGATCAATTCTGTTAGTACAATTGAATCTGGGTGATTTGCGCCAGATTCGTGACCATCATTTGTGCATTGATTGATGATGTGCTGCTGCGAGGGCCAGGATGCTGAGAGGGAGAGTGTTAGAGCGGAGGAATTTTGGAAGCGAGGCGGGTGGGCTATTGTTCTGGTGACTTTCTGCAGCCTTCTTGGCATGCTTATCAGCTTCTTCATTGCCATGTACATCCAAATGTCCCGGAATCCAGTGCATGGTGATGTTGGGGCTGTTATGTTCTCTGGCAAGTTGTTTTATTCTGCTGCAAAAACGATCTATTAAGTATGCATCCAGTGTAGAGCCTCGCATCTCCACAGATGCTTCCTTCCAAATTCTCCCACTTTCCCTACAAACTCCAGCTCTAATCCACAGGATTAGTCTAGCGCATCAGTGCACTTTGCACATTCGCACTCGCATAGTCCGCGCATTCATCTGTCCGTCCATCCCATGTCCTTAGATGTTCATTGGTGCGTTTTCCCATCATATTCCCTTTTCAATTAATTGGTTTCTATCGCTAATTCTCAGCTCTGCGCTTCGCACATAACCGAGACCCTGTTACATACATTGTGTACTATTTTTAGTCTGTTCAGCTCGTTACATCGGACCTGCGCGCCTAGCGCCGCTTAGCTACTTTACTTATACTATTTCTTTACTCTATTTTCTGGGTCAATTTTCCACCCACTTTCTGTGTGTCTCTAGATACTAAGAATTTTACTTGTTGTTTGCAAGTGACTATCCAAAGTTGCGCACTTCGGTTCTCGGTTTCCGTCTTAGCATCAGCCAACCATAGTTGGGGTGTTGATACTCGTCTCACCTTGTCTTTCCCTTGCTTCTCTCGCTTGCTTGTCCCTTGCCTTTGCTCGTGCGCACTACCTCCACGTCGTGCATCTCGACCTTCGCCCTTTCGCACTTGCGTGTCATTGCGCGTGTTCACCTTTCGTACATCGCATCGTTTCCACTTTGCGCGTTACTTAGACTTAGTACTTCATTAGTTGTTTGGTGTCCCTCTTTTTACAAAGAGAGGTTTCCTTTACTCAGTTAGCTGCCCTTGGGACGATGATTTCACTCGCGCCCGGGTCTATCTGTGTTTGCTTAGCTTAGCACCAACTTTCCCCACAGTTTGGATTCCTCATCTTCACCGGGTGCGTATAGAATCCTTCACCTGATAGGATGGCTGCTTGATTGTCAGTGAAGATAGATATTGGGAACATTGGGTCTTCCTCCATTGCTATGAGTTCTGCTGCTAACGATAGTCCGACCACTTCTGCTTCAAAGATGGTATGTTCCACATCTTTTCCTAGGTAGTAGCGAAGTACTCGAGGGTGTTTGCCAGCTCTGAATAAAATTGCTGCCGCTCCTATATTACCTTGATGTCCTGATCCGTTGCAGTAAATCTGTATGTCGTCAGTGATCTGGTCGTGCTCCTCTATTGCCTGCTTCTTGGATGCAGCAATGTGAGTCTTGTATGAGTTTGAACTCATTGGGGCACGGCGTGCTGGGATTAACATCTCTATTTCTGCCGGATCTGTAGCATATTGCCGTGTGAGGCAGTGCAGGGATGTGCAGTGAGACCCTATGAAATGTCGAGCAGCATGGCGGATTGGGAGGTGTAGAGGATGTGTGTTCAGATGGGAGGCGATGCATGTTATGGCTCTGTAATATATGTTCTGCAGGAGTAGGGAGATGAGCAGCAGGTTGGCATGGGCTTTGAGGGTGTTGGTAGCCATTGTCCTCATTGTGCCCATAATTGCTAGGGCAGCGATGCATTGTACCGAGGACAGGTGTTTGGCCACCCTGATGAAGCCTCTTTGAGGAGTGTTGGATCCAGTATGGTATGCTGGCATGTACCATAGGTCAGCGGCATAGGTCATCTTGGGGATGGCTACAGCTTGATATAGCTGGCGCATGAGTCGTAGCGGGATACCTTTGGCAGCTGAGGATAGTCGGCGTAGTTGGAATATGTACATGAGTCCTTTGGCTATGGTGTTATCGACTTGTGCCTTCCAATGTAATTCTTGGTCTACTATTACGCCTAGGAAATGGTGTGTGGCAGCCAGGCGGATGATCGCACCTTGGATGTGCATGTTGGGATGAAGGTGGGTGCAGTTCATTGAGAAGTCTATACGGGCAAACTTGTTAGTCTCGAACTTAGAATTATGGTTTCTGGACCATTCATAGCCTCCGTTAGGATGTTCTAGCATATCTGTTAGTATTTGATGAGTGGAATGAAAATCCTTACCAATGGCAATAAGTGCCGTGTCATCAACAAAAGTGAGTGTTAGTTCAGTAAGTGATTCGCGTCCCAGCCACATTTTGGCTATATCCACCAGGTCAGAGCTGTAGATAACATATAGAATCATAGAGAGAGGGTCGCCTTGACCAATACCATTATTAATAGGGATCCAGTCTGATGTGTATCCATCGAAGCACAACTGAGTTTGCTGGTTTGATAAGACCTGTTCTGTGAAACATATTAGTTCATCTGGTAGTCTACACTTACGCATATTACGAAGGAGGCGTGAGGTGACTGCATTGGGAAAAGCCCCTTCTATGTCCAAGAAGAGGGCCGAGGCTACCTTGCCTGATCTCTAGGCATTTTTCACTTTTCTTCGAGTAGGTGCAGTGAGTCGGTGGTTGAACATCCTGGCCTGCCTCCGAAGTGAGTGCTGGGGAGTAGGTTGTAGTGTTCTAGGATGAAAGTCATGCATTTGGCTACTACCACTGTCAGCAGTTTACCCATGGTGTTGAGCAGTGCTATGGGTCTGTGAGCTTTTGGTACGGTGTAATCCGGTTTACCTGGTTTGTGGAGCACTACCGTGGTGAAACGGCGCCATGGGTCATAATATGTTCGGTGGGTGAACGCGGTGTTGAACAGATAGGTGAAGTATGGTACCAGGGTGTCGGCACAATTCTTGTAGACAATGTTGCATATTCTATCTGGGCCTGGGGCTTTGTATCTACTGAGCTTGATTATCGCTTGCGTGATTTTGGCTGAGGTGAAGGGGGCGTGTCATTCTACTTGATCTGGATATTCTGCATCGGGGGGAATGGTGTCGTGAGTCAGAGGTGGAGGAAAGAATGACTTAGCTATAATGGTGCTCTTCTCGCTGTTGGTGTTGGCCTCTAAGATTGTACCATCGGGTCGTTTGACTGAGAGCGTTGGGATCCTCGTTTTGCTGCCATCTTTGGGATCTGATGAAATGTACTTGTTAGCTGTCCATAAGTCCTTACCTTCAATATCTTCGAGCCATTCTATCCAGTGTTGCGTTTTTGTCATCTCAATCTCCTTGGCGTAGCGTGCTTTGATGGCTTTGAGTTCCCCGTGACATTTGTGATTGGGTAGGCCGCGCAACATATAGGCCTTGCAGTTGAGCTCATTAACCTGTTTGCGAAGGTTAGTCAGTTCACAGGTCCACCATCGCTTGGAGTCAGGACAAGGTTTGGTGAATGGGACTGTGGCTTCGATGGTTTCAGTGATGGCTTTTGTTAGTCTGTCGGCTGCTTGTTGAAATTCACCTTCTGATGCTAATGGTGTGGGAGGAGATGGTGTGAGGATGTTGCTGAGGTGCATGTTGAATTCCTCCCAGTCTGTGTCATGCCAATTCCTGCGGGGGGTATTTTCTTCTTGGGGTGTCTCTAGTTCCAATGTGAGTTGGATGGGCATGTGGTCCATGCATAGCCCTCAGAGTGCCGGATTGGTGTTGCAGGATATGATGGCATTCACAGTGTGTTCCATTCCAAATATGTTGTCGTGTCGAGTCCAGTTGCCCGTGGAGGATGCTTGCAGGGTGGGGATGCCTTGGGGGAGTAGTTGCAACATGCCATAGTCGGCGATGAGGTCCAGCAGGGGACAGGCTGCCTCATGATTGAATAGATGTCGGTTGCATATATCTTCCCATAAGGGGTGGTGACAGTTGAAGTCTCCCATCCATAGCATGTGGTCGCTGTCATGCTGCCTGATGATGCCAATGTGCCATTCTAGGTATTCGCTAAGTGCTGTTAGGGTGCTCTGCAGGACACCATCATTATATATGTTGAAGATTGTGCAGCGGCTGTATGGTCCAGAGAATTGGATGACTACTATATCTGGAGATGGGAAGGGAAGCTGTTTCCATAGGTTAGTATTCAGGGATGTGTTAACGAGTGTTATAGTGTGGGTACACTGTTGAGGGTTAGTGTAATGGGGTTGGATATAGAACATGCCAGCAGTGGTTGGTGCTGGTATTACGGAGGAAGTTGATGTGTGGTTCTTGAATTACTATGGTGTCCCATTTCAAGGCTATATTACTATTAAGGAGAGAGGCTTGGGCAGACATAGATTTGTTGAGATTCTGCTGCCAGATGCGAAGGTTAGCGTTATGTGAGTTAGTTTGTTCAGACATTAGAAAGGGAGGGTGAGGAGGTACTTGCAATAGCCATTGGGTCACCCCAACCAGACGATTGGGATTGGGAGATGGCACAGTGTAATTCTTCTTCATGTTGGTGCTGAGAGAAGGGTTGAGATGCAGGTGGAGAGACAGTTTGAGGTTCGAATGTGATCTTGGTCTGCTGGAGTTGTCTCGGTCTCGGGTTTTGGTTGCGTTGAGGAGAGGTGGTCGGGGAGATGGATGTTCTGGGCGGGTTGGATGGCTGGGTGATGTGAGTCCATATGTTCTCAGTCAGGAAGTAGGGCATGCTGTTCTCTGGGTACTTTTTATTGATTTCCCTGCATCGTTTGGTGAATTCAGGGCAGATGCAGCTCCAACTCGTGTGTTGATTGCTGTGACAGTTAGCACATCTGGTGGTCTTGAACACTTTACAGTTATTCATGCAGTGTTGATCCCTGCAGGTACCACAGGTATCTGTTGTTGCTGTGCAGTTCTTCGCGATGTGGTTGAATTTCTGGCATCTCGCACACCGAATTGGTTCTTTCTTGTCCCTGTGTGTTGAAATGTTTGTTAGTGATGCAGAGTCCCTCTCGAAGAATGTTGTTAGCTAGGTGGATGTCAGATACTTGAAGGAGAGCGAAGGCCTTTCATTGTTCCGGAGATCGCTTTAGCAGTGGTTTTATCCATCTAATGCTGACTAGCAAGGAGGGAGGGAAGTCGTTGTCCTTCTCGACTTGGCTGAGGAATCCTTCCTTTTCGATCTGTGTTGAGATAGGTAAGTATTCTAGCACCAGAGTGTAGGTATGGTGGTGGAACGATACTGTGGTCTCTAGGTGGTTCTCCAGTGCTGTTTTCCCTGATGGACTGCTAAGCTATTGTGCTAACACTTCCATTTCCAGCTCTACTACTAGTCCTCCATTGCGTAAGGACTTGACCGATCGAATTGTGCCAGGTGGTGTCATGTCATCCCGAGCTTTGGTGAGTGCTTCCTTGATTTTTCTGGCTATTTCGTAGTTGGACATGTCCGGTGGGAAGAAGGCTTCACCCGGTGTTGGGTCCAATAGAACCTCTCTTGCACGGATGGCCATGTGTCCTACTGCTCTTTCAACTATGGGTGGGAGTTGGGCTGATGCAATAGCACTGTATGATGGTTTTGTGTGGACGGTTTGTTGTACTGCGGCTGATGAGAGGTGCTTTGAGAGGTGATTGACCTTTTCCTGGGTGGCATCTAAAGAGGGGGTTAGTGTTTGCAAAAGTTGTTGATATGTTTCTATGGATGAGTATAGTGCATCTGCAGCTTCCTCTACTCGCTCAGCTGCTGTCGTTGTGGAATCCTCCCTTTCAGTTTGTTCTCTTCCTATTAGGGTGTGCAACGCCTTGGTTCTTGCTATGGTTGTCTCAATGGATTGGGAGGCCGAGTGTACTGATGCTACCTGTGGTGCAATGGCGGCTATAATGTGGTCTACTAGCTTGGAGGCAGTGTGTTCCTTGATGAGGTCGGAGTGGGCTGAGGTGATTTGGGGGATGATACCATCTGATATCCTGTCGATAAGTTTCATGGCGATGTCATCTGTGCATGTCTTTGCAACTTGTTCGACTATTTTGTGTGCTTCATGTTCCTTGAGGATAAATGCGACTGCACGGATGGCTGTGGTTACTGACACCGGAATAGAGGTGGAGATCTGCATGATGTGAAATAGAATCGAGATTAAGTGATTAATAGTGTATGGCTGATTGGCTTGACACAGAAGTCTGGAAGACAAGTATGCTTTTCCGGTTTCAGCGTTTTTGACAGTGTTCTCCAGGGCTTCGATAGAGTCTTGTGTGATGGCCGACCTGTTTGTTCTGCAGGTGTTGAGCCTGTAGGTTGGTGAAGAGGTGCATTGGGTGGATGCTGGGGGGGTTCCTGCTCCCACGCTGATGCTTCTTCTGCCTCCAGGCATTGTCTATTTAGAGTTCTGGTGTTGCTAGGGTGAGTTAGTTGAGCGGCAGTAGCGCCGTTGAGCGCAGTGTTGACGTGGATTTTCTGGGGTCCTAGTCGGGGTGCCACTTGGTGTGGGTCCAAGAAGCGATTCAGGTGGCAACTTTGCTGGCATCACAGGTCATAGGTGCCAATTGGCTGTCATTGACTCATTGTGGATATCATTTATTCGAAAGGTGATTTCAGTGTATAGAACATCGTCCATCTTTATGATATATAGCATTCGCCTGAACCACGCGCAAATCAGTTGCACAACTGCTCGATAGTCGAGACCACATCGAACCTCTTCGGTGAACGGAAAGACTACAACACATCTTTGGAGATGTCACTCCTCCGCAACAAAGAGCCAATGAATAGACTGCGAAGCAGTGCAATGAGAAACCACCTGCCTTCAGTTGGCGCATCAGTCCTCGCATTCGCCTGGACCAATAGAATAAGGGTTCAGCCCCACAGGATAAACAAGGACACAAAAATGATGTTCAGTACATAAAAACAAGGCATCTTCCAAACCGTACTCAGAATTGTTTGATCCTTTATCACATCCTCACAACAATGCGTGCCTATTTTGTCCTCGACGCTGTTCTTGCTTTGACAGCATTAATATCTGCCAATGACACTACATCTGACAGCGCCCAATGCTCGTGGTATTGCGTCTGGCCTACAGAATGTATCGGTTGCCACTATGGATATTGCGTGAGTATGAGTAGTTTGCGTCCCGCATTTGATTGGCACATGACTCACCGGCTGTCAGGTACTCTTTTGGTGCATATGAGCCATATTTTGCTTTTACAGTCACTCGGCGTAGCATGGTTGACGGCAAGACGGGGTGTAAAGAGTAGTGTGTTGCTCGCGAGATATGGGTCGTCTTCGGGGTGGTGCTCTGCAGATACCGTTGTACAGTAACAGATGCCGATCAGTGTAGTCTTCGGGTCTTTAGCAAGTCAGAATTGGGGCTGACAGGGTCCTCTACGAGGTTGGTTCTGGACGAATGACTTGAATGCATAAGGGCAGCGATCGTTTCAGGTGACCATGTACCGAGAATTTGCCTGATAGTAGATCTGGAGGCTCCCAGAAGAGATCGATATTTGGCCTATGGCCATGGGATCCATTTATTGAAAGTTTGGATCGGCAACAGCCTGAGTCTCTCTCCGGTAAGTAGATGACAAATCCAACGAACCTCACGTGACACGAAAGAGTGCAAAATTAATTAATTAAACAAAGTACAAATGTCAGGAAATGCGCCAATATTCAAGTTGTAGAGCGAGAGATTTCGAGCTTGAACAATGCTACCAGGTGAATTGCGAGATGACTGTATCGAAAGACAGACTGTTCTTCTTCTGAGGCTGTTCTTGAACGCAACATTATCATCGAATCACTGGATGCCATTTCAATGCAATGGTAAGCCCGAGGAGCTTCGACATCCGAGGTCTGCGGTTTAATTGAACATCCATTGACCCAACATCACAGAAGTAGGGCTGGACACTGGTTATAAGGCAACCACCTTGAAATGATCGACAAGCGCTCAAAAGATAGTTGTCCCTTACGCAGATAGAACAGAGTCAAAGCACATTGGAGAAGTTGAAGTCACCGTGTCATAGATGGGCTCAAAGGGGAAGAAATTAAATCTTGCTCTTAGCTGGGTCATCCAATCCAAATGTGGGTGGACAAGCAAAGAATGGCAAACAAACGCGCCTTTCAGAAAGTCGCGTCACGTCGTGTCCCGTCTTTCAATTTGCACTTCTTCCATTTCGTTACTTACTTCACTTCTTGATGCCATCATGGACGCATCAACATTGCCACATCAGCCTGATATACTTGCTATCGCAAGGGAGCAGCTCGGCCTTCAGAAACACGCGAAGGTAAGCACACAATTCAATTGGTGCTCGTCTGTGCGGTGTCGTTTGTGCGGCAGGCTGAATTGGCATATCCCAGGACGCGTCTATTCCCAAGTCTTATCTCACAGCACTTCGTCGGCATCTAGATATAGATCCTTATGACACCAACGTACGCTTCTATCATCCAGCGTCACATCAATACATCTTTAATGACCCCAATTACAGTTCAGAGTCACGTTGCAACCAAAGACTGGATGTATGCACTTCCTATTGTGGATGTGAAATTTCGCTGAGTTAAATTTGTAGATGGTGTGATCACATGCCTGGAGCAGGCTTGCGCCACCATCAATATCCCGTTGAATGCCAGATCCGGCCGCTCGGATGGCAAAGCAGAAGGTTTTGGTAGTTTGGCCAATTATGCGGTATGGTATTGCGCATGAAAGTCAATTTGCGTATGAACATCACCTCCTTAGGTCCATGCTAGTATACCCAAGCACAAACAGGCGAGGCTTTTGCGCGTCAAAACGCTTCATGCGAAGAACGCGATCAAGAACGAAACCGTAAGTAAAGTCACGTTTTCTGCCACCTCCATGATGACAATGATTGCGCAGCCAAATGTACATGTGCCAGACATCGCCGTTGATACAAAGCCGCCGCGAGGTGGTTTGTTGGCACAGCTCGATGCAAATTTGAATGTAAATAGTCTGTCCAGCACAAGTGCATCTGCGCCACGAGCCCCTTCATTGAGAGCCTTCGTGTCATTACCGTTGGGGCGCAAAAATGCTGGGACTGCCATAAAGCCTGAGCCGACTGACGCTGTCATTCCTCGCAAGCGCACTTCTTCGTCTCTCATGTTTCTTGGTGCGGAGAACGAGGAAGACAAATCTGGTGTTTCCACTCTCCCTATATCTAAGCGCACAATTCTCCACCTGTCCAAGGCGCCTGTCAATTCTAACACGCAGCCTTCGCAAGGCCACAATCCTGTACAGCTCGCAGATCAAAAGGCTGTGCTTCCTGTGGCCCACCAGCCATCCTTGCACCGCAGTTCTGATGAAACCCATTTAAGAATCGCCAACATTCAGAACAACCTAAGCTCCCTAGCCAAGCTTTCTAAATTGACGAAAGACAGGACCGTCGATCAAGGAACTTCCGCTATGATATCCCTAGTCCCTCGCCACAATGGCGACAATGCTGGATATTCTTATCCAACTTTTAACCGCCAACCTATTGCATCGGGATCCCACGTTCGTCTCAGCGTTGCTATGGGGTTGGACACAGACTTAGAGGACGATTGGGAGCTGCCCAATATCTTCAGCGGTGCTGGTACTCATGACACACGCTTTGACGAGGATGGCGACTTCTACGGTAGAGGTAAAGATTCGTTTATCGGACCGACTGCAAATCCGGGCGAGTACGTCGCGATATCCTTCTGAATATATGTGTTTTTACGTTCTCATTTCTGTGCTGTTCGCAGTATCAACAAGTTTTTGATTGCTGCTGGCAATGCGGAGCAATTCGATGGCAATGCCAGTGTCGACAAGGCCCTCGAAAAACTCGGATTGAAGAGCCTGTACAATTTTCTTCCAGGAATGGCTATTTCTTTGCTGGCTCACCAGGTTATCGGCGTCGCATGGGCGTTGGAACGCGAGAAATCTGGCGACAAGGGAGGCTGTTTGAGCGATGAGATGGGCCTGGGGAAGACGGTGCAAATAATCTCGGTGATCGTCGCCAACCCCTCCAATGATCCTAGATGCAAGACGAACCTTATAGTTGCTCCGTTGGCCTTACTGGAACAATGGAAGCTTGAGATCGAGATGAAGACCACCAACAATTTGAAGTGCCTCATTTACCATGGTACGTTCAGAGTTGCGTATGAGTCTCGATTAATGCAAGTCTCACGTTCTCTTTCATTGAGGCTCCAACAAACCCCGCAAGAAAACCGACTTGATGAAATACGATGTCGTATTAACTACCTATCATGTGCGTTCGAGTGCGATATCTTTCATCGATTACTGACCTTGGGTATGTAGACTCTTGCACTGGAATGGCCAGACTCGGAGGCAGAAGAAAAGGCGAAGCAGAAGGCTCAGAAGCGCCAGAGGAAGACCGATTCCTTCATCGAAAGCGATTCGGGGGGTGACAAGAAACCTAAAAAGAAAAAGAGAGAATGTGAGCCACAGCGATTACTCTGGTCACCTAGACTGACTTTATATAGTGGGGCTTCTCTTTCAAGTCCAATGGTACCGTGTTATTCTTGATGAAGCACAGAACATTCGCAACCGGCGCACAAGTAATACTTGCCATTTTTTACCATCATATATACTTATGACCTTGTAGGAATATCTCGCAGCGTCATCGATCTTGACACGATCTACCGCTGGTGCCTCACAGGGTGAGCATCTCATCCATCATGACCACTATTTGTTAATTCTCGACAGCACTCCCATTATCAACGGCCTAGTTGATGCATATGCGCTATTTCGCTTCCTTCGCTTCCGTCCTTGGTATGATTGGCACGAATTTAATGGGCACGTCTCCATTATCGAGAGAAAGAATCGTACGTCAATATTCGCCCAAGATCTCGCCTTCACTTAACTATGCTGCACTACAGCTGAATTGGCCAGCAAGAGACTCCAAGCTATCTTCATATCAATTATGCTGCGTCGCAAGAAGGATTCAATGTTAGACGGCAAGAGACTGATCGAACTTCCCACAAAACACGTAGAAATGGAGAAACTAGATTTCTCCAAGGAAGAGCGCGAAATATACCAGATGGTATATTCTACCAGTGCATATATGCGTCGCGCTCATTCATTTTTTTCAGGTCGAAGCTCGCTCCCAAGCTAAGTTCAATCGCTTTCTCCGCGCTGGCACTGTCTTGAAGTAAGTCACTCACTGTTTGAAGGAAATTACTCAATTATCACTCATTTAGAAACTATCACCAAGGTACTGCACCATTTCGCTAAGTCAAGTGTCGTTAATGACTCGTTTAAAAACAGTCCTTGTGATGCTTCTGCGTCTTCGACAAGTGTGCTCCCACCCCGCTCTTATTCAAGAGACTTCCGAAGCCCTTCTTGCAGCAGATCAGTTGGATGGTGGGCATGATCTCAAGGCTGAGCTGACCCGCGCAGCTCGAGTGGTGTCATCAGATTTCGTCACGAAGCTGAAAGCAAAATATTTCCAATGCGCGCTGGCACGTATACAAGCAGAAAAGGAGGTATGTTTCTTCTGTCAAATAGATTTCATGATGTTGACATGGATATAGTCCCTGGATGCCACTGCCGATGGTGAGGAATGTCCCATCTGTATGGATGCATTCACCGAAGCACGTATAACGGCATGTGGTCATACCTTTTGTCGCGAGTGTGTTGCCAGCGTCCTTAATACTCCCTTTGTCCAAGACGCACAGGACCCTCGTAAATACCGTAGTAATGAGAAGCCTTGTGAGTCACGCACGTAAAGCTTGTTGCCACACTCATTTTATTTTGCAGGTCCTAGCTGTCGCGCTCCCATTTCTGCAGATGTTATTTTCATCCGCGAAGCATTCGAACCCACTGATACTGAGTTGTCGGGAGATATATTGGCGTCTTCCGATGATGAAATGCCCGAGATCTCTGAGATGATACTTCAGGGATCGAAAGGCAAAGGCGGGGCTAGGCGCATCCGTAAAAAGCGTGCTGTGTGCGACTCGGATGATGAATCAGAAGATGATGACGACGACGACATGAGTGATTTCATTGTCGAGGATGGCGAGGATGAAGAAGAGAAGGATGCCAGGCGCAACATCAAGAAACGTCTGAGAACGCGCCGCGCAATAGTCGTCGAGTCTGATGATGAACTTGACGCAGACGAGAGAGACGTGGTCATAGGCAGAAACCCTAGGCAGGTGCCTGCTTCCACTGGTGAAGTTAGAATGATGTCGCGTTTCCTTCCTTCTACAAAGATGAATGTAGGTTGTCGCATTTCATTTCCGAAATCGTCTTAAATGTCGTCTCTCAGCACATGATAGAACATCTAGAGAAATGGGCTAAGCAATATCCCGGAGACAAGGTGCGGCTTGACTTCCAAACAATGCAGTGATCGTGATGTTGATGACATTTGCAGACCATAATCATATCGCAGTGGACCGAATGTCTCAAACTCGTCTCCGACTTCCTTGTGGAGAAGAAAGTACCCCATGTCAAGTGCGAATCTTCTGATGACCTCATGCATACTTATTTGAATTGATGTTGCCTTTCGGTCTAGGTATCAAGGGTCGATGAGTCGCAGTCAAAGGGATCAGGCTGTCCGAGTCTTCATGACGGGCAATACTGCACAGGTCATGCTTATGTCTTTGAAATGTGGAGGTGTTGGGTTGAATCTGACAAGGGCCAATCGTAAGCCTCTCCAGTTTCTTATATCGCTGCGTTTTGACTCCCCCACAGGCGTCATTTCACTGGATCTTGGCTGGAGCGAAGCGATCGAAAGCCAGGCGTTTGACCGAGTCCACCGTCTAGGTCAACAGAAAGACGTCTTCGTACACAGGTTGGTCATTGCCAATACTGTCGAGGATCGTGTTCTTGCTCTTCAGGAGCGCAAGGTAGAGCAAATTGTACTCTATGTTTGTGCTCTGTTAATACAGCTTCAGCGAAACCTTGCGGATGGCAGCCTTGGTGAAGGCTCTGGAAAGAAGATTGGCCGTAAGTATTCGCCATGAGTCTTGGAGACGTTGCTCATAGGCACTTTTGATTGCAGGGATGAGTGTCCGTGAACTAGCAAATTGTACGTATTGTGTTGCTTTTTCATGCACGTTTACTCACGCTTGGCCAGTGTTTGGTCTCGACCACCGAGGCAACCTTCTTTGATGAGACGCATAATACCACATAACCCGAAAACTTTTCACGCATTGTGAATGCTTCATTCTTTTCCTGCTATTGGCGCTGCTGTAAAATTGTTCTGGCGGTTATCATTATCCTAATTCATCGAACTTGTAGACTTATACCTCGCACATATACTTATACCTTAGATCCCGTTGGTCTTTTGCAGTCCTGAGTTAGTTATGGCTATCAATGTATAATTTTCAAAGTTTCTTGTTGCAGATAGGAGCTACAATAGTAGTAGCGTAGTTGGCCGATCGAAATTGTTTGCTGTTCAAGCTCATGAAGCTACCTTGTGCTCGTTGCACGCAAAGTCTAGAGCGAGGTCGAAACCAACACTAGTACTTTTGCCGTCGTGGACGCCAGACTTTCCATTCTGTAACTAACAACGTACAAAATCTCGGATCAGTCACGGTATGACGTCGTTGATGATTGAGGGTGTCAACGTTTCAACGTTTCTGTCGCGCGCAAGATCACTCGAAGATCACTCTTTGAAAGTGTTGCCACTCTCCGCGTCTTTTGACTTCAGATGTGGTCGCTCATTCTCAAGAGTGCGTGTTTCGCGCGCTCGTGACTTTGCTCAAAGGCAACGTTCGGTCCTCCACCGACTTTCCATTTGTACTTCGCGATGTAGTGATTGGTCTGCTTTTTGTCGTGATACCTTGCACAGTCGTACGCCGAGTGAACATCGATAGACAATCTTGGTGCATTCTTGGTTCTTTTGCGCCGTTGGTATTGAATTTTTGTAAGACTTTATCCCGTGAACAGCTGTTTGGTTTTGCGCCGTCGCATAGGTTTGATGGTCTTCCTTGTAATGATATACATAGGAAAAAATCTCAAATAGGGCCCTGCCGCGGATATGGCCTTGCACGACTTATTATTTATCGTTTTCGAGTCGCACTAGCTAGCCCAGTGCAGTGGCTGCCGTCGACATTCTTACTGTCGACTCTTCCGGTTTCACTTGTAATGTTGAAAAATTCCATCGTATGTGGAAGGCTGGCATGTATCATGAATCTTTAATTAGTACAATCATCGATAATGACAGATACGGACAGTGAGGCCTGACACGTTGTCAGGGTACGACTCTGGATCCTCCCAGGAGGGACACCCTACCGGGCCCCAGTTGATTTCTTCATATGTGCAAGAATCTTGTCTATTTCGGCAGTGTTCCTATCTGCGAGCTTCTGAAACTAATGGGTTGGATAAGATAAAATGATGAATTGAGTCAAAGATAAGTTAGACTCACTTCTTCGAGTTCAACCGAGTGCTTTTTATAGTCGCCTTTTTTGACACTGGCCTGCTGTATTTTTCGAAGTTGTACCCGGGTATCCTCTGCCATTCGCTGAGCAGTGGTAGTTAGCGCATTTCGGGCTTCAACTGTTGGCCTAAAAGAGATATGATGAACGACCATGCCACAGGAAGACGGAGCGAGTTGACCTAGGTATAGGAATCTTGATTGTCCTGGAGTCCTGTCTCTGAGGAACTATGTTTGGTAGCTTTGCGGCATATAAGGCTTGTTCTACTGCTTTCAAATTCTACTGGTGCACCAATAAGTGAATATCCTCAAGCCTAACCGCGACGAGGTGCTCACATGTTCCTCAAACACCGTGATAATCAAGGTCGAACCATCTCGAACGCCAACAGTGGCTAATTCCTCGAGTTTCAAGAGGTCCTTTCCTTTTCCTGGAAGTTCCACGCGTACTGGCGAGAGAAGGGCTGGGGTGACACGACCACTTGCACGAGTCTCTAGACTAGCTACCTCTTTGCGGTACCACTCGACAGCGGCACTCATCTTGGCCTCAGATTTTCCATATTCCAAACGAGCGGCCTCAGAAGTAAGAGCTTGTTTAGATCCCGGGACCAAGTCTGCAGTTGATTTCGCCTTAGACTTTGAGGCGTAAAGCCGGATGCATGATGTTTTGGGTGACCGAGAGATGGCATTGTGTGTGAAGCTGTTCGGTGTTGTTCTGATAAACTGAAGGCTACGACGAGACACAGCTCCTGGCGAGCAGTAGGCAGCAAGCCGCACAGCACTGAGTAGTGACATGTAGAGTTGTCTTAAACTTGGATGTAATTTTTGCCAAGTTCGTTAGTAGGTACCCAATGTCACATGATGTCGGAAATTCCTAATGTAGCCGTCATATATTTCGGTAATTTCCGCTTACCAACTTATGTAATGCATAACTCCGCTACTCACGAACCTTTGACAAAACGTTGGGGGTACGGCACGTTGCAATGTGATCACTATATGCAACATGTTGAAAGATAACAAGATTCCTTCCAAATTCATTTCAAAGATACCAAATCAGTAACGCTACTCACGCACTGGCAGACTCGGTTGGCTTGCAACGGGTTTTTTCAAGTTGGGCAGCTGTAGAATACCGACTGTTTTGTCACTCTCAAGGATCGCAGCCGTTTCGCAGAAACGAATTTCGAGAGTTTGTTCAGAGAGATGATGAGTCCACTTTATTTCGTCTATCCACAATTCACAACTTATATTTGTGCTTAATGAGATCACCACGAACATTACGGACATTTGAGCGAGAATATTGCTCTCCACGACAGAGTCACATGCTCCTTGGCCTTCCATTCGAATCCTTCCTTTACCTCCAGGATTTGTTGGTTGAGATATACTGATATAGCTGGACAGTTGCAGTCCTTATCACAGCCTTATGATTCCGCTGACCCACGACATGTTAGCTTCCTCGTAGTCCATCAAGTCGTTGTGCTTCCCCGCATTTCTCTCTACGTCATTTACGTTCGCGTCGATACATGTCAGCCTCCGAATCAACGCATTGTTGCATAAACTGCGAGATGTTCGGGAAAGAACGTGTACCCAGGTTATGGCACCCTCCACGGCGTATCTGAAATCAACACGTTTTTTGGCGCCCACTCATCGCTGCAACGAGGTCTGGCGCTCTGGCCAGAGCTGATCTATCCTATTTGGGCGTAGTGGTAAGAACGAAAGAAGGTGACTTGTCCTCGTTATCTATTAACAGTGGGGACAACGGGGTCACCGGTTTTGAATAAAACTATTGGCGTTGATAGCAATAGTGACTCGTGCCATGCTGCGCACAAGGGTCAATGCGAACCCCAAGGGAGCGTGGATGTCACTGCAAAGCAAGAGAGGGCCTTCGAGCAGTCAATAATGGCATCTCACCCATTGTCACCTCCGCGAAATTAATCGAGAACTATGTAGCAGGCATATAATTAGACGTATGTGACCCTCCTTCACTAACTTGAACGTGGGAGTCGAAGTTTGCAATTTGCAAACCATGTTCGGATTTTTGCGACACAGGACATGCCATACTTGACCGCATATCTATGGCGATTTCAAGGACGACTAACCCATTTCAAGACCGTCGAACGTTGAAATGCCTTGCCAAGGTGTTGATATCAAAATTAGGAATTTTCGACAAAGGCAAACATTCACCGCCACAGGATCTAGCATGGGCCCGGGTGGGCAACCATGATGATCTCGCAAACATCCGCTAGTACCTCGTTGCCCGTGCCTGGTCACCCCGGTGAATTCAGGGGGCTGACAGTGTCGGGCTATTCTAGATCGTATGCCAGTGGAGTAGTTCGTGCCTGGGCCGGCGCTCGTTAGAGCATATCTCTTGGGCGCTGTTAGGCGTCACTGATTGTGCCCACAAGAATCCAAGGTCCGGTACCACCTGCTCGTTTCATATACCAATTAACCAGTATCATCACCTCTTTATCAAGGTGCTGTTGCATTCTATGCATTCTAGCTTTGATGCGCTCTTCCAGAAAGTCAAAATGCACACATACCACCTTCCCACCCGGCTAGAAAATGCGCGTTAGGAACTGTTGTACCACGTAGAACCGGAAGGCACATCATTTCTATCCTTTTACCAGAATCAGACAGATACGACTACCAAGGTCGCCTTGTCAAGGATAGATCCCAATAATGGGCTTTGGGTACGAATGACATCACAGGCAGCTTGAAGGTCGTTCCTGCAGTGAACCCATACAGTGATTGTAATGGCTTCAGGTACATTGATAGGTTTGCTAAAAATAATGACACCCTGATCTCAAACGTAGTATAGTCATGATGATCGGTGTACTTTCGGTGTACCTGGGTACAATGAGCCATACCCCAAAAACAAACATACGACATCGACGGAGCGTTGGCCAGGTATCCTCTTTCATGAAAGGAGAATATGGTTGATAAGCAACCAGAACGTTCAACTTGCATGACAGAAATCAATACAAGCCAAAATGTTTGAATGTGAGTGCTGCACAGTACACATGTACCTGGGAATTGTCTGTTGATACTGCCTTCGTGTATTTCTACTGACCAACTGTTTTAGGACACAATTTGTGTACGGCTTGGACCGGACTACAGAATTTTTGCGCGACTTCTCGCACCGCCTGTGGCCCGGCGTACAGATAATAAAAGCCTAAGCCTCCCTGAAGCAACGCAAAATTTTAGGGGCGCGAGTGATGAGAAACACAGGTTTGAACGCTGGTACGTGGTTTTCCAATCTGCTGCCAAGCATCTCTGATGAGATGTCCTAGATTGATTCGTGTCAGTCTTTGAAATTTGAGAACGCGGTTGCCCAGTATAAAAAGCAGGGGAGTATTGTTTTCCTGTTCTTCAGTCTTAACCAATATGTCAATCCTCACAGTCCCGAAGCTTGCAGATGAGCTCTTCTTGCGACCCATCGTCATATCGATGAACAGTCTGGCCCTGTCAGTTTTGATATCTTGTGTCATGTCCGCCAACGCAAGTATCGACTGGAGACCAGTACGCTCATTCATTTGATACTAGATAACATCACTGATGCAATTATCTTCACAGATAACCATCTGTGTCACGTCGGATATCCTTGTCATGGGTGCTGACCACCTTAAGGATAAAGAGGAGGAATTCATGTCGGATCGCAGTACCACCAAGGACCCACGCCTCGCTTCTTGGTTTATGTATGCACGAACATTCCTCACCGTCAGCGCTGTGGTTCTTGTATTTGCACTATCTCAGTGTCCAATTTCGACGCTCCTCACCACGGCAACATTCGTCACTCCTGCTTTGCTCTGGACCACTCCGATCAGCTTCAAGAAGTTTTGGCTGATCTCGAGGCGTTTTCTCGGGAGGTCTTCCGGAGAAAAGCACCAGACTTCCACCTCTGCACCTGTCCTGGTCATCAAACGCATCCCTGGCATGAAAGCCATCTTCAATGGAATCATTCGAGGGTACGTATGCATGTTTGCCTTGAACGATGCACGCGTAAACTGATATTTTTCAGATGTGGCATCTATACTGTGGTCTTCTCCGTTTTGTCAGGATCAGGCAATATGACCAACATGTTGCCGTCTCCATGGAACGTTGTTCAACTGATAGTCTGGTCGACCGTCAACCGCTCATGCCATGCAGTAAGTAGACAGTACATAATCACTTAATTTGACCCTGATCGTGTCTATAGATCATGACTGATGTCCGTGATTTTGAAGATGATATGAAAGCCGGGGTCCCCACTATACCCGTCCTTCTCGGTTCGATACTCAAAACGAAGGTCATATTGACGGCTTGTCATATGCTGGTTATGTTGGCCTTCATTGAGAACTCATATATTATGGGAAGCTGTCTATTTGCTTCAGCTCTGGTGTGGATGCTTGGCAAACACTCGCCGAAGAAGGCGTTCTTGTTTAGCTCTCATTCGCAGTCCCTGTTCATTATTTGGTATTTGTTCAAGACAAGGCAGTATCATTAGTAAGTAGCTCAGGAACGTTTCCTGGTGCAACTGGCTATCGAAGGATATATTCGTGGTCAATTGCATAGATTATATCTTTTCTGAGTTCTCTCACTGTACTTGTCGTGTTAAGTTACTGTCGCTGCTGGCTATAAAACTCCTGTTATACTAGCCACTCACTTAGATATAAAAGCCTGTTCTTACTTTCCGTATATTTAGAATAGACTCCCTCTTCACCCGTCTCTCACGATCCATCGATATCTCGATCCCCGTCGAACCCATTATAAATCTTACATTACCTACGTAGACTTTTTATATGCATAAGCGCAATTTCCTAGCTACGATTAGCCAAATTCTCCATAAAATCAAATGCAACTGCTTCATCCCATAAAATTGCACTGTCACGCGTGATCGCTTTGTGATATCAGTCGGGATCCGCCATCGACGAAATTTAGATGATGCTGCGCCCATGAAGTCTATTATCACTAAAGTCTAAGCATGATACCACTGTAACGACTCCGATTGGCTCGAGAGAGCAGTTGTAGATACGTAGAATGATTGTGAATGGAGAGAGGTGGTTTCCTGTCACGACATAGTACATTCCAAGCCCCACTACATGACCTTGGATGGGAGACGGTCCCAACCGGCCAAAAGTACCATCTCATCAGGAAACGCATAGATATCAACTGGCTTGGATGAGCGAAGACCAAACCAGATCGTCCAGCAGAGTGCCGCGAGGCAAACCATGTTCTTAGCACGCGCTGCAGTTACTCGTGTACTAAGATAAGAGTATGTTAGCTACTAGTAGGGCAAGAGGAACACCGGGATAGCGGGAATGGCGGCGGTTTCTAACCTGCGAAAGTTCTCGTCAGGGGGCTACTGCTACCCCAACCGCGCTGACCTTCTCGTTCTGTTTAGGATAATAGTGCTGAGCCTGTATACCTAGCAGGAGTACAGGTTCACGTCGCACAACTGCAACTGCGTTCGGTGACCGCCCAGCTGCGTGACATTGACTCACAGGTAGGACATTTTACGGTGCTAGTGGGGAGAGGGTAGAAAGCTCCAGACCTCAAGCCTCGTGGCCTTTAGCATATCGAGACCATAAACCTACTCGCCATAGGACCCTTTTCGGGAGCGTTTGAAGATCCATATTCCGGCAGGAGACCGGAGATACGGTATCATGATGCGAAGTCAATGAATTTAGTATGATTTGAAAGATGTCGATGATTCGGAGTATAAAGGTAATGGCAAATCATTGTGCAACGGCCTGACGCGTTTCTAGCTCCCGAGGCTAGCAATCCTTCAACTTGAACCTGTCAGAGTTTTGTGGTTCTAAGGTATAGAGCCGATCTATCTCGGAATGGAACAAGTTCACAGTGATACTTCAAGTCGTAACGTTAACCATCGCGTGTTTTGAGATGTTGTGATTTGTCACGTGCTAGCTGCCAAGTTGTTACAACTCGGGCATCGGAGCTTGCTATGGTGCAGTTCACCTATGCGCCGCTACTTTGGGGCAACCGCCAAATCGAGGGCCAAAATTTCCAACTCTAATCCCGTTGCTAAAAATGGTAGGTGCGGCAGCGACCACAGCTTCGATGCTAGTGTACAAGGTGTCGGATTGCGAGTCGCGACAGACAAGTGTAGTACTATGTACAGGCTAAAGTTAATTATTTCAACCTTTGAACAATGGCTTGCAAGTACCACAAATTGGCAGCTGCTCGCGCGAGACTCGCCCGACAAATTTAAGTGAATCCTGCTACTGTGCGGGAGCCTGACAACAACAACGACAATGGTGACGACGACGACAATAACTTCGATTGCGGGTTTACTGGCGGTGTTCACTGCTTGTTGCCTGACCCCGACAGTGACTCAGAATTTGAGATCGATTGGGACTCAGAATCAGATAGCGGAGAGAGTGTTGTTGAGCTGGCGGGCGAAGAGCTTGAAAGTAGTTTGGCACAGTTGAGAGACGAGGTTACCTCACTGGCAGAACCCACACCTTATCAGAAGGTGGCTGGACCCAAGACAGGCGAGAACTGGAAGAAAGCTGAGAGAAGCCGAGGATTAGGATATGATGGACACTCCAAGCGCACGCAGGAGTGTCGACTGCATGATGCTTGTGCTTGAGAGGATTTTCATGAATATGCAAAGACAAGGTGAGCAGGACTCTTCAGTAAACAACCCCATCAGATCAGAACACTTACTGGTGTGGCTGTTCAGTACCGATCCACAAATCAGCATGATGCGTGCATTTACACAAAAGGGTGCTGCACAAAAGCCAGTGATAGCACCAGTGCACAATCAGGCAGCATGCCCCGCAGCCACGCAATATGTTCCAAGCTTGCTGGGCTTCCTTTCTGATTTCTCGAGTGATGAAGATGATGGGGATAGCAACACCAACATGGATCACAGTGACGATCGTGATGGCACCAGTCGTGTTTCCTCGGCACTACCTCGGAAACGCCAAAAACTCGAGGTTCCATATCGTGAGCAGCGAAAACAAAAGCAAGCTGACCTGGAGCACGCGTACAAAGATATCACGAAGCATTTGAAGTCGAAAAAGACGGTGTTTGCTGGGGGTCCATGTGGTTTACAGGCATGTCGTGCACGTACTATCGAGGTTCACTTCATGCTTGTGGTCAAGAACAAGCATAGTTTCAAGGTGGCCTCCAAAATGGCTGCAGAGACCAACGGGTTTGCTGCAAAGTGGGGAGGACGCCAGGTTTGTGGGTGGACTTGTGAGTGGATGCGAACAAGAATGCTTCCAGTTTCACAATGGGGATGGCATGCCAAGATTTCGTCACTCCTTGATGACCCTGTGATCGCATCCAAGCTCCGCACATTCATGCGCTCAAACAAATGGTCAATGGACCCTCAGAAGCTGGCGAAATTCACCAATAACGAACTTCTCCATACCGAAGCAACAAAATATCTCGAGGGGCTTGTGCAGACTGAAATGCCCCAGGGGCTGAAGAGATACATCGAGCTTGAGCTCTTTCCTCGTATTCACATGAAGGTTGGGCGTGGGGTATCATTGAGCACAGCCTGTCGCTGGCTCCGTCTTGAAGGATTTCGGTTCATGGCATACAAGAAAGGGCTGTATTTTGACGGCCACGATCGACCAGATGTTGTTGAATATCGACAAAATGTCTTTCTTCCTGCAATGATGGAACACGAGCGTCGTCTTGTTCGATATGTTGTTGGAGATGTCGAGAAGGAGTCTGATATCCCTCCTTCCAATTTTGTCGAAACATGGCTCGTCATTTGTGCACATGACGAGATGACCACTCAAGCAAACGATGGACAGTCAATGAGCTGGGTGCCGGATGGTGAGCACAAGCTGAGAAAGAAAGGAGCGGGTCAAGGATTGCATCAGAGTAGTATCATTTGCTCAACTGTTGGACATCTCGAGGAAGCAGCACACACCATCGAGTATGGCAAAAATTATGATGGATACTGGAATGGGGAAATGTTTGTTGCGCAGGTGGGTGTCGTTGTTCAGATATCATGCATGAAACTGAAAATAGGGGAAGCTCCACAACAAAATAATTCCAGCATTCGAACGTGCTCACGGACCTGGTTACCAGGCATTGTTCCTCATCGATAATTCTCAGGGACACTCAGCATATGCCGACGATGTGTTGCCGATCTCACGCATGAATATAAATCCGGGGGGCAAGCAGGCACAGATGAAAGATGGTTGGTTCATTGATGCTGGTGGGCAAAAAGTTATTCAGCCCATGATGTTTCCCTCTGATCACCATGATCACCCAAATGAACCGAAGGGCATCAAGGCTGTTCTCCAGGAATGTGGTCTTTTGCAGGGGAGACATCGAGGCAGGTGCCAATCAAAGTGTCCTGACGAGGCAACAAACTGCTGCCTCAAACGAATTCTCGAACTTCAACCAGATTTCGCTGAGCAGAAACCACTTGTGCAAGATGTCATTGAGGCTGCTGGTCACTTGTGCATCTTCTTGCCAAAATACCACTGCGAGCTCAATTTTATCGAGTTTTTTTGGGGGGCAGTAAAGAGGTATCTGCACGAGAACTGCGATTACACCTTCGAAACGCTCAAGACCAACTTGCCGAAGGCTATGGCTTCCGTACGTCTCAGTACAATCCGTTTATGGGAACATCGGATGCACAGGTGGATGAGTGCTTACCAGTCAGGTCTGGAGACAAAAACAGCACAGTTGCAGGTCAAGGAGTTCAGTTCAAGGAAGTACAAATCTCATAGACATGTACTGGAGACTCTTGCATGTCTTTTCGACTGATTTTACCGGTACCGTAGCCCTCACCGCCAATTTGGGTCTTGTCCAAAAATTTTTCTTGCTCAAATTTAACGCTATGCGAAATTGGTCTTGACAATATGTTTCTATCAGTAAGCTAAGCATTTTTGCAAGATAGAAAAATCCTAGGACTTTTTTTCACAACACTGGAAATTTTGCACTAAAGTAGTGGCGCATAGGTGAACTGCACCATAATGTGCTGGCAGTATTCTGGCATGAACTCCAAATCGAGTGCCGAAATGAAATGCCTCACATGGTTGTTTCTAGATAACAATGAATATGAGAGAGAAGTCATGCGTGTCTTTGATGATGTGCGTGAGAAGAAGCTTATGAATGCATATCTTCAAGACAGATCTAACCCATTCCGTGTGGAGAATGGCTGGCGCTGCTCCTCAGTAAAAATATGCCTGCCTAAAGAAAAGGTCGCATTTGCATCTGAAGAAGAAGCCCCAGAATTGGAGATCCTGGGTGTTCATCACTGCTCCCTCACTGACATTATTACATTCATCTTTGAGGACAAGATCATATTGACATTTCATTTAACGCCTTTCCGTCAGCAATGGAAGATCTCTGAAGGTCATGTTATAAATGTCTACAGCGAGGCGTATTCCTCGGCTTCTTTTCTGGGAGCCTACGAGGAGATTAACGCACTTCCCCGAGATCCAGGCAATAATCTCGAGTGAGTTGTAGCCTTGCTGATGATGTGGTCCAACAGCACTCATCTTGCCAGCTTTGGAGATGCGTCTCTCTGGCCCTTCTACCTCTGTTTTGGCAATCAATCTAAGTACATGCGAGGCAAGCCAACAGCGTCTGCCTGTCATCATGTTGCATATATTCCTAATGTAAGTTACATCTGTGATTTATTAATTTGATTATACTCATTCTGATGTATTAAGCTTCCTGATGACTTCCAAGACCGTTATGGCCGTCTCTTTGGCGAGGCATCATCCAGTGATGTCTATACTCACTGCAAACGTGAGCTCATGCAAGCCATATGGGCACTTTTACTGGATGAAAAATTCATGGACGCCTACAAAAATGGTATTGTCATTCGATGTGGTGATGGTATCACTCGACGTGTTTTCCCCCGCTTCTTTACTTACTCCGCAGACTATCCTGAAAAGTACGTGTTTTGATTTTAATTCTTATACTTGTGTCTCATTCTATGTCTATTGTTACAGGATTCTACTTGCTTGCATCAAATTTCTTGGCGAATGTCCTTGCCCCCGCTGCCTTGTCAAGAAAGAAGACATACCCAATATGGGACTGAAGATTGATCTTGAGAAGCACCAAGCAACTCAGCATGTTGATGACGAATGATGTCATCGCAAAATTGAAAAAGCCCGCAGGCTCATTTTTAAATGTGGTGTTGGTATCAACGGCCAATGCATCAAGAGGATTTTACAAGACGAGTCACTAGTTCCAACTCGGGTAAGTAATTTATGTATGAATTTTATATATATACCTCAATACTTCATATCAGAACACATTCTCTATCTGGTTCCTCAAATATACATTCAATTTTTTTTCAATGTTTGTCGTGGACTTGCTTCACGAGTTTGAGTTGGGTGTGTGGAAAGCTATTTTCATACATCTGATGCCCATTCTTCTTGCTGCAGGTGGTACAGTAGTCAAAGATCTCAATTTCAGGTAAGTCATAGTGTTTTTCACCACAGTAACACAACACTTATAAGACTATATACAGGTACCGTCAAGTTCCTACATTTGGCAGGGGAACGATCAGACATTTCCATAAAAATGCATCTGCGATGAAGCGTCTGGTGGCCCGTGATTTCGAAGACATGTTGCAGATAAGATCGATCTGATCAGACATTCAGATCAGAATTTGATGGGCTTTTCATTTCAAGTGCGCTATCCCAGTATTCGAAGGACTACTCCCTCCTGAACATGATACAGTTGTTCTTGACCTCCTTTTCAACCTCGCTACCTGGCACGCTTACGCAAAACTTCAGTGTACATACGGACGACACTCTCGCATTCTTCGACTCTGTCACTGTGATCCTCGGACAATCAGTTCGCAAATTTCAATGCACTGTTTGTGCATACTATCACACAACTGAACTTCCAAACGAGTACGCTGCACGTGGATGCCGTGAGGCTGCATTGGCATCAAAACAAGTGGGTTCTGCAAACACGTTGCAGAAGTCTAACCCAAAGGTGAAAACCTTAAATCTTTTCACCTACAAATATCATGCGCTCGCTGATTACCCAAATACTATCCAGCGAGTTGGTACTTCAGATAGCTATTCAACACAACCAGTAAGTGATCTCTTCATAATGTTATTCATACAATATCTAATATTATACAGGGAGAACTCGAGCACCGTCAATCAAAGTGCCGATACCCTCGCACAGCCAAGAAGACAGATCAAACCCAATCCAGCATGACTTCTCAAGAAGCATGGGAACACCTAATTGAGGAGGTGATTGCTGCCCTTGCAGCAAAGCAGATTCTGAGACCATGACGCACCTGAATGTCTCCTTCGGATCATTATTCAATTGCAACATATGCTCGCACAAATGACGACATCACCTCTTGGTTAATCGAGTGCAGAGACATTGGAGATTTGCCTGATCTTGCAATCGAGGTAAGCTATTTTCGTACATGTGTATTCACATTCTCATTGTATTTTCTTAGGAGTTTATTCCACGACTCAAGGACCATCTCCTTGCACGACTTCGCAATTTTGCATATGACGGAGATGAGCATGACTTCTCCGATGCTGATCACACCTCGGTTCTATTCACAGACAACAAGATATACCATCACAGTATCTTGCGCATCAACTATACAACCTACGATCTACGATGCGAACAGGACACCATCAATCCCTGTACTTGTGCCGACATTATGCTTCTCTCCCACGAAGATGAGAAGATTCATCCATACTGGTATGCCCATGTGATCGGGATCTTTCATATCAATGTTGAATACCATGAGGATGACACTCAGACATACTCACACCCAACTCGGATGGACTTCTTATTTGTCCGATGGTTCAGATGGGATAGTTCACCTGCAGGTTGGGCTGCAAAACGCCTCCAGCACCTCGAATTCTTCGATGAAGACAGTCCTGACACATATGGATTCTTGGATCCAGACTTTGTCGTTCATGGGGTTCATCTGATTCCCAGTTTTCAACATTGTTCGGATCCTCAAGATCCTGAGTCTGACTGCCGTTTTCAATATGTGAACATGTGCGCATTTGTTTTTTATTTATTCTTGCAACTAAGGCTGATATATCTACATCATGTATATAGATTTGTCGATTGAGACATGTTCATGAGGTTTCATGGTGGTGGAATCGGCCATAAAGCTACCAGAGACTGGGACAATATTCTCCAACACGAGAAACATGGAGCCGAAGAACCGGAAGAGGGTGATCAGCTTGAAGAAATCATTGCCGACGTATCAGACGTGGCTGATACAGTGGAGGAGTGGCAGGATATTGAGGATGACAATGCTGACAGCGAGAGCAGTGATGAAGAAGGTGATGATGAGGGTAGAGTCATGGCTGACGAAGGAGAGGAGCTCGATGATGACATGCTTGCAGAGGAAGGATATGGCGCACTTTGATGTATTTAGCACACTTCTCGATCGATCGAATGCTCGGCGCATCAAATTTTCATTTTCATTGTATGTTGTGCAAAGACTTTGATTACAGTACCTATACGACATTGTGTACATATTTTAGTATCTAGGATATGTCATGTAGATACAATAATCATCTACTTAATGTTGTTATGATAGTATCGCAAGGTGGGAGGTCTCATTCTGAGTTAATTGCTGCATTCAAATGTTGTGTCGGGGTGTTGATGACATCACACGGACTTGTTTGGTCATATGTTCAGCCACACTATCGTCCATACTATCACTCCGGGTAATCTGCAACATTTTCAGCAAATCTTTTGTAGCTCATCAACCACTTCATATTATCTTCCACGAATTTAGAGTGTTGTAGATTTGTACCACCTCTATATAGATATCATTTTTCCTCATTTTTAGGACGTTGTGGTGTGGTGTCGGATGAAAGCCGAGAAAATTCAGGGTCTGACTGCTAATCTGCAAAATATGGTCACGTCGAGTCACACCTCGGCATAGCACTGGCACAGTCAACTTTGACTCTCCGCACTGCGCAAGTGCTCTTGATCTGTTGGCGTTGAGTACTGAGTTGTCGAACTGGAAGCTTGGTCTGGAATACAGCAATATATTGTCATCAACCATTATGCATCATGATCCATGTAATTATTATTGTGAGTGTACTGCCATTGATATGGTCCTGAATAAGGTTGACTCCTGCCATCATACATCTGTACCTCAGCACCAACTCAAAATTCCCCTCTGTTACCAGCTGCCGGCACAAATTGGGGAATGGGTGGAGGCACATACCTGCCGAGTGAGGGAAGATCTATGTGTGACATTGAGGGTTGAGGGATAGGCTGTGGTTGATAGGTGCCAAATGGTGCGTGCATCGAATTTTGATGAATTGGCGTGTCTTGCGGTACTGACTCGGTAGTGTTATTGCCAATTTCAACATGCCGCCTGCGAGAACGAGAGGGATTAAATAAACCTTTGCACAAAGGTTGCACTTGGAGAGAGGGTGACCTGTCATAGCGAGATACTTGGCCCAGTCACATATTGTTACTTCCTGCCCTTCAGTAAGTAATTGGAGGTTTTTGTGGGCTTTTGAATGAGCCCGTCGACAAAGAGTATGGTATGAGACTTTAAACTCTGCAGCTGCTGTTCGGAGGTTCTTGGTCTTTTTCTCTCTGATAGCCTGAATAGCAGCAGTGAAGTTGGCTTCACGAATCTCTTCTTCAGCTTTCTTCTGCCTGGTAGTAGGTCTGTGGTTTGGTGCCATTGTAATAATGCAAGAGATAACAATGCAAGTCTTCGTGCACTTGCCGAGTGTGCCGTAGAGGAGATTGAATTTGTTACACACTCTCCTATCTGGCTGTCACGTTTTCAGACATGTCGTCAATTCTTCCTCTATAGCATCTTAAAATGACAAGATGAGCTTTATCGAAATTGTGCACTGTAATCCTGACAAGGTGATCATGTTATGCTCCAGGTATAACTTCATGAATATACCTGCAGGATCTATGGGATCTGGGTGATTTATGTTCTTGCATGCTTACAAATTACCACTTTTTCATCTCTCGCAGCTGCAACACTCAAGAAATTTTCATTTTACTTGGACAGTATATCATATATAAGTAGTCTACATATGCATGAATTTTTTTTGAAGTGAGTTGAGCAGTGCTTTGTGGTGTTTTGAACATTTTGCATATTACATGCATGTTACAAATTACCCGGAATGATAGTAATGGATATCAATGCATGCGCGATTCGGTTCACTCAGGTCGTTTGATTGTCTGACTCATCTTTACAGGAAGAAATTTGCGTACGTCTTTTCTTTGCTCTCCATGTGCTTGTTATAAGTGAATTGACCACCTTCGTATTCAGTTATATTTTACCATGTCCATGTTTCTCCATCAGGAAAACCCTCCCCCAACAAATTTGACTAAAGATGTAACATTAGAACTAATCCTGCGTTATTATGTCTAAATTTTACAAATTCAAGTTTTAGCAAGTTTAGTTCGGTTTTTTTACCCCCTAATAAAAACACAAGAATTAGCAATGATTTTCAGCAATTCAAACACATTATCATAACTTGTAGAATTGATTGTTTGATCTTAGACGAGGGTTCCAACCGAATCAGACAGAATAAGATAACAAGAACAAAATTAAATTTGATTAAAAATGGGTATATGGGCAGTAGGCTAATTTAAATAACAGTACGCGCTATGACCAACCGGGAGACTATGTATCAGCTTCACAATTCCGTATTGTACACCATGAAAACAAGTGGGGGATGATTCAGTCTTCTTCCATATTGTCGAGGTCAAGTAACTCGAATGCTTCGAGCTCAGCAGCATGGCCACTGGCAGCGGTGCCGCTGTATCGCAACTTCCTGCAAGCAGAGTGAGCATCGAGGGAATACTACCTAAGTGGAACTCACTGTGCAGCCTCATAGATGTCGGCCATCATACAGTGGAATTTTGCAGGTGCGTCCTTCTTCAGTTTTTCCAGGAACCTGACATGGTAGTTGTATGTCTCGCTGAATAAATTTCCTGTAAAGTTGAATTTCGATGGTGAACCTTGCGACTTCCACAGAAGGGCTGCGTACACCTTTGCAACAAGTTAAACAGCGCATCCGTACAATGACGACAAGCACATTACCGCAGTGGCAACCAATGCCAGCAAAGGGATAGGGACTTCGGGGCGCTGGCCTTTGTTGTTGGCGATTTCAACGAAGTGTTCCACAAACTTGATGGCAATGGACCTCGAGCTATGAAAGAGCTGCCGATATATTAAGAAAATTAAGAGTTCACCCTGGTAGGGCTTCTTTCCAATGGGCGAAGCCTCGTTATTGATCTGTATAATTTCAACAATGTCAGTAGTACAGACAAGGGGAGAGATCTCACATCAAACTTCAAGGCATATATATATGCAAGCTTATCCAATAGCCTTCTCGCTGCAGCTTTCCCAGTGTCGGTGTGTCCAAGGCGAAAGTAACCATCGGCATGTGCACATGCGTCTTCCTTCAGCTCACGACGCAATATTGGAACACGAGCATCCACCTCGCATATGGTTAGAGACTGATAAGAAAGGGTGCGATTTGAACTCACCAAGCTACCGAGTTGTGACGCATACCGTTCGTCCGATTGAAGACGTTCTTTGATTGGGTGCACACCACGTTTTTCGGCGACAACTATCAATGCTTGCAGCGCGACTTGGTTCTTGTCAACCAGTTCAGGATAGCCGTGGGTGAAAAAAAGGTGGCACTTGACTTCCATGATTGCGGACTGAAGGACTTTGCGAGTCTCTAGGTTCTGATCAAGTAATTTCACCTTTCCACTTTCTGTTCGAATGAGCGAGGCGATACTCCGAGTCTTCGCGTCAGAGGTAAGTTTCCGAGTCGGTGCAGTGCCTTCGTTGTTGGATTGGAATTCTGAGTCGCCACCAGTTGAGCGATCTTCAATGGACTCCGAAACTGCATCTTCGACATCCATATTGGCCCAGGTAGGAGTCTCTGCTGCTTGTTTGTGATCTCGGGCCTTGAACTCGGCTTTTGGACTTGGGGTGCCACGTGACTCGGATTTCGATGCTACCTGCTGCTTGTTGGTGACGACCGACACGACCTTCAAATTTTCAAATGTGAGTTCACAAGCATATGATATAGAAAAGCTGACCTCATCGAAAAGCCTCAACGCAGCCGAATCTTCATCCTCACCGTCAGTGGCGCTGCTCTCCGAGTCGTTACCGTCTGAATCAATTAGTAAGCTGTCCCGACTCGGTTTGTCCCTGGGCCGACTCGTATCAGAGTCAGTACTCTGCTCATCTTCATCTTCAAGCAATGCCACATCTTGCATAGCGTAAGTTCGGCAGAGTTTCGCTGGTCGTCGATAGTAAGGCAGCTGCGCTGCACACCGTGATCATGTGAGACTCGAACTTCCTTTTTTGTCACGGCGTAGGCTGACCTTCAAGTTGCTTATCAACCATCAGTGGAGCCTGCAAGATACCATCATCTGAGTCGCTCATGTCGCGCGGACGCTCTGCCAGTGCCCAACGTTTTTCCATGTAAGTACCATAAATTAGTTTCAAGTGTATCAACAGACTCAGTGTTGACGGCTTTCTTGATGCCTTAGTCCTGTTTGACTTGCCAGTGGAGCTGGACTTCCGACTTGGAGTAGGTGCTGGTGACGCGTCAGTTCTCTTTTTTGGGGCAGGACGGTCTTGGGCTGATGTTGCTGTTGCATTCTTGCGTCTTGGTTTATCTTGCTTCCAAACTGAATCTCAGGTCAGTTTGATTTATTGATGGTGTTTTCGGTCGCTCACCTGCATTTTCGATAGCTTTTTTCTTGGCACCACGCGCTCCTGTCAAGCCTTACAGTCAGTCACTTGCTGAGTTGCTTATACTCACTTACCTTGATCCTGCCAAGGTAAAGTCATTTTTATTATTACTTTAATTTCGAGACTCAGAGTGTGTAGGACTCAAAAGAATAAAGGAGCGTTGAGGAACCCGGGTGGATTTTTTTAAAAACGAGTGTGAGTGATGGTCAAACGAAAGGGAATGGGACTGAAAATTTTACTAACGCAATGTAACAGGGCAATTATGTAGCAGGTGAAGGGCGCTAAACTGTATTTTCGCCGGCGCTGTATCAGCGGCACTGTCTGTCCCTGACTTTCGGGACACTCCCCCATCAGCATCGTCGTCCACAGGTATCATCGTCCTCAGGTGACTCAGATTCCCATCGCCATCCCCAGGCATCCCAAAACACGAGCCTGTACCGGTACCACCACCATCAAATAGTATGTTTTCCCTCACTCTGCTGGCTGCAGTGCTAATATTTGTTAGGTTGATCGGGCACTAACTACCCTGCAGTGCTAATATCTGCTAGGATGATCGGGCCACCAATGACGGCAATTGGACCGTCATCCTTCGCGACACCATCATTCCGCCTGTTCTGCTCACTATGGCTGCTGTACATGGTCCCATACTACCTGCTCATCCCTCCCCATTCCGCAATGCTCAGAGTGTGCCCCATTCCAGAATGGGCTATCATCCCGCACCCTTGGTCAGTCTTTAGTAGCCGCTCGTCATAATTTGCATATATCTAAACGTACTTAGGCGCCACTTAAACCTCAGTCTACTCGGCCCACCACAAGACAATCAGATCCATTGGCGCCACCTAAACCTCAGTCTACTCAGCCCACCACAAGACAATCAGATCCATGATCCGTGCAATGGACGTAAGTCAATTAGTTTTTGAGGGCTTCAATACTAGGTGGGTTAGTGCTTGAACTTAGTATTTGTTCGGGCCATTACTTACCACACCCCTGCCCTTTTTTCATCCCTCCCATCATCCCTTCAAGTTCATCACCCACTCATATCGTTTCAGCTTCGTCACCCGTCGCTCGCATTGCTTCAGCTTCGTCACCCACTCATATTGTTTCAGCTTCGTCACCCGTTGCTCGCATCGCTTCAGCTTCGTCATCCCTTCATCCCCCACTCATATCACTTCACTGGCAGCTTCTAACTATGAATGACCCGGGTTACCGCACATGTTCAGCTTGTGGGCGTGATGATCTCACTGTAACTGGTCTCAGCCAGCATATCGCAAAGAGTCGTGACCCACGTTGTCACACGCTCTACAGCCAGTCGCGATCAAGAACAAACAACAAAGCCAACTTGGTAGACGACACCGAAGCCGAGCTTGCCTTGGATGAGGGAGACTACAACAGAATTTACAATGAGGACGAGTTTGAGAGGCCTGCCAGTGCTGCGAGTGAGCACGCAGCTGATAGTGATGAGGAAGATTTTGATGAGCATCTGCTCTTCGAACCTGAATGGGAGGCTGCACCATTGCAACCTCAGGCTGATGAAGACAACGACTCGGACCTACTGGATGATGTTTTTGCCTTTGAAGATGACGAGTTGGAGGATATTCAACAGAACACTCATCAAGACGTTGAGGCTCGCGCACAAGGCCAGTCTGGATTCGTTAGGGTGCCCTATCCTGATCCACGCGCTGGCCGAAGTATGTCGCATGGTTCAGTTGACCATGGTGCCAATGTGGCATATGGGGCGCATCTCGCCAATGACGAGAACCCATACCATCCTTTTAATTCCCAGATTGAATGGGAGGTTGCAAGATGGGCGAAACTTCGCGGAGCAACATCGACGGCATTTTCGGACCTGCTCTCGATTGATGGAGTAAGTTTCTTTTGCCGCTTCACAAGTATCACTCATTAATAGCTAATACTCCTAGGTTAGTGAACGTCTAGGGTTGTCGTTCAAGAACGCCAACGAACTGAACAAGATCATTGTTACGACTTGGATGGTATCTGTTGGCGACGCTCAAACAGAGCTTGTGTCGTCAACGGTCGGTGGACAGTCCTTGGGCTAGCCCAAGGTTAGGGGTCGTACTTGGCGTGTCTTCGGCAAGTACGATTTGACGCCTATGTCCAAATCGGGTAGCTTATGTCACGCGGATGCGAGACGATAAGCTATATCGGCCTAGGCTTACGACACCCGAAGGTTAATCGTAAGGATCGTCGTTAATTAGAAGGACAGAAGTCCGACTAGTTAACAGGGGCTTTGCTCGTCGACGAAGTCGATGAGTAAAGATCGAGACTATAGGCTTATCCGCGAAGAGCAGATAAGAAGATAGAATATAGACTGCTGGCGAGGCAGAAGGATCACTCTGGTGAGAGTAGGAGGTCAAGAACCAAGTAGATTCAAGTTAGGGAATATGGTACATGGTAGCGAGTTTATATAGAGGACAAGAAACGTATTAGTGGGTGATAACTCGTACTACCGGGAGAGGCAATCGGTAAAGGGTAAGACCATAATAGGAAGGCACGTTCGGTCTGGGTAGAACGTGCTAGATAAGAAAGTGAGTCAAAGATCGAAATAATAAGTGAAACACGCAGGGGCACGATCGTGCAACTGCGGATCTAAGTATATGTCGCATGTGCGACTGCGTACCGAATCAGAGATCATAAAAGGGAACAGGGCAAAGGGGATGCGTCGTGCATCATATCATAGGTTTCCGTCCGGACGGTAAGGCAAAGGGACTGTCCGCAGGATCAGTCAGGTGGTGAAACGGAGCATGGGTATGCTTCGTCAGCGAAAGGATCCGGCCAAATGTACTGGCTTTGCTGAAGCGACAGGTAGAGGGCGAAGGGGAATGCGAGGATGACGAGGATGACAAGGGTGAGGTCGGGGTAAGGGTATGATGCGAGGGCTGATACGAGGAGGATCAGGAGAAAAATAGTAGGGGCCCAAGCGTCTAGATGTTCTTGTAACAATCATCGACTACGAACTTCCAACCGGACGCCCCAAATTCAAACGGGAGCAGGTCGTTGTCGCGGGAGAATCATTCGATGTGTATTACCGCGACATCCTCGAATGCATCAAGTCGCTGTACGGCGATCCCGACTTCGCAAAATACCTTACATTTGCCCCCGAGCGCCACTACACTGACGAAGATCAGACTGTGCGTCTGTTTCATGACATGCATACCGGAAAGTGGTGGTGGAACACACAGGTAAGCACTCGATGTGACATCAATTGGACTTCGTAACTTATAATGCCTGGCTAGAAAAAACTTGATCAGCATTGTCCAGGTGGGACCATTGTTCCAATTATCATCTCGACGGACAAAACGCAAGTCACTATGTTTCGCAACAAGTCTGCATACCCAGTGTATCTCACCATTGGTAATATCCCAAAGGAAATTCGCCGCAAACCTTCGCGTGGTGGCCACATCCTACTCGCCTATCTACCAACTACTCGTCTCGAACAAATCACCAATAAGGCTTCACGCCGTCGGTCTCTCGCAAACCTATATCACGCTTGCCTGAGTCGAGTGCTTGCACCATTGCAACATGCTGGATTAGAGGGCATCAACATGTGCAGTGGAGATGGCGCTCTTCGCCGCTGCCACCCCTTATTCGCGAGTTTTGTTGGGGATTATCCAGAGCAACTTCTCGCGACAGGAATTAAGTTTGGCGACTGCCCGAAATGTGATGTCGAGAAGGATGACACAGAAAGCAATACGGTACCGCTCCACCTACGAAAAATAGGTGAGGTGCTGGATGCACTCGCAGCACTTGATCAAGGCAATCTTGCCTTTGTTCGCGCATGTGCCGCAGTAGGAATCAAACCTGTGATACATCCTTTCTGGGAGAAACTCCCGTTCGCAAACATATTTCAGAGTGTCACGCCTGATGTATTGCATCAGCTATATCAGGGCTTGGTGAAACACCTTTTTGCATGGTTAGAGGCCGCTTGTGGAGCCACGGAAATTGATGCTCGTTGTCGACGGCTTCCTCCCAACCATCACATTCGATTATTCACCAAGGGTATCACCACCTTATCGCGTGTAAGCGGCACCGAACATGCGCAAATATGCCGCTTCCTCCTCGGCATCATTATCGACATTCGTCTGCCCAACAATCTCAACACAGGTCGTCTTCTACGAGCTGTACGGGGGCTACTCGACTTCGTGTACCTTGCGCAATACCCTTGCCATAGCACCGAGACCCTTCAGTTACTGGACGAGGCACTAGACCTTTTTCATGAAAACAAGCTCATTTTTGTTGACCTCGGCATTCGAAACAACTTTAACCTACCGAAGTTGCACGCTGCTCGTCATTATCCTCTGATGATCACGCTGTTTGGCTCAACTGACAATTATAACACAGAGTACACAGAACGGCTCCACATCGATTTGGCGAAAGATGCCTACCGCGCTACGAATCACAAGGACGAGTTCGCCCAAATGACGCGCTGGCTCGAACGAAAGGAGAAGATTCTGCGACACCAAAAATATGTTACTTGGCGACTCGCAGGTGGCCACGAGTCTGATCCTTACCATTCACGCCCACCAGATATGACATTCGGCCATGAACAGGTCATGACAAAACACCCCAGCGCAAAGTCCGTCAGCCTCGAAAAGCTGACTACGGATTACGGGGCTACTCATTTTCGAGATGCCCTTGCACGCTATATTGCTCAGCAGAGTCGAGGAAATGATCCCGCACCACTCCACGGTCACGCACTCGATGTACTGGCACACGACATCCATTTTCCGTTCCATCGACTGCCTGTCTTTCATAAGGTCAAGTGGTGCTCGGTTGATGCCCGCGGCCATGGCGATGCACGCATTACTTTGGACAGTGTCCATGCAAAACCACAACGCAAGTTCGGCTCTCGTCTCGTTGCTCGCCGATCCGATACAGCTCTAGTGAGGCTGGGTGCGAATTCGAAGGATCTTCGAGGTGTGTAAACTGTCAGTCAGTGTTACTATGTAATACTTACTTTGTACTGATCATAGAATTCCGTGTCGGTCAAGTTCGAGTCATTTTCACCTTACCACCAAAGTCCATCCCACTGCTCTTCCCACCAACAATCCGTCTTCCTACTCACCTTGCATATGTCGAGTGGTTCACACCGTTTTCGCCAGCTCCAGACCGCAATAGCGGACTATATAAAGTCTCGCGTTCACTGCGCGGTGGTGACACCATGGCTAGTATTGTGTCGATTGCTGACATTGAGCGCAGTGTTCATCTTATACCGAGGTTTGGTGTTATGGCCCAACGAGAGTGGACGAGTGATACAGTACTCGAGGACTGTGACTCCTTCTGGTTGAACTCGTACATAGATAGATATACTTTTTCAATGTTCAGATAATGCTCAATAACTCTTACTATGTTAGAAAAAAACTCGTCTAACATTATCATCTTTAGCTACTTTCTTCATAAAAAGCTGTGATTGTGCTAATGTTACGAATTTTTGAGAATTCTCCCTAATTTGCCTTGGGAGGGTTTTCCTGATGTCTTGAAACACCCAAGTACATGTCCTCATGTTCTCGATGCTAAGGACTGTCCACCTCATAATGTTCTTCATGATATACAAAAATATTCTCTGTTCTACGATGCTTTATACTACCCGCAATATAACGAATCTGTGTATGCAACAGCCGAAATTTTTTCTCGTTGGTTGCAACTATCACTCACCTCCCACTGTGACAGTTTGTGTCTCGTATGTGGTCCCTTTCGTCACTCCGTTGCTGTGGTTTTTGATGGGGTAGGTCTCTCTATCCGCGTGGATGACGTCTCGATGACTTTCACTCGTGCACATTTTGAGTCTGCTACGTACGTGCATCGTAGCGTGTCCAAGCGCTTTAAGACTTATCGAGCTGCTGCTCGGCAAGGCACTTCCCTCCCAACTGCTGCCTCGTGTATTACGTCCAGGCTAAAAGACGATCCTCGATGGTTTTCTTACCAGGATGCTTGCTATGCAGAAAATTTATCTGCTTTGTCTGCGCCTGTACTGCGAAAATCCGTGCTTCGTGTTGTGAGTAAAAAATCGGATGTGCGAAACAAGGAGTGTAGCATTAACGCAATCACTTCTCATTTCACCACTAGACGCACGAAATTTTCGAGCATGTCGGATGACATCCTCTTCGAGAGTCTCTCCACAGTTCCCGTCCCACCTGGCTGTGCAACAACGCGGGGCACTCTGCTTGCTGCCGAGTTTCATAACTTGTATGGTCCTGAGGTAGCCACTGCTCTACGCACTCCTCCTGTCATCAGTGTGTCTCTTGCTATCGATTCAGCTGCTATGCGAGCATCTGAAGCCATGTCTTTGCTGTGGATTTCGGCATCAGTCGATGATCTCACCTCCCGTTTAGAGAAGCTGAGACGCACTGATGTCCAGCTATGTATCCACCAACTCGCACCCCGCTATCGCACGCTCTACAACAGGCTCTCTCATCGAAAAACGTGCAATGTGCTTGCTGGTTATGTTCGACAACGTGCACTGTCCCTGTTTCATGCTGGAGCAAGTATTTTGGGTGATATTTATCTTGCGTATTTTCCGTTCTTGACGTTCGACTCACTTTCGGATCAGGACATTTTCCATCAGATTATCACTCACGAGTTTGGTGCGCTCGTTACTGAACGTTTGTCGCACGAAATCGTGTCGCGGTCCGTCAAGCACAGGACTGTATGTCTGTTCATTCCTTGTCCTCGGCTTTCTCTGACAGTCATTACCACCGGCAGTTGGAACATCAGACCTCCCAAAGATGCCCAGTCCAATAGTCGCGACGCTAATGGCTCCCGTGCATACCAACTTATACTGCGGCGTATGCAGCTGCTGCCGTGTGCAGCTTACACGAAGAAAGCTCTGCACGATTCGAAAGGAAAAAGGAAGGCCGACGACGAGCTCCAAGGCCAGTCACCTACTAAGACCTCGAAGATGCCATCGAAGGGTCGTGACTTATTCGACATGGATCTGGGGACTGATGAGGAGTAGACTGGAATAGACAACAGTGCTACCTTTGACCTGCGAATAGCCTGACAGTTCTACGTCTCGAATGTCATATATTGATTACTGTTTGCTGTCATTATACATCGTTGTTTCTTGGAGTCGGGGACTGGCGCTTTCCAGCGCCGCTACGATAATGCTCAAGTAGATACAAATAGACGTGAACGGTCAAGACGTTCTTGTCGATGCAGAGGACGGACTGTAGTGGAGGAACTGTCCTATGCGGAACTTCAGTGGAAGAACGCCGTCAAAGAGGTGAAGAACCGGGCTGGTCGACCGCGGAAGTGTTCAACATAAACGTGACTCGTCAGTCATACCGGCTAACACAAACATGGCACATAGCTACAAGTTGACACGCTCCTGGGTGGTTCAAACTTCTAACAGATCATTAGCCTAATTTATAGGGTATACACCAGTTTGCCTCAAGCATCCCGGCATGGAGAACCAGGACGACGGTCCCGTTCCTTGGCCGGTAGCAAAACCAAGCTAAGGTAAAACTTGGGTAAAACGATGAACGGGAGACTGCTCCTTTGGTATGGTCGCACTAAATTATGAGCCATTTGGGAAGTCGGGGATAGCGTCTGGCTTCAAATAGCGGTGGTTTCAAGAATTGAATGACTTGTCCATGACAGTGTTTTGGAAGATGGAGACAGAGAGATATCGAGAAATCAAGTATGTTGAATGGCACGTGAGCGCCTAGACGGTACGGCAAAGATATTTTTTTTTAGAAAATCAATTTCTTCCCTTTGCAGAGTTGTAAACTTGTACTCCATGGTAGGACAATACATTCTCGTCTTAACGCTCTCTCGGGATATGATATGTGGCATGCAACTAACGACTTTATTGCATCGGTTGTTGACAAGGACCTGTGCAATGACATGAGGAAGAAAGCGGCCCACACGCCATATGCATGGCATCAGGCATAGATAGCAGGAGACAGCAGGCCAGAACATCTATTTCGAAAAGAGAACTAACGACTACATGTTTTCATCGTCCATGATCTATCTATCATACTGCCACTGGGTCCAAGGTTCTTGACATAAATATCGCATTCTGTGCTGCATGATGGGTGGGAGAAAATCCAACGCCCTCACGCAATTCAGACCCTTGACTATCACGTCCATAGCAAATTGTGTCTTGCCACATGGAGTGTTATGCATCGTGCAACTTACCCGTAAATCGTCAGCCTGAGTGCATCTTAGGGGCGATAACATCTGGCGCAACTCTGGCCTCAAGGCAACAAACTGAAAAATACAGATTGAGTGTACATTTTCAGATCAGTTAACTTCAGCGAGGCAACAAAGTGGAAAATAAATAAAAATTGAAGTCAAAATTGGGTGTGGCGTGGCTATGACTGGATGCTATATGTAAAGTCGTCAGAATGCTTTAATCAACAAGGTGGGAGGACGCACTGAACTGATCATATGTCAATATGCACGAACACTATGCGCTGGTCCAAGGGCATTATGATGTCCTCGTCACGAGCCAACGACTGGACCGCTCGGTGCAGCGCCCAGGCAGCTCGTTTGGAATTCATTGGGCCATCCCCACATAAGTTTTTGTAGAATGCCTTGACTAAGTGCTGCACCGTACTATCGGTGACCTTCCACATTGTCCCCACGACGCTGTTAACCCCGGCAAATTGCAGGCCAGCCGCTAGGTGTATCACTTCGTCGGGCGTATGAAAGTCACCGACTGCGGTCTCACAGGCTGAAAGAAATGCAAATTCATGCCGAGACAGATCCGTTTGCGTGATATCGAGGAGCGAAAGCGGCTGATCGCGCATAAGAAAGGCTGACTTGAAGGGTTCGTCAACTTTCTGTGTCCCGTGACACGCAAGATGGAGCCAAGTATTGTCCCGCAATGCACACAGTGCTCTTGATTTCGTGGCATCAACACTGGTGACCTTGGAAAAAGAAACAGTAGGGGGAGGAGGCAAAAGTCCCCGCACCAACTCCAGCTCAGGCTCCACAGCATCCAATTTGCGTGAGGCACCAGCTGGACAATCCTGACCGATGGCAACGAAGGGCACCGACAAGGACCTTTCACGACTTCTGCGAGCCTTGATCAGCGCGGTGAGCGATGGCGTGTATGAAGAGATATACTGCTGCGAAAGGGACTTTCCCTTTGGCCTGTACTCGCCAGCAGCATGTAATGGCAAAAAATTGAAGAGAGACGTTGGGCACCACCATAGTCGGGAACCTGGTCGTGCGATTCCATCCAGACTTTCGACCACCGGACCGACCACACCGTCCCACAACTCTCTCAAAGCTTTGATCAGCGCTGTTTGGTTTCCTTTAGGACCGGGCTCTTTTTTAACTGCCTCTCGGAGTGCTAGTACCAATTTGACGAGTTTCTGCCAATCGGTAGGGAGTTGAATGCTAGTCGGAGGTTGCTTGTGCAGGATAATGATGGCGTGGCACGACGCCTCGCTTGCAATGAGCACGATAACAGGCCCATCACGAGCTGCATCTTGAAGATCGGAGAACAAGGGGGGAAGGAGGAAGCGAGAGAAGCTTTCAATCTTCCGGATCTCTTCTACAGCTCTATTCCACTCCTCTACTAGACGTCTGTACCGGGTTTCCTCTGCCTCTATATCGATTCTTGAGTTACCTTCTGAATAGTTTGCAGGAGGTTTATCAAGGAGGGAGCTGAGGTCTCTGAATCTCTTCATCAGGACTACTGCATGATCGCCGTGAGTCTGAAGGCTGTCAAGAGGGGTGCGGAGTCGTGTCATCTGGGTCCAGATGATAGTCCTGCCTTCTTCCAACAACTCAACAGCACGACACACATCATCACTACAAAGAGCACAGCATGCAGCATCAACGGCAAGTGTACTTGGGAAGTCCTTCATGATATTGTGACGAGACGATACTGAAGATGTTGTAGACATATAAGCGTCCAGAAGTTGGATGGAAGTTGCATATGCCTCCAGTTCAGTGGGATGTGAATATTGAGAAGCTTGACCGACCCAAATCAGACTTGTTTGCAGGCGGGATCGCAAGCCTCCAGAGACAGTACTTGCTGCTGCCTTGAGATGATGCATGGCAGTATTCAGACTATCGGTATCTTCAGCTGCGCCGGTATCGCCAAGGCTTGAACGATAGAACGACAAACAAACGCTAGCCAGCACCCTATGGACTGGTAATTGACGAGGATCATGTTGCATCATCAGAGCCAATGCACAACGGAGGTTCTCTCGTGACTCCTCAAGGTCTTCTCTATTGTGTTGGTGGTGAAAGCGGGCGGAGAGTTGATTGGCGAGGTTATGTAATGACTTGGACCGACCTGTGTGACCGACCGGGCGCAAGGCCAGCGCTTCCCTGTGAAGTGCGATAGCCTGATCCAAGTCTTCGTCGTTGCCTCGGTGCTGAAAGCGGTAGGAGAGTTGATTTGCGAGATTATTTAATGAAATGGACCGATTTGCGTGACCGACCGGGTGCAAGGCCAGCGCTTCCCTGTGAAGTGCGATAGCCTGATCCAAGTCTTCGTCGTTGCCTCGATGCTCAAAGCGGGAGAAGAGGTGGGTCACGAGGTTATTTAATGACGTGGACCAATCTGTGTGACCGACTGGGTGCAAGGCCAGCGCTTCCATCTGAAGCGTGATAGCCTGATCCAAGTCTTTGCCATTGCCTCGACGCTCGAAGCGAATTTGCAGCATCGTAGCCGCATTACATAGCAATTGCCCTCGGTAAGCATGTCCGGTATTGTAGTATCCCAGTGCATCATAATAAAGGGATATCACTTCATCTAAGGCACAGGTTTCATCTCTCTCCAAACACCGCTGTGCTCGATGAAAAAGCTGATTTGGCGATAACGGAAGTATGGGTGTGGCAGGCCGCTCCTGCTGAAGATCGGTTGTGCGAATGGCTTGAGGGAAATTGTCAATAAGAGCTGGATAGAGATAGATGATACATACAAGTAATGACGACTTGTTGCACTCCACTGAGGTGTATCTCTCCCGAGTCCTGTGTGTGGTGTTCTGAGTGGCTTGGCTCCTCATCCATGACTGAGAGGGCATCATCGAGTGGATTCGACACAGAATCTGTCATGGAAAATCATGGGCACCACGTGCTGAGTGAAGGTAGATGGCACATACTGTTGATGGCGACTTGTAACATTTCACTGGTCACCAAGTTTGTCTCTCCTGAATCCTTGGGTTGTTCTGGTTGGCCCGGCCCCTCGCCTAAGGCTTGGAGGCTATCATTGGGCGGGTCTGACACGGAGTTTGTCGTGAAACAAAACAAGAGATTAACGACGAAATAAAGTGCCGCCAGGAGTGCTTTGGGAAATCATCGGTACGTGGTAAATGAAGATAGGCGTGACACATACTATTGACGACAACTTGTAGCGTTTCACTGATCACGAGGTTTCTATGTCCTGTATCCTGGGGGTGTTCTGGGTGACTGAGGCCCTCTTCCAAGGCTGAAGGGCAGTTGTTGAAATGGCCAGGGATGGATCTTGACATGTGACTAAGGGATGGATTTCAACTAACACTTGAGAATAAGATGTGTGTTGGAGGTCACGAAAATACTGCAGAACCTGTGAGGTCCCGATAAAAACCAACTTTATGTACGTTTATCGTATCTCATCGAAGTCGGGTCCCTGTGGATTATTGCCCGAATTGTGCACCTGGCAGATGTAGCTAGCACAGGATAGCATGACAAGCACTGGCACTTACCTAATGTCAGCGCTGGGGAAGTTCTTGTCGAGGGGACAGCTTGGTACCGCATTGCGGATGTTCGGCACCCTCGGGTTGTAGGCAATGTGGTCCAACATAGTCCAGCCATATAATTTTATAACCGACACTGACACCTAATCAGAGATTGTGAAGGAAGTCAAAACAGTCAAAGTTACATGTCATGGCCAGGGCAAGTCAACATTGTCGTGCCAAGATGACACGTATTGCAATACCCACACGCCATCACAGAGTTGTCAAGAGTGACCGCTGTCACCCATACAGTTTTACGGCGTGTTTGTCTAGAGCGGACCAGCTATTCAAATCTTGGCGTCAGGTAAATGACCTGAAAACGAGAAAACCCATAGGTGCCAAGCATTCGCCACACCGTACCAAGTTGTATCAATATAATTAGCTCATGCAAACACAGCCTGCTATTGCATCCTCGACAAGAACTCCTTCAATGTCGACATGGTTGTAATGCTCGCCTGTGCTGTTCAGATATGCTAAGTACACAATCCAGGCACTAGCGACAGCGCATCAGCATCCTGCGCAACCTTGTTTAGATACAGTAAAGGCGCCAAGGCGCAACATTTTTTGTCTTCCGTGAGCTAGCAAGGTCGCAAAGGCCAAATCAGGCTGTCATTAGATCCTGTCTTCGGACAATTCCGACATCGAAAACGGCCTCGAAACTCGGCTTTGAACTTCCCTGACAGTCAGACCAGGACTACCGGCGAAAAAAGAGCCTGATCGGAAACGTTGGGGAAACAGTTTCTCACAGTGATTGCAGGTGCCTGAGCGCCGACGTTTGACAAAACCCTCCTCCCACTCGTGGGAGTCGGGCACGTAGGACATGTCATGTAAATTTAACTTTGACATCAAGACATCGCATGAGAGGTCAGCTATATTATGAATACGCCCGGGGTAATTTGTTCTCGTGCCCATTCTACTATCCAAAACGGCTACTTAGGCCATCGTAAATCAGAAATATAATCGCGCTGCTGGGTATTGATCGAGCAACAGTGATACCGCAGCCAGCGTAAAGCCCCTTCACACCCTGTGCCCTGTACATCGCTTTCGCGGTGCCAAGGAACGTTGGCTTGGGGGCATTACTGCCTCGAGGACGCAAGTCTTCCTCAGTTTGCATTGTACTCTTGATGCTATCGGCAGGGAACATGGAAAAGTTGAATACTCCGCCTGCGCATGCACCAGACAACGCAGACTCCCATGGGAGGATGTCTTTACGTGTAAGCTCGGAGCCGCGCCGCTTTATTAGTTTTGTCCCGACGAACTCTTTTGTAGCGAACCATGAAGCTCCACCACCGCATTCACGGATGAGCGTGCCAGTTTGGCCAAGCCAAAGGCCGCGGAGGCCTTCTGTGCGGATGACGGACATGAGAACGGCTATAGGACCGGGAAGAGGGCGAGAAACAGGTGCCAGGGTTGAGTCTAGGCTTGCTGCTGCGGTAGACTCAGGTATCGAGACTGAAAGCGGCTTGGGGGCAATCATCTGTACTTGGATTTTACATTTTACAAGCTCCACTGGTGTCCTAGTCAAAAATAAGAATCAATTACAACTTGTATACCAGGCGTGAGTGACTTGCAGTAAGAAACTAGTGATGGAGCCCGCGCCTGCACCGGCCAATGCAAGCTGAGGTAACGAAAGTTCGTGTGACAAAGGCTGAGAATTTATCCGTCGTATCACGTCTTGAAGTTCGCTGTATGACAGGAACAAAGAAGCATTCTCTAGCATGGCGGCCACTATTGGCGCCGGAAGGCCCTACGACCAGTATGAGCTCACGCAGGGTTCTGGTGGGTAGAGGTCACGTACGCGGTAAAGACCTCTAACGCCTTCATTTTCCCATGTTTTGACAAGACAGTCTATTGGTCCATTGAATCTAGCAGTGGTATCGAGAACTTGAGATTGCAATCGCACTTTCGTCAAGTCGAATGGGTGTTCAAAGACTTTGGAGACCATGCCTGCGATCTGTTCACAACTGATTGTCATTCTTGTGGCTCAGGAAAATAAATCAGCCTCAAAAACGCACACTCCCGAACATGATATCCTTTGCTGCTCGCATCGCCGACGAGGGCATTGAGGGTATGCTATCCCAAGATGATGGGCCGGATGCTGCCTCCATCGATAAGGAATGGAGTAATAAAAGCAAAGAAAGACGGTGTTCGAGTGTACTATGCGGTCAGCACATGGAGGAGAAGCTGTATGAGCGTTAACATGTGAAGAACATATGTAGAGGTCCGGTTATGTAAACCATCACCCGGGTTTAACCGTAACTAAATTCGATAGGCTTGGCATTTTTGAGTCTTAGGCTAAAAGTTTGATATTTGGGGGTACAGCCACAGCTTTTATACTGGGGGTAGCTGTTGGCATCGACCTGATTGTAGTTATAGGAATAAATGAGTTCAATAACGATTTGGACAGGAGTGAGAAAGAGCGTGATGAACGGCTACTATAGTGACACCGTCACATATAAACTTCCTCACTACATACACCAGAGGCTATGGTCATAAGCGAAATATATTTAATCTGCACATCTATAATGCGCTGGCCTTCCTGTCTCTGCTGCCCCCAATCATGAGGGCAGCTTCTTTCAAATCGATAGAAGAAAACTCTCAACCATCCAGCCTTTTTACATACCCGGGTCACCAGGACTTTGACTCGACAATATCTGACACTGGAACTCATTTCTACGACCGCAATCTGACGAGTCGCAGATATGCCCTTGTCGGAGTGGCATGTTCAAGTATCTTCAGCTGCTTATGCATCATTGCAGGTGTTCTCACTTTAGCCAAACACGGAATCTTGGGAGTAACTAGGCTGCCCTACCTCGTGGTCGATATGGATGACGGCTCGAATACTAGGCGATTGTCGTTGCAGGGGCAGATATTGACCCTGATACTTGACTTAATCGTTACATTATGTACCGAGTCCGTAGGCTTTGTACACGGCATCTCATTGCGTTCTGCGCTAGCCTCAGAGTCTCGACTTCATTTCAACACCAATTTGCGCCTTTTGACCGCAGCTCGTGGATGGCATAACCCTAATGGCGCCCTTCTCAACGGTATCTCGGCTATCCTCCTCATTGTATCTTACAGCTTGCCCTCGCTCATCGTATGTCCGGACGTCCGGGAGATATTACAAGTCAGTTCTGAAGATGATTCTATCTCAGAGTCCCACTGGCAAGAGGGTCTTGCCATCGCAGGGTTACCTCTACTCATGTTGGGCGTCGTACTCCTCCTCCAGGTGATGGTTGCATTGTCAGGGATGCGGGCTGCCAACATATTGACATGGAGCTCCTCACCATTCGACTTGACCGCTGCATTGGTCCACCACACACAATTGACCCCTGCTACTTTCCGATGCATGCGTCCTGTGTCTGACATAAACATTTATGAAGGTCCAGCGAAACCACCAGAGACACAACCTTCTCCGTGGCATGCCCACCCTAGCATCCGGAAAGTCATCATTTTTCTTTGGGTCATTGTTGCAGCATGCGTTGGATGGGCCGCACTCGTCATGTGTATCTGGGACCTCTTCGGCGGGTTTGATTCTCCCCAGCTGATCCTGCAAACGTGGTCGTTCTTCCACAACGAGAAGTCCAATTACATCATATATGCTCTGCCATACGTCGGACCTGAGTGGTGGATTCTGCTTTTTGTCAACATCGTAATGGTCCAGGGACCGTTGACGCTTGGGCTACATTGTTCGGAGCTCATCACAAATGTCATTCGAGACGAAAGACAGTGGAGATGCGCTACTGGAAGGAAAGGACTTCGAGTGGCGACGAACCCGCTGAAGTCGGTTTTGACTGATCCGATCTGTCTCATACTTTTCATCTCGAAGCCCTTCTTGCGTGAGTCATTCACACCTAGTAATTTATTGTCGGTCTCATTGAACACTATCCTTGGCGGTTCACAGACTGGATGTTTGGGCTTTCATTCAGCACAGCTGACGACGCTGTTAACGAGCGCCTAGGAGGTGTGGCAGTAGTCATGTTCACTGCCCAGGTTCGCACTTACTCCCATGTAAATTGTCGCAACATTCTCACACATTCATGCAGATCTGGAATCTATGTATTGGGCTCTTCGTATTTGCCTGCTTCTTCACTTTCATCGCACTGCGCCGACCGTGTGGTCCTCAGCCGGCTGCATACGGCCACCTCCAGACGCTCGCTAACCTCGTGGATGAATGGTCGCCTGTCATGTGGTGGGGACACAAGGAGGATGGAATTCTGTACTGTCATGCTGGTAGAGTGCCTGTATACTCACGATGATGCTTCATTAACACTTTTCAAAAGGAACAAGCGATCATCCGCTGCCGGATGTGAAGATGGACTGTGTCTATGCTGGTTCCGGTGCTGGGCCTTCGGTACCCGTCTCATGAGGCACTGGCTTTGCTTTTTAAAAGAGAATTTATTTATTTATCTTTTTAAGCAGAGAAGCTATGTCCACGTCAGGCTGGCGATGCATTCGCGTTGTACGCAACCAACCATACCATTGAACGAGACTTACAAATTTCATGCTGTTTGCTGTGTTGTATTTGGTTCTTCTTGTTCGAACTTTATACTCATCCCGGACAACTTTTATTGCACCAGACCTTACTACTACATTGTCATACGATGAAACCGTTCCATCGTTGGACCATATTTCTGACTACAATACCCTACACAGTCTGGAAGCGCCTCTATATTGTTCCAAATGTATTGCTTTCCGATCAACATGGATTGCCGATTCTCTGATCGCCCCGATTAGATATCGATGAAGTAGACGGTCGTGCCATGAGCGCCATATTATTAAAGTGGAACCTGAGTATGATATATGACTTGGAGGTCGCGAGTTTCGAGAGAGAGACAAGATGCATAAGCAATGATCATCAAGAATGGAACAAGTCTGTAACAAAATCTCTGCTAATAAGATTGATTGACCATATAACAATTTATGTACTTACAATGTCATGACTGTCCTCCATGAGGACACCTAACGATCTAACGTTCAATAACGTTAGAGTCAAGGCCAACCTGTATTGCAGTGAGGGTCTCATTGATCTCAGCCAACACGACTCGGAAGGTTCGACTGTTAGGTGGTTGTCTCATCAGAGGACACCATCCGCCGATTCTTCAGCTAACTCAGAGCACCAACATGGAGAGCGGTTTGGAGTCTCTATTTTATTCCACGTTTACAGACAGCGTGATTAACATATACATGTAGGCCGTGTCACTGATCAATGAACACGATGCCATTTCTGAACACTTAAAGGACCGAGATTGCTTGATTGATATCATAAAACGTATCTGAAGTCTCTATTCTGCCTATCCGTCAGGTCCAGGAATTCCTAATGCAGACAAAATATCAGCATTGTACATGAAGAGATTCGGAGGATGCACCTTGTCGACTTTGACTTTAACACACTTCCCATCCTCTTCGATTCGCTCGATAACGTATTCTTCTCCCTCGCCAACAGGCTCTGCATCGCGGATTCGGTTCTCGCGGACAAGAACAGCACGGATGACAAGGAGAAGTAGCGGGCAGACGACGTAGCATGTGCCGATCACAGCCCATGGGATATGGTTGCTGTACATGATTAATGATATCTTTCTTTCCTAGAGTCGGTCGATGAATGACTTACCGTGGCTTATACTGTGCCTTCCACATCAAGGGGCCAGTTGCGTTGCCAACGCAGTAAGCCGAGAGTATAGTGGCGTTAGTAACAACCTGCAGGTCGGTTTTCACTCGAGGAGTGACTTCAATGACTGGCAGAGTACCCACCCTCTTTGTATGACCAGCAGTCACATTATTAAGCCACGACAATGCCAGTACAAATCCGGGCACAGGGAACGCAGCTATAGGGAGATAAGAATAGAAACACACTACAGGTGTCACACGCACACAGGTACTGGCCGGCGAGAAGTCCAGCCTGATATCGTGTAAGATGCGATATTAAAGACGGGGTAGACTCGCAGAAGCAAACCACATACCCGATTCGACCAAGGAACTAAATTGATTAGCAAGACCCCCAGCCACCCCGGGATGTAGAATATAGCACCAACGTATGCTCTCGCATTGGGCCATCGTGCTGCAAGCCGGACAGCAGTGAAGACTACCAAGAATTGAATCACACCAGTAATACAAGATAACAGAGTCGTCTGTAGAGAATTAAATCCAAACGAAACGAGGATGAGTGACTGTTGGTTTAAGACTGAGGTAGGCACATTGCATAGAGCTGCGAGGAGAGCGAAGAGCCATGTCTTGATGTCGGTCAGGGCTTCGATCATCCTAGAGATGTGTACATGAGGCATGGAAAGTTACATTTGCATCAAATACATACTGCCCCATCTTAAAGTGTTTGTTTTCTACCCCTGTCTGGTTTTCCTGTGATAATCGTAAGATAATGGGTGGTATCATAGCTTAACAGGCATACCTTGATGCGCTGCACAGCTTTCACTCGCTCATCGTGAGTCAGGAACCAGGCGTTCGTAGGCGAATCAGGGAACAAGAACCTTTATCAGGCGGAGACGTCTCAATTATGAAGATCAGTCACTAAGAACAGTTGCTTCGTAAACTCACCAAAATAAGATGGCAAGGATCATCGTTATCATACCGGTGATAACCATGAGCCTGCGATTTATCAGAGAGAACATGGAACAATGAAAGTAAAATGTCAGACCATTGCCACGGTTCAAACCATGAGGTGTGAATATGCAAAACACCAAAGCTGATAAAACCAGAGAATACTTGTGCTAGATTTCACTAGCTTGGGCTGCAAGATCGAATATATATGATAGTAAGCGCACCAGAGCCAAGCATCATAGCTAGGTTCCCAAGTGTTCAATCAGTCGACTTCGTCAATCGGTTGCAAATGGGAACCTACACCAATAACCAACCCGTAGCGTCTGTTCCGTCCGCGTGTAGAACATGGAACCAACGATCAAGAATCCCGCAGTGTTCGACCCCTCGCATACGCCCAGCAACAAGCGCACGACAAGAAGCTCACGAAAGTTCTTGCACGCTGCATGACATGCAAGCGCGATTGCCCAGACGAAGATATTAATACTGATAAATGCTGTCATTGACATTCACATTGATAACGCATACGAAGCCTACCTCATCCACTTTCCGACCGGAAATCTCTGAAGGGCAAGATTCTGGGGATACTCGAAGAGAATGTAACCGAGATAAAATGCAGTGCCAAGCCTGAAAGATAGTGTGAGGACTATACAAACTCGAGTAATGAATGTCTCACCAATTGAACCTGACAACAGGTAACGTAAAACTTTTAATACCAAGGACAGGGATAACTTACTCATTCACAGTCAGGTGTGTGGCCTGCCTGGCGACACACGTCAGTTACCGGATTTGGCTGGTCTCAATGTACAGTCCTTACTGAATTCCAAGGATAGCCGCAGAACCTAAGGTTATCTTGTCCACGAGTTGGATCCTATGCGCCCGTAAGCGCTTATCTGTAGCGAACGCGGCCAACTAACCCAAAAAGAACTGAACATAATCAATCGTCAAATGCGATCGGCTTGGACGACTGAATCACCACAACAGCCGACTCACCACACATCAGAGGCATAACATGTCTGTCGATCTTCTTCCTGAAACAAAAGGTTTCTGAACGATATTGATGTGCAAGCAGCTTTCAGAGCGTACCTTATTCTCAAAGCCTCATCAGGCTCAAGAGTCGAAGTCAACCCAGCAACGAGCTGAGCGCCAGTGTCAATTTCAGACGCAGAGATCCCTGCGTATTTCTCGTCCCCGAACATGTCGCTAGAGGATCTCAAAGTGATTTTGAGAGGGCGTGAAGGTGATAATGGCAACAGAGTAAAGGATGAACCTTTCAGCGCTTGTAGGTTGTTTGATCTGCCTATATAATGATGATATCTCTTTGCGTACGTCAATTTCAAAGCATACCGTGACGACCCTGATGGTCTGAGCTGGCAGGCAATTCATATGCTCTTTCGGTTCATAATGGAAATTTCAACCAACGAATTCGAGCATGCGTATCCACGCATTCGCCAACTGGATCATCACACTGCATGTCATAGTGAGTATTTCATTAACAGAAAAGTGTCCTCACCGAGCAATCATGAGTTCAACTTCTCATGTCGTTCTTACCTCAACAAGGAGGCCAAATTTCAAAGATTCTACTGAGGATACCCCAGAGCTAGGATAGACGGTGGCAAGGGCTATGACTTCTTCAAAATTTGCAACACAGCTGCAAAAAGACCCATAATACTAAATTGCGCATGTCAGAAGGAAGTTTGCTGTTTATGGTGAGTTTTCGGCGCGTTTTGATGTTATCACGTGATCGCCGAAACTTCCTAAATTGGCCGCCGAAACCTGTATGTAAGTTGTAAACGAAGAATGTATGTAGAGTACAGTAGTTTTCAAATCAAAAAAGTCAAATGAGATACCAATTGTTCATTGCATGTTCAGTTCATCATGACGGCTTAAGTTCATCGCCAAGTTCACCAAGCATCAAATCATACGCTCTTTCTTCCCAATCTTTCATTCTCGTCTGAGATTGAAAAACTTCTGCAAGAAGCTTATTCAATGGCCGCGTTAATCGAGAACCTTGCACTCCAGTCCCCAGAGTCACCGAATACTGAATTAACCGTTAACTTTCTGGGTCAAGATATCGCAATACAAGATACTCACATACGATCTTGTACTTCCCAGGTGTAGTATCATGAGGGACTGTGACGTGGACTTCACCATCAGAAAGTGGAAATCCAGATGCAATGGGATTGGATTGGGTTCGACCGTTGTGGTGAAGGAATACCTCGCCAATAGGGTTGGTCACCTGGGCAGGTTTCGAGGATGTATCCCAGGTGACAAGGAATGTTCCTCCAACAGTCCATTTAGTGTGACTTGTAGGGGAGGTGATTCTGGGTGTCCAGACATCAGATGCATCACGGCGCATCACGGCAGGAACACTGGGAGCACATGATGCGTAGGAGAGAAGCGTGAGAAGTACGAAGAATGAAGTGAGAATAGCACGGGGCGAGGTGTTGATAGGCATGATTAATCGCGAGGGAATCGTAAAAAAAAAAACAGAGGATGTCCTGAGTTGTCCTGAGTTGTTGAGTTCTGCAGGCTTTACTTATACTGCCAGCGACGGCCCAGCGTAGAGCTGACTGCATATATGCATGATAATTTTTGCGAGCATCATTTGGTTTATTTGAGACTTTGCTGAAAAGTTCACTTGGTAAATTGACCGCCGAATCTCCACATATCAGTGCTGGCAAGTACTATCATTCGACGGGAAATGCACAATTTACACTTATTGCTGAATAGCAACACAACAACAACACATATTCGTATCGGATCTACTGTAGTGTATACTTTAGGTCTCTGTGCATTAGGCCCAACAAGAATTTTTTAATTTTGTTGCGAGCTTGTTGCAGCGGCAGCACTGGAAGTTGAGGTGTCGAAAACACAATAGAAATGCACAATTTCGTCACACTATGTCACGCGCGGCACCTCGGCCAATACACAATGATATTCACAGTCCGACAGCGTGCAAAGCGAATGAAAGTCCAGTGTTCCGCACCGTTCATAACTTCAAGCTTCAATAACGAGCTCCAAATCAAATTTCATTGAGGGAATAATATCTAGTAACAAACACTAGGATGTGCTGAGTGATCATTATTTGCTGAAACTCTATTTAATGGTGCAGGAAGGCCATGCAGGGGGTAAGGCATGTATCTGCCAGTGGACGGCCCAGCATGTAGCTGTGGTGGGAGGTCTTGTGAAGTTCGAAGAGGACGAGCCCCTTCTGGGGCTGGCACTGGCTGCATGAATCGTGTCTCGCGACCTGGATAATGGAGTGGGTATGCAGGTGGTGGATTAAATGAGGGGAAGGGTAAAGGACCGTTCATTTGCTGTGCCGCTTGACTCGAGAAGGGAGCGCCGTTACTATGCATAGCTATTCAGACATTATCAGCAACAAAATAAACATGGAAGTAAGTGAAATACAACCATGACTGATGCTTGGAACGAGCTGCTGAGATGGTGTAGCTTGAATGGGAGCAGTATGGTCAATTCTTGAAGATCCAGCATGACCGTTTGACTCATGGGGTGCCCGATTTCCACGAGATGTGTAAAGACCAGAAAAGCGGTGGTCCTGGCGTAGGTCGGGAGTATTCTCCAAGTGTCCTTTGATGCGTTCTAAAATTTCAGACTTCGTGCCCTCGGTTGACAGCGAAAGAGCAGTAGCAATATCCTCCAGTTCTGATTTTGACTTGGCGTTGTTTTGCATGCGCCTCGTCTCGTGGCAGAGTCAACCCTTCACATCTCCTACGCACTGTGGAATATATGTGCTCGACACCATGCATCTTGGCTGCTTGTAGGAGGCTTTTAGTTTCACCCCCACGCCATGTATCGATTGCATCCTTGATACGTTTTTCACGATCCTCGCGTGTGAGAGGAGGTTGTGAATGTGGTGAAGGGCGGTTGCGAAAAACTCGAGCTGTCCTTGACATTGGTCGACTGTCCTTGTAATGTAACAATGTCCTCTGGTGTCTTCAAAGGAACAGATGCTGGTATGTGCCGATTCTGCCGAATGCAAAGAAAGCGGAGACTCAACCAAGCCGAGAGTGTGATTTCCCAATCTAGCCTGACCGTCACGCTTTGCTCATGAATCGCGAATAGCATGCTGTGGTGGTGTCCTATTGACATAGAAACACCTGGAGTAGATTCAGGATGGTGCATTTCACATATTTTGAACTTTCTGTGTTGATAGGTTAATGGGATCTGGGTGGATCTTGGATTTAGTGTCCAAAAATCACTCATTTTGGGCACACTCGCACAATGTTTCATCTCGGGAAGGCTTCACAGCACCGATTTTAAAATTTTGAATTGGTAGTATTATTGAATGTATGCTAATAATTGTCCACCAGCTGTTCCGAATGAAATATATGTAGAGTGGTGAGCTCTGGAGTGCATTGTGCATTATCCATCGATTGTGCATTCCGAATCAGGTGATAGTACTGGCTTCGCAACGAATGGCCAAGCCCTGAGGCGACCATAGCCGCACAAGGACCCCCGTACCTCAGCATCTGTATCTGCATTATAAAATTATCAAACCTGATTAGCAAGTACTGAAGACACATCGTAGAAAAAACTGACTCTGATGAGACATGCAAATCCACGACTGTGACTGCGAGTTAAGATTTTGTTAGAGATAAATATAAGTCTATAAGTAGTGATACAGCGATATTGACATATACATCTTGAATGTCCAAGAAGTTGTGCTTATGCGTCTAAAAGGTCTAGGAGTAGGTAACTGGAAAGGTATAATGATCCACAACGCCACTGACTACGAATGCTGGTAGCCAGTTGCATCTGGAAATGCTACTAAGATACTGCCGACAGGGGTTAAATACACTGCGTCAACAAGTACCAGATAATAAACAACGACTGTGAATGCGAGCTAAACAAAAATGCCTTTTTCGGCGAGTGTTTGCCGAGCATCCACACTAGAGCTGAAGCAAATAGACAGCTTCCCATAATATATGGGTTCTCAATGAAGGTCAACATGACCACCATATGACAAGCCGTCAATATGACCTTCGTTTTGAGTATCGAACCGAGAAGGACGGGTATAGTGGGGACCCCGGCCTTCATATCATCTTCGAAATCGCGGACATCGGTCATGATCTATAAATACGGTCAGGGTCAAATGAAGTGATCATGTACTGTCTACTTACAGCGTGGCATGAGCGGTTGACGGTCGACCAGACTATCAGTTGAACGACGTTCCATGGAGACGGCAACGTGTTGGTCATATTGCCTGACCCTGACAAAACGGAGAAGACAACGGTGTAGATGCCACATCTGAAAAAGCATTAGTTTACGTGTGCATCGTTCAAGGCGAACATGCAGACGTACCCTCGAATTATCCCATTAAAAATGGCTTTCATGCCAGGGATGCGTTTGATGACCAGGACAGGCGCAGAGGTGGAAGGCTGGCGCTTGTCTCCGGAAAACCTCCCGGATAAGCGCCTCGAGATCAGCCAAAACTTCTTGAAACTGATCGGAGTGGTCCAGAGCAAGGCAGGAGCGACGAAAGTTGCCGTGGTGAGGAGCGTCGAAATGGGACACTGAGATAGTGCAAATGCAAGAAGCACAGCGCTGACGGCGAGGAATGTTCGTGCATACATAAACCAAGAGGCGAGGCGTGGGTCTTTGGTGGTATTGGGATCCGACGAAAATTCCTCCTCTTTATCCTTGAGGTGGTCAGCGCCCATGGCAAGGATATCTGACGTGACACAGATGGTTATCTGTGTAGGAAATACATCAGTGATGTTATCTAGTATCAAATTAATGAGCGTACCGGTCTCCAGTCGATAGTTGCGTTGGCGGACATGACATAGGACATGAGGGTTGACAGGGCCAAGCTGTTCATCGATATTACGATGGGTCGCAAGAAGAGCTCATCTGCAAGCTTCGGGATAGTGAGGATTGACATCTTGAATGAAGACTGAACTGTAGACAGATGATACTCTCGCCCGCTTTTATACCTGGTGCATCCATGCTCCTTCTGAGCTCGTAAGATTGCAGTGATCCGTATGTTATCTGTAGGAGATTAATCCATCAACGTTGAAACTTTGTTCGATCCTGTGTTTTTTTAGCACTGGCGCCCAAGCGCTTGGCAGGGTTTAGGTTTTCGGTTCTACCGTGACTAACGGGCGGTGCGAGAAGTCGAAGTTCTAAGTATCATCGTCCGGCTCGGGTCCTTCGAATTACAGACGGTGCCCTACAATAACCTAAGTTGGTCGTTGGTACACACCCAGGTGTGCTGTGCAGCACTCACATTTGAACATTTTGGCTTGCATTCAAGCTATCATTATGCGAAATTGCGTTGTTGAACGTTCTGGTTGCCTGTCGACCATCTTTTCGCTTTGAGTGAGAAGAAAAACAAGCCAGACCGGGTAACACTCCGTCGATGTCGTGGATTATTTTAGGGGAGATATCCGAGTCAACTCGAATGTGTTTCTACCCAGCTTTACCGAAGTATACCCGTCAGAGACAAACTGCGGGTTTACCCGTACCCGTGCTCTACCCTAGTCGACTTGACCTTATGGCCGTCCTCTCGTAAATTAGGACCCTGAACCTTTCCTGATTTAGCTGTTACCTTGTCAGCTAAACCTTCGCATGGAGACATTTTACACCTTATCGCAGAGTATCCTCGTCCCAATCCTCGCTGTATAGAGCCCAAGTTAGCTACCTGAAAATTCCCATGTAGGAGTAGTAATTTTCCTGATTTTTTTTATTCATGATAGATTTAGAAATTATCGAGCAATACTACATAGAAAGGTTTACTTGGAATAGGATTAGGACGAGGAGAGATTTTAATATGAAAAGGTTTGTTGGGCTCTGACAACGACATTCTAGAATTGAGCAGATGATGTCATTAGAGTCTGTGACCACATGGTGAAGCTGCTTTGCGATCTCGGTTCCAGGTGGCAGTGACGATTCCGGATGCACGTTTCTAGCTAGGCGGTATATGTGCACCGACAGGGCCCATTACGAAAGATATCGAGTTCATGAAGGCGGTGATACATGGAGCAGGTTGTTCTGAACCTTGAATTTTTCGAGTTCGGTGCTAGCCGCAGTGGTTCCAGTCTTAGACGCGTTCGATTTGCTGCGTAAGCGTCTGAACTTAATATATTGACGCCAGCTCTATATAATATTTTGGCTCCACCAACATCCGATCAGACCGAACATAATATTATTGCCACATGCCGATATACAACACCACATGGCCCCGACCTGGTCGCCGCAGAACCCACCGACGTGCTGATGGATATTTACGAGAGGCATGCACGTTTACTGCCTGTGCCATGGCTGCGAGTATTTTTTTATTAGCATGATATGATGGGCCTACTATATGTTGCAACGTTGAGATTCGAGGCATATGTTTCATCAGCATGGTCAGGTTACGCGTTACGGACGAACGCTTCCTCGGAGTGAATCTATATATATCTCTGTGCAAGAGTATGAAAACTAAAAATACTCTGCAAGCCAATCATGTCACTAACCAGTGCTGTGCAGCTTGCTGTCTCCTGCTCGCCAGAAGCTGTATGTCTCGTCGCAGTCTTCAGTTTCTTAGTCCAATACAGAACACAATTCCATTTCTCGGTCACCCAAAACATCGTACATCCAGCTTCACGCCTCGAGGTTTAAGGCGAAATCTACTGCAGACTTGATCTTGAACTTTGTGCGCCCCTGCTTGTATAGCTATCGGGTGGAAGTCCCTAAGAAATACAGCCCAGGTAGTGGCCCCGACCTGTGAAAAAGTGACTCGATGTGAGCTGCGAGGGCGGGTGGGCAACCTCGCAGCCTCAAACCCAGCAGGTTTGGGCGCCAACCACCCAGAACCGCGCGGGAGTATGGATGTGACTATGTACCTAAGGAATTCAGTATTATCAAAGACAGTATTCCAGGACAAGCAAGGTTCCTATACCCGCTTCGTCAGTACGCCAACGCACAGATCGACGACTACTAGTGATGGGGTAGGAGCCGCGACATCGGATTCGTAACAAAATTGATAAATCATCGCATCCTTTTTGTCGTGCCGTCTCTTCAGCCTTACGCACAATTTCCCTGCTCCAAAGTGCATTCTCCTCATCTGATTCGTCATCGTCGACTTCTGGGACATCAGCTTTCATCCCTCCCAAAAGCTCACCCAAAGGATATGCACTTACGAACTCCCGACCGAGGACAGCTTGCACCTCCGTGCCATGCATGACGATATACCGACCGTGAAAGTCTCCATGCATGAGCACAAATGGCTCATCTTCAGCAACGAAGCTGGTCTCTATCTGACGTAGCTGCTGCACAAAATCTTCGAGAGACATGAGTTTGGATCAGTCAGAATCAATATTGGACGCGGGGGCATGTATATAGTACCAGTACCAGTATATCTCTTTGTCGTAGCAAGCGAGAATGTCTTCCTTTGTAGTTTTGTATGGATCGATGGGGTGACATCTATCAGAATGAAATTTGCCTATCCAGATGTAATAAATATGCAAAATGCGGCAAAGACTCACTGGCACGCGTCCCTTGAAAAACTTGCTCCACTATACAGTTGGTCCAATGGTGTAGTCTGTGCGGCTGACAAACCCGCCTATAGGATTGGAATGTGTCTGCGCCATATCAACAAGTATCTCGGCAATCTTCAGGGTGACTGAATATTTCTCCACCTCGGTATGGCGATTCTGTATAGTGCTCAAAGACTGATATCTGATGAGGAGTGTATTTGGTTTCGGAAGGCGCAGGGCAAAAGACGTATGTCATGGAATCGTCAGTGGGTGTATTGAGATGGACATTGTGTGCCCATATTTTAATCTCCGCGAGCACGTAGTCTATACGAGGGAAAGTTGAACGCGACTGACTCGCACTTGAAGGATTCATAACATAACTTAGAAGGGATCACATGCAAAAAGAATGTATAATATAGCCTCTAGGGAAAAACATCGCAAAGTGATAAATGATAAGATATAATCAAGTGATTTGGTGCGCAGAATAAACAAACCAAAGAAAATACATCATTGCCAAGAAAGAGGTACTTAATACAAAATGATTCTCGATTCTTGAGATCATGCAAATCTAATAACGCCTATATTCATACCCCGGCATCTCCGAAGGGCGTCGCTGCATCAATTCAGGACACATGCATCCCTCAGTCCACCCATTTGGGGCTATCGCGGATCCGGTATACATGACAGAGTCGTCCGCGGTACCTGCCGAGCCGTATAAGACTCCCAAAGACTGGTTGTAGACAGGTTGGGGAGGCTGGTATTGAGTGGGGTATTGGTAACCAGAGGGCAGGGGCTGCACAGGGGGGTGAGACTGGGACGACGACTCAGTTGCGCCCGACCCTTTTGCGGAGGGGGCACCACGACCGCGCGCATGAGGAATGTACCCATGTTTTTTCTGGCGGTGACGCGTGAGCTGCGCAGGGTCGTGAGTTTTGTAGTCACAATCATCGTGAGGACAGATATAGCGTTGCTCGCCCGTACTAAAATACATTGCTGATCAGGTGGGATTAATGACGGCGATGAATGAATACATACTGTTTAGCAGAATGAATTTTGTAGTTAGATTTCGTCATAGTCGCAAAATCGCACCCAGGCCAGGTGCACAAGTACCCACTGCGTGAGTGAATTTAAGTGAGTTGAGCTGTCGACCACAGAGGAGAAACACGTACTTTGTTGAATGCAGGGCTTCGTGCCTCTTGAAATCGGTGAACCTGCTAAAAGTTGCGTTGCAGAAAGGTCCTCCAGTAGAGCAAACGTAGGTCTAGATATTCCGAAAGTCCGAGTCAGTCATCCAGTCAGGTATGCGTGTGATCCGGCTTACCTTTGTCTTTGACATGATTTGGTATAGAAGAATATGAGTGATGGTACTATTTAATTCTGCCTGAGGTGAATGTATGATTCAACTTGGGGTGATGATGGTACTGGGTAGGTATTGGGGGAGGTATATAAACGATTCTCGGTGGTCGTTCCACTGTGCTTTGCGGTTGACAGCCGCTTGTGGCGTTTGTATAGGGATGCTTTGAGGCTACTGGTAGCTGTGGGCTATGTAATGCATGAGTGCATTGTTCTTGAAGCAACCGCATCGGTTTGAAGGCTTGATTCTGTTAAGCGTCAGTAAATACGAGGATCGAGTTATTTTCCAAAGATAAGTCATGTCAATGGAGATCCACTCGATGTGGAGAGTTGAATAAAGACTGGGATGGATGTCAAATTGCTTGACGCCGAGGTCCGACAGGGTTTTGGAGGTCTTTGTCGTCGTGACCGGCCCACGCCATGCAACAGGCAATCACTCGACCAATCCCTCAAGTCACTAGGTGTTTTGCATGTCCAAGCATGGGGCTTTGAGAGTTTGGCCCTTGTATGCATGATTGCGTGAGAAATGTCAAGTTCAGAGGTAAGATGGTCGAAGTAATGAGATCGGACACGTCACTGATAGAGTCCGTGCAGGTCGGTAAATTTTTGTCTATTGCTACTGTCTAATGCTAGACAGTACATGGGACTTGTCGAGTTCGCGGTAGACATCCTTCGAGTTATATGAATGTAAGCATGAGGGAATACCAGGGAAAGGTATAACATAACGTACTAGCAAGTATGCCCGAGTCGTGCATGTATACGGAAGCAAACGCAGTATGCATTCTTAGAGAGACCGTGCAACCATACAGACACTGACAGATGAGCGCAAAGTTCAAAATTTGAATCTATCGAGGGGTTGCCTCATAGACGGGCTGATCACCAGTATGCCGATCCCGTATGGTGACGCAAGTGCAGGTGTCCCACGGCCTTCAAAGACGCAGCATCTTGAACCTGGTCGGTGAAAAAAGTGGTTGTGCGCATGTGAGACTCCTGCGCGGACAAGAACCATGAGAGATTATGCGTACATCCGATGTGACTATAGCTGCGCTCCAGGAGTGGCTATGTGCTCAGAAGTCAACATATTTTGCACGAGCAATAACACCTACCTCACACTTCGCCTCTCGCAGCACAAACTAACGCTCTTAACTACCAAGCTCCACACGCTTCCCAACAGAGGTATCTGAAATCTTCACTTGTAACGCAGCTGACGGAACACATTTATTAACACCTAATACCTAGTCTATAATGTTGTTAGTAAACATATAGAACATAAAGCCGGGCGTACTGTACTACATGAGGACACCATAGTAAGTGAAGGTAAGTGCGCTGGACAAAGAGAGCTGGGTCAACTAAATCGTGATCTTGAAACGGATAGTCTTCACTCACACTCTTGTCTTAGGCTGGGTTCCATTTTAGTAAAACTGGCGTATGCAAAACAGCCTGGAGCTTGTCGAAGTGAGCAATGAGCATGACTCGGACTCTCGAAGTCAGTGGAAAGGCATCGCACGTGACCGCGTTTGTTCGTATTCTACACGTGATATTCGAGCACAGGTTGTAATCGACACAACTAAGTACATGATTTTGGTGGTGCGAGCACTCAGTACTCATATTTTCGTTCAGCTTGAACATGACGGATGCCGACTGATATCAGTGACAGGGTAATTATGCGTGACGATGCTGATAAAGAATCGTATTGCGTTTTAACATTATGAAGAACTTGGTTTATAGCTAGGAAATTGAGCTTATGCCACTGAGCGGTCTAAGGCAAGTATCTACGTAAGTATGAATGTGTCCTTCGACAACCAGTTACCAATCTATAAATATTACTAAGATACTTGTGAATATTTTGTCGCAGAAGATACTGCCGACAGGAGCTAGATATGGGTCGTCAAAAGGTACCACATAATAAACAAAGACTGTGAATGAGAGCTAAACAAGAACGCCTTTTTCGGCGAGCGTTTGCTAAGCATCCACACCAGAGCTGAAGCAAATAGACAGCTTCCCATAATATATGGGTTCTCAATGAAGGTCAACATGACCACCATATGACAAGCCGTCAATATGACCTTCGTTTTGAGTATCGAACCGAGAAGGACGGGTATAGTGGGGACCCCGGCCTTCATATCATCTTCGAAATCGCGGACATCGGTCATGATCTATAGACACGGTCAGGGTCAAATGAAGTGATCATGTACTGTCTACTTACAGCGTGGCATGAGCGGTTGACGGTCGACCAGACTATCAGTTGAACGACGTTCCATAAAGACGGCAACGTGTTGGTCATATTGCCTGACCCTGACAAAACGGAGAAGACTACAGTGTAGATGCCACATCTGAAAAAGCATTAGTTTACGTGTGCATCGTTCAAGGCGAACATGCAGACGTACCCTCGAATTATCCCATTAAAAATGGCTTTCATGCCAGGGATGCGTTTGATGACCAGGACAGGCGCAGAGGTGGAAGGCTGGCGCTTGTCTCCGGAAAACCTCCCGGATAAGCGCCTCGAGATCAGCCAAAACTTCTTGAAACTGATCGGAGTGGTCCAGAGCAAGGCAGGAGCGACGAAAGTTGCCGTGGTGAGGAGCGTCGAAATGGGACACTGAGATAGTGCAAATGCAAGAAGCACAGCGCTGACGGCGAGGAATGTTCGTGCATACATAAACCAAGAGGCGAGGCGTGGGTTTTTGGTGGTATTGCGATCTGACGAAAATTCTTCTTCTTTATCTTTGAGGTGGTCAGCGCCCATGGCAAGGATATCCGACGTGACACAGATGGTTATCTGTGAAGACACTTGCATCAGCGATATTTTCTAGTATCAAATTAATGAGCGTACCGGTCTCCAGTCGATACTTGCGTTGGCGGACATGACATAGGTCATGAGGGTTGACAGGGCCAAGCTGTTCATCGATATTACGATGGGTCGCAAGAAGAGCTCATCTGCAAGCTTCGGGATAGTGAGGATTGACATCTTGGATTGAGACTGAACTGTAGACAAATGCTACTCTCGCCCGCTCTTTATACTGGTGCATCCATGCTCCATCGCTCGAAAGATTAGCACTGATCAATTTTAGGTCATCTTATCTGTACGTTAGAATCAACGTTGAAACCTTGTTCAATCCTGTGTTTTTTTGGCGCTGGCCGCTGGCGCCCTTTGGCTTTGGCTTTTTGCCTCACTTGGCGCTTAAGCTTTCGATATCTACGGGCTGAGCAGCCTGAGCTAAAGGTAGTGCGAGAAGTCGCACAAAGTATTCTATAGTCTGTCTCGGGTTGTTCGAATTCACAACAATTGGTCAATAGGACTACATGAAGGCAGTATTGACGCACACACCCGGTTTTCCTGATCCGACGCTACAATCATCGCTTTTGAGTGTGCGCAAGAGATAGCAAACCCTATAGATACTTGTGTGCTGTGGAGCACTCACGTTCAAACATTTTGCCAAGCTTGTTTGGGATTTCTATCATGTGAAGGTGGTGTTGAACGTTCCGCGGACACAATTCACACCGAGTTATTTTTTAAACTCCGCTCGCAACGTGACATACCCCGGTTGCGCATTAGTAACTCGGTGTATGACGCATCGCTCCGTCACTCAGTGCGACAAACTCGGTGCAAGGAGTGTTGAACTCGGTACAAAGATCTCGTTGCGACACATCTCGGCGTACGTACAGGTACAAACTCGGTGCAAAGTAACTCAACGAAGAGATCTCTGACCCGTTGACAGATTCCATACAGCATTTCCTCATTTTTGCAGGGAGAAGCAGGCGGCGCCGATCTTCGATCATGATCGAGCGAGGACATCATGAGTGATTACATAAAAAGTCATGTTTTTGTGGTAACTTACATACAAAGTACTACCATATTTGAATTTAAACTCCGCGGTTCCTGTGAATTGCAAATTCACGCTTCATTGATTGGACCAGACCTGGCTAACACTCCGTCGATGTCGTAGATTTGTTCTTTGGAGCAGTACACCGACACGAGTCACCATAGATGCAATTCATATTTATATTTTTAGCAGAGCTATTCTGTAGTAGTTGGCGGATATTATCAGAGTCTACGAGGAGAGTTTGGTACTCGTGGCTGCCTGATCGTGATGGAACGTTAGAAATGCAGTGGGTTCGTTGTCATTGCGGTCTGCGGTACAGCGGTTCCGAACGCGCATTTTTTACTCGGGCGGAATAGGGCGGTAGATGTACACTGCGACTCATTGGCAGACCAATCACAAAAAAAGCCACTGGCGCCTTGATTAGGACGCGGTGTTACTAGTTGGCAATCAGAGCGCTGAACGCGCCTAAATCCAACTCGAGGGGGAGGCGAAAGTTTCATTTGCAACTTGGACCGTGTTGCATTGACAAAAGAGCGTATTAGCCTTTAGACAAAACGCTTTTACATAAAGGATATATACAAACAAGTACGTGAATCCCCAGATACACAAACAGCAAAGAAAAACATAGCCAAGAAAGAAAGAAAACGTAACAGATAATTCTCGTGTCTTAAGACTATACAAAACTAACAAAGCTAATATTCATGGCCTACTATCTCCGAAGGATGTTTCTGCATCAATTCAGGACACATGCACCCCTCAGTCCACCCATTGGAGGCCCTCGCGGGTCCGGTATACATGGTATAATCGTCCACGGCATCTATTGACCCGTATAAGATCCCTAACGATGGGTTGCAGATAGGTGGAGCGGGTTGGTATTGAGTGGGATGAGGTTTGTGTTGGGTGGGATGGGATTGTATGGGCCAGGGCAGCATGAATTGCGGTTGAATGGACTGCAGTGGCATCGGTTGCGGCGGTGTGGGTTGTCGTTGAATGGGTTGCAGTAGCATGGGTTGGGGAATGGGTTGGGACGGCACATGCTGAAGCTGCATCGGTTGGGGTGGTGTGGGCTGCAGCTGCATCGGTTGGGGTTGGATGGGCTGCAGCTGCATCGGTTGGGGTTGGATGGGCTGCAGCTGCATCTGTTGGGGTGGTGTGAGCTGCAGCTGCATCTGTTGGGGTGGTGTGAGCTGCAGCTGCATCGGTTGGGGTGGTGTGGGTTGCAGTTGCATCGGTTGGGGTGGTGTGGGTTGCAGTTGCATCGGTTGGGGTGGTACGGGCTGCAATTGCATTGGTTGTGGTGGTACGGGCTGCAGTTGCATCGGTTGTGGTGGCAGGGGTTGTAGTTGAAGTCTGTATTGGTGGAATACACCAGTGGGGAGGGGCTCTGCCGGGGGCGAGGGCTGTGCCGGGGGTTGGGACGACGGCATAGTCCCGCCCGACCCTTTTTTGGCAGCGGCACCACGACCGCGCGCCTGAGCAACATACCCATGTTTGTTCTGGCGGTGGCGTGTGAAGCTGGCAGGGTCATGAGTCTTGAAGTCACAAGCATCGTGTTCACAGATGTGACGTTGCTCGCCCGTACTATAATCAAGTAAAATAAAATTGGTGGTCAGGTAGGATCGGTGACGGTGGTGAATAAATACGTACTGTCTAGCGGAATGTATTTGGTAGCTAGTTTTCGTCTTTGTCACAAAGTCGCATTCGGGCCAGGTGCAGCGGTACCCACTGTGAGCGAATGTAAGTGAGGAGAGCTGTATACTATAGAGAAACATGTACTTTTTTAAATGTCCGGCCTCGTGTTTCTTGAACTCGAAGAACTTGGTAAAAATCGCGTTGCAGCCCGGAGAAGTAGAGCAAACGTAGATCTAAATATTCCGAGAGTCCGAGTCAGTCTTCACGTTGATGCATGAGGTATACGCGCGATGAGGCTTACCTTAGACATGGTCGTTATAGAGCAATGGTAATGTGTACTACTTGATTCTGTCTTAAGTGGTGTATTTCAACTTGCGGAGATGGTGGTCCTGTGGAAGTATCGGAAGAAGTATATAAATGATTACCAACTGTGGTGATTTCCACAGTCCTTTTCTGTGGATAGCCCCTTGTGGATTTCGTACAACGATGCTTTGTGGAATATTTGTGGACCATGCCATGAACGCGTGAGTGCATTGTCCTTGAGTAACCACATCGGTCTGAAGGCTTCATTCTGTTACAGCGTGAATACCGGGATCGAGATGTTTTCCTGAGGTAATTTTTATTGACGGAGATGAACTAGACATGGAACGATCGACATGCACGTCGAACTACTTGACATTGATGTCCGACAGGGTCCTGAAGGTCTTTGCCGTCTGACTGGCCTGGCCCATGCAACAAGCAGTAACCTAACCAACCCATGAGTCACTAGGTACTTTATATGTCCGAGAGTGATAGTTCGGTCGTCGTCGTAGGTATGACCGTGGTCGCGATTCGTCAACTTCAGAGATCGGACGCGCGCTTGGTCATCGAGTCCGTGCAGGTCAGTGCATTTGTGTCTATCGCTACTAGCTAATGCTAGAGAGGCACGCAACAAGAGCCACCAATGCCTTCCGAACACAACCCGGTCACCACCTCGTAGGCATGTTCCACGACGACCTCAGAACGCTTATCTCGAACAAAGACGGTAGGAAACTCACCATAAGATAGATCCCAGGTCACAAGGGCATAGCAGGAGACGAAGCCACGGATGAATACGCGAAGAGGGCAGCCAGGGGGACGCATCAGAATGCCATCGCCTCCCAAAATCACTGCGGACCAGAACAAACCACCCCACCATTCTGCCGGACAGCAAAGCAACGGCAAAGCAAACGTTCAACGAGCTGATAGGACGCGAGTCAAGATTAATCATGCAACAATCGCGACGGTATGACAGAATACGCATCGTAGACCCAGCAAACTTCTCCAACCTAATCGACGACTTCCCTTGCCGGCAATGCTCACTCCTCTTCCAGCTCCGAACCGGACACGCTCCCCTCAACAAGTATCTCCACCGCATCTCCAAATCTCCCACAGCACGCTGCCTGCAATGCAACGAACGAGGAGACGGTCAAGTACTTCCTATTAACATACCCACGTTACGCACAACAACGTGTGGCAATCCGCCAAGAATCTAGGACCGGCTAAGTCAACTTCAGCAACTCCTCAACAGCGACAGCTTTATCAAACCCTCTGTTCCGCTACATAGCACGCACGAGGAGACTCGAACAGACCTTCGGAGATGTCTGTCTCCCCACCCTCAGATAAGAAGTAGCGACAACGAATGAGTCGAGCGGACCCAATCGCCGCATAGCGCATACCGCCGCTCCTACCCCAGATGTCTCAACAAACATCCGTCCTCGCTAACGCCGGGACCATTAGCAAAGACTTCACAACCTGGAAGAATAGAACCTCGCACTAGTATATATTGTTTGTATCGTCTACTAGGGCGCCACCCCACCGGACAATAAACAAGAATATCAAAAAAGACAGCGCCATTCCGATGTAATATCGGTACAAAGAGGCGACTTGTCGAGTCTGCCGCGGTCAATACCCTTGTATGAATGTAAGTACAAATGAGTATCAAGAAAATATGCAAATAACGTACTGAAGTATTCGCTCTGGCCCGGTTAGACTCGGACTTGTATGCCCAAGTCGTACATTCTTGCAGGAACCGTATCGTTACTTGAAGGGAGGAACATGTGCAAACATTGCACAAGTGCTAACCGATCCAGTAATCACATGCTCGTTTGGTGCTACACGATGAAGTTGCCCTGCACTGCTCGCTGTATCGCTCAGGCTGTAACCCATTGCGAGCATGGCGATATTCTCGAAACCGCTCAACCTCAATAAATTGTTTCGACACCAGTCATCACGACAACCATTGCTTGTCCTGCTAGCGACAGTTCTCATCCTTCGATCTAGACTGTTTAAGCCCATCACGAACAAGTCAAGCAGTCTACAACCAACGCACAGTCAAAGCGGGCTTGCCATTGATGCTGTTCACTTTCCGCTGGTGAATGCGACTCCAGGACTCGGTCTTCCGTTTGTGCACCAGCTCCGTTCGCTCCTGCGCATAGTCCTCCCTTCGCTTTACACTCGTGAAGCGCTCCTGCTCACTGCTCACTCTACATTTCTCGTTCTTCGTACAGTGCTGAGCATAGCTGTCGCCCGTCTAGATGGTCGCATAGTAAGAGACTTGGTCAGTGCAGATGGGAAGGGGTTCTTGACCGGCCTCGCTCTATGGTTCGCACTTGCTATACCAAGTATATACACGAACTCCATGGTTTGTATTCTCTCTAACTCCCCTTCTATCCCCATTTATTTTACTCTCTTCAGATTCGCCACCTTCAATCTACGCTCTCCCTCAGGTTCAGAACCCGCTTGACTCGATACATCCATGACCTCTACCTGTCACCCGCTCCCTATCTCCGCTACTATCGCGTTCCCCTCCATGGTATCGATCAGTACATTACAGCAGACGTCGACGCTTGGGCAGAGAGCGTTGCTGGTATCTAGTACGACCTTAATTCGTTCGCCTGAACAGAACTAATTCTTCTATTAGTGGCAATCTCATGAAACCCTCCCTCGACCTCCTTCTCTTCACCTCACAACTAGCAAGGTCCCTCGGATTCAGAGGTACTGTACTGCTTTTCATCAATTATTATGTTACTGCCAAGGTTTGTGCAGTACTACATCACAGGAACAATGATAAACATCCACCTAGATCCTCCGCGCCGTAACACCTGCATTTGGTCGTCTCGCAGCTGTAGAAGCCCGTCTGGAAGGCGAATATAGAGCTGGCGTCGGACGTGTCGGGAGAGAGAGCGAAGAAATTGCGTGAGTATTCTTCCTTCTGTCTGCTATGCCATGATCTAACGCCAACGCAGGTTCTATGATGGAGGCGCACGGGAACGAGATATCCTCACCAGAACGTATTTGCGATTGATCAAACATGTCAATTCGATATACAAGGTACGTTCGTGTTTGCTTCACAGATAGCCATTCTGTTTATATCAGACGCTCCTCCATTTTCTACCTCACTCCATCGTCCTTTCTTCTAACCAATCCCTTTCTGCATACATCTCTCCTCATTCTAAATCCAACTATCTCTCAAAAAATCAATAACTTCCTTCATAGATCCGCATCGCATATGAATGGACAGAAGATTTTGTCATCAAATACCTCTGGTCCGCCGCTGGGTACGGGTTGATAGCTGTGCCGTTGCTCATCACGAGGAAGCGCCGCTCGCACAGTGTGGATGGAAAGCAGGGACGAGAGCAGAAGAGTGACACGGATGGTATCGTTGCTGGCAGGACGGAAAGTGAGTGTTTTGGTGCTTGGTATGATCTCCGTCCTCCTTTGTTTGTATCCTCCAACGTACAAACACAACTAACAAATTCGCACAGCCTACATCTCCAATCGCCGCCTTCTCCTCTCCCTCGCAGATGCGGGTGGGAGACTCATGTATGCGTATAAAGATTTGCAGGAGGTTGCTGGGTTGACTGGGCGGTGAGTGCCTTGTATTTCTTGGGTATGCTTATGGGTCTCATTTTGGTTGCTCGTGTTACTCCGCTTTGATATTCTGGATCACTCGACCTATCCACCCACCAAAAGACTCTACACCCTCCTTTCAACTCTCCACAACATCCCCCCACTCCCCTCTGCACTCCCAGGGGACGGTAATACATTCGCGCTGAAGGACGTGGATATATGCATTCCAGGGGATCCCTTTAGCTCTCCCGACTCACCCTCACCCACACCTTCTCATTCCCTCGCTACCATCTCTGAGCTCCAAGCTCACACAGAATCAATTCCCCTACCCCCATCCTCGGAACCGTCACCCTCAGAAACTCTCTCAGGGCCAAACACCACCACCCTCGTCCGCGCACTCACGCTCACCCTCCGACCAGGTATACATCTTATGATTACAGGATCTAACGGGGTTGGGAAGACTGCTGTCGCGCGTGTTCTGGCAGGGCTTTGGGCACCTGGAAGTTCTTCGATGCTCAAGGGCTCAATGCACACTTCCGGCGCGGTTGCGCATCCTGTTGACGATGCACTCACGCATCCCACAGACGACGCAGATGGACGCCCTGGCGTGTTCGTTATCCCCCAACGTCCCTACCACCCTACAGGGTCCCTCTTAGCCCAAGTCATTTACCCACACTCTGTATCTGAGTTCACTGCGTCCTCCGCGGCGTTGTCAAAACTTGAAAGCGTGCTGGATGCTGCTTATCTTGGGTATTTGGTGGACAGGGAGGGTGGCTGGGATGCGGTTAAGGAGTGGAGGGATGTGTTGAGTGGGGGGGAGAAGCAGAGGGTGAGCTTTCTTTCTTTTTGGTGTTGGATCTTGTTTTGTTCGAGGGGTTGTTGGAACGAGATGGAATGATATTGATATCCTTGTTAACAGCTTGCAATGGCTCGTCTTTTCTATCACCGTCCCAAATTCGCGATTCTAGACGGTGAGTCTCTTGCCTCCCTGGCATTTGATCCGATCTGAGATGCAACAGAATGCACATCCGCTGTAAGCTCCGACGTCGAAGGTCAGATGTATGAACACGCAAAGGCATTAGGGATCACCTTGATCACCATTTCCTTGCGGTGCGTCTTTGTGTCGTGTTTATGCGTCGATGCTGATGGTCCACACCTGTAGACCGTCTTTGACAAAGTATCACACGCATATATTGACTCTTACAGGCGATGGAACGGGGAGTTGGACCTTCAACCGGATTGCTAAGCCTCAGGCTCATGAGGGGCGTGGTGAGAGCGGACTGGCGACACCGCCTAGCGAAAGCGAATCAACCTCGGGGGATGGCGGACGCGCACTAACAACAGAGGACACAGGAGCCAAATACCTCGCGTGTGTCCTTGAAGAGATACGTGTGCTGGAGGCACGGATTGAGGAGTCGTGTCAGTGGGAGAAGAGGGTGAGGGAGCTTGGGGAGGAGTTGAAGGCGAAGTGATGTGGTGGTACTTTCTTTGGTTAGAGATTTTTTGTGAGGGGTTGCGAGATATTGTATATGGGCTCGGGAACGGTAGGGCGATGGTTTTTTGACGTGGCATGGTTTGACTGGCATATATGTAGACTGGGTGTACACGACCACATGACAATTGCTATATAAGATATCGATACCACAACGAAACACGACGGTGATCTGGTAGCGCCGCTTGGCTTGCAGTCTATCGTATATAGATAGTGATTGCATCGCAAATTAGTCATTACTATAGTATCTGTTTTCGCCATGGCCTCGTAATCAAGTGGATTGGTGAAGCTAATCACTTCGGAATACTAAATACATAACATGACGAGCTCGGCTGAACACCACAACGAAACAATTAAATACGCATGGTCCCTACATAGTACCGTGGTTGATCATTTTATGTGCTACACATATTCGCAGGTCAACACATCTCCACCAGCCCGGAAAGTACTGAAGGTCGTCATGCCTATTTCTCCGTCGGCCCTGGCTACAAGCTTGGCGTGATATTCTCGCATGCTGAGGATCAGACGCGGTCCCAGCACAAACAGCTGCAACACCTCGGCGATTGACCAAAGACCAAAGTAAATATCACTTCCTATGGACATTGAGGCCTGCAGATAAATTAAGTGAGAGTGGTCAGCTGCAGATGTCAGTTGCGGGTCAGCGTACCGTAAGAATTTGAGACAGTGCGCCAAGTCTCAAAGAAGCCATAATAGCAAAGCTAGCACATGCAGAACTTTAGTGAAAGGAGATAATGACATCCAAACAACAGAACTCACGCTAGAAAGTAAAACGTGTGACTCTTTATTAACATTGTGATACAGTCCCCTATGGTCAATCCTGTCGGTAATTGACGCAGTTCACGGATGTGCTTTATAACGATCCAGAGTGTAAGAAACATAGCAAGGATCTCCCATGCAGCGGTGGATATCAGACTCTCGAAATTCAGATTTGCTATGTAATTGTCGTCAACGCAGGTATGAAAGCCGGAAAGGACGGCTTCCTCTGGTAAATATCCATGAGTCTCTTGTGCTGCAGGCTTTCATTGATAATTTAAACTTACGCGCTGAAACACCCAGGTTTGCAATTACCACAAGAACCCCGGAGGCGATCGTGCAAGTTAGCAAGGCTACAACAAGAAAGATGAACATCTTTTTGGATCCCTGATACAGGGCATTTATCCGAGCAATCATGGTGACTTTAAATGATATTTCAGTCAGGTCAATATCAATAAGGAAGCCGCGGGTGAGCTCACCTCCCAGCATGGCATTGACGATGACAGGGGTCCATGTGCCTATGTACCATATCATAATGCCTGGAAACCCAGTTACTTGGTAACAGAATAAATACTTCAAATGAACTCACAGCTGTTGAATGTCATTTTTCTTGAAGACACAAAGCAGCAATGAATATCACTCACTCCTATATAGAATAGTAGTTAGTAGTTGAATGGGAATGGCAGGCATCGGTGCAGAATACCCACTACATCGGTAATCGAGACAGGGAGAATCGCTGCATGCCGCTAGTTAGAAGGAGCAAACATAATTGAGGGCACATACACAGGATGTTAATGCTGGTTGCGAGAGATGACTTATTAACATGTTACAGTGTTATGTATATAGCTCTGCAAACGTACACAGAAAATAGTATTCCAATGTAGCGCACCTAGTATATGTTGAAGTCAGCACAACATGCCAAATGCGCAGCGGCGCTCGTAGCAATAACGAACACAAATATAGAGAGCGGTCATGAAGGACCAACGTTGCCTCTGCCCCGAGTCAACTACATCGTCCTATTTGGTTCTGATACAGGACTTTGCTCACTAAGATCAGTTCGAACTGTTAAATTATTATTAGTGAGATTTACAGGACATGACATCAACTTACCTCTTGTCCGAATGTTAATACTTGAATACTGTATACACATCAATGATCCCTCATGACGTATTATCTCGCTCACCCCAGTCGTATACAACCACAGTGGAGCTTGCAGCTGCAAAGCAATAATCAACGATATTGAGATATCACCGTTGGCATCCCAATTGCTCCACGTACCTACAAAATAGTTGATAAGAGAAGAATAACTGATGAACGGCCACTGAGTGGGATCATTTGAGACTATGGTCATATCAGAATGGGACGTATGGAGTGCATGCAGATATACCGCCGTAAATCGTTTTTATAGTGATTGGTTCGGGTCATGTCAGTGGCCATGTAGTCAACTAGAGCGTGTAGGCCGGGGCAGAACTACTGGGCTAGGGTCTGTTCTGCCGGCTATAGCCGGCAGAACTGGCAAAACTCCGACTCACCGAATCTAGCTAGGCTGGTATGACATTCCTAGCGACGACGTCAAACGATTGCCGCGTCCTATCCGTCATCAATCTGCATCACGAGGCTCTGTCAAGAGTGGAGGTGCTATTTTTCAAGATCCTGTGTAGTCTCGACAGCAATATCAACTGAAATTGCCATTCATCAGTGATGCGAGAGGACGTCCTCAAGCATGCACACGATCAAACGACAGATTGGCAGGAACGTTTGAGTCAATGTCGACTTCGGCGTGACTATCTAGACTCGTAAGCAGTCTTGTGTCTTTGAGAAGTTGACGCGCCATTGACCGCAGGCTAGTAACTATCAGGAATTATTAATATTGTTTCAAACATCATCCGATCATTATGGACGTATTACTAACAGAATGAAATTAGCTCATTTCTCGCACCATGGCTTGTGTAGCTATCAAGGAAGCACCTTCAAAAACAAAGGCCACTATGCGTAGCAGATGAACAGATCCAACTCAGTGGGGGCAAATCTTCAAACAGATGCGGCACCAGTGACCATGTAATCTTTAATCTAATGCACACTAACTGCAGGACTTCGTTATATCAAAGCTGTGTATCGACAGAGAACGGTCGGTCATAAAGGAGATGCCGATGCCCAGGCCAGGTACTTGATCTAATTAGACGTTACAGCTGGGCATGAGGCCTGATGGCGTGTCTAAACCTGTGGGTTTCTAGCTTGGTGCGGTAAAACCTTTTACCGCTTGCCATTTCATGGTACCTCCTGCTTCCAGGTACTGTATAGTGATACACTTCGTTCACTCAGCCATGCGATTATGTCACGACTCCCTTTGGTATTGGTATCGGTCCGCTCGTACATGTGAGTTTGCCTCGTTGAATTTCGCACTTTCGTTGTTCTTTTATAGCTTGTGTGCAATCATACTTACAAAGTTTGGTCCCAACTCGCTCTAGCCTTTATCGTCGTTGTCAGTGCTGCGCCTCTGGTGATGAATCGGCACTTAAACTAAACTATACTACATTTGGTCAGTGATGATGTGAGATCCTTCTCAAAGAATGAGGAGGCTCGAACTAGGAACGGGAAAGAGATTCGGTCTTGGATCAAAAGACTCGATTAGCTGCTGTGGATCATGCATGGGAATGGGAACGGGACTAGGTAGGGTAATAGTCAGGAAAATGTACGTAGAACTATGAATATTAATGAGAGAGCTCACCTTTTTTGTATCCTTGTTTATTGGTCACGCTATGCTGGACATGACATACTGTATCGTACTACGTTGTTTGAATCTGGCGTTTGTTCAATCTATGCTGTACAGTGGAGAGATCACCTCAGTCATATGTTAATAATACTGGGATTTTCCAGATGGTTTTGCGACGGTGTCGCATTATACCGACAGGTTCCTTTTTCCTCAAGTTATCGCCGTTGATAGCGTACAGAGGCGTGGGAAAGTATGCCGAACACCTTTGATTCTTGAAGCCCATCTTCATCCAAATGACGCGGCAAAAGTATGCAAATTTTTGGGAGATTGGAATTCAGTAATAAAGTGTGAGTGTGATTTTACTCTTGGACTAGAACCACTGACTGCCGTTGATCCTTGCTAGTTGCTCAGTCGAGAGGTGGTTTGACTACCACCTCTCCGATGATTTTCGTTTACTCTCGAAATGTAAACACATCATTCTGTGAATCCTCTATGCGTTCCAAGATACTCAAGCGGTCATAAAACTGAAAATCCGTTGATCAACCTGTCCACACCGTGACACTACTAGTAACTCACACGTCGTGCCATCAACGTTACTGCGCCGATGCGACAACAAAAAAACAACTCACTACCGCACTAGGAGCATACAAAGAGAAACTGCCAGCGGTAAGTCATGCAATTAAATATGGAATGCATACTCATGCTCACGCAACCGTATTGGGGGCAACCTCGACAATTTTTCGGGATGATGCACCAGAGGGGACAATTTTCGCTTTCAGTGTCACTGGCAGATATGTATGTTGTCAAAGCAGCAACAACGGCGAGGACAAACAAGATACGCATTGTCACTTGTGAGGATGTGATGAAGAAACGAATAAAATAATTCTGAGGACGATGCAAAAGATGCCTTGCTTTTTTATGATATGCTGGATATCATGAGGATGTACGATAACCTAGTATGCAATGGAATTACCTTTCGAATAAATGATATCTGTGATGCCAGCAAACTGCCACCTAAGATCTGCAGCTTGTAGGAGCAAGGTATTGGCAATTTGGTATGGATATCCCATGGATATCCACCCGTGACTCTCAGATGAGCAAGCTAGTAATTTGCACTTACTGGACGGGGATCTCGGTGTGAGCGTGAATCCATTTGGAAGTCACCTCCGTGCAACGAAGGGGATGTCGACGCATCAATCGATCACATATAAGTAATACCGAACAGAAACAAAAACTCACGTTTGCACCAAGGCTATCAAGGGTGTAGGGTCGACCTGTACAAACCTGGCATCCTCACGACTTCGCTGGTCTCCCGATGTAACAATGTATGGTTGGGTCAGCAAGCTCGTACAGCAATTTGCTTTCGTTCTTTGGGTATGGATCGTCCCGTAGTAGATCGAGATTGACCGTCATAACGATTGATCGGAAAATACAAATTAAAATACAACTGTGTATGTAGGGTAAAAAAAGTTGTCCTAGCATTATACAAATGACTGTAAGTAATATTAGGCCGAAAAGGTAAAGTCGTGATTCCCTGATGCTACCGTGGTTGATCAGTTGGATCGTATTATATGCTACACGTGTTCGCCAGTCAATACATCCTCACTAACCTGGAAAGTACTGAAGGTCGTCATGCCTATTCCTCCGTCGGCCCTGGCCACGAGCTTAGCGTGATATTTTCGCATGCTAAGGAGCAGACGCGGTCCCAGCACAAACATCTGCAATACCTCGGCAATTGCCCAAATGCCAGCGTAAACATCACTTCCTATGGATGTTGAGTCCTGTAGAGAAATGATGAGAGCGCTCAGTTGCAGAGGTCAGTCGTAGGTAAGCGCACCCTAATACTTTGAGACAGTAAGCCAAGTCTCAAGGAAGCCACAATGGCAAAGCTAACACGTGCGGAACTTCAGTGAAACAAGATAATGTCATCCGAATCACCGAACTCACGCTAAAAAGTAAAACGCGTGACTCTGTATTAACATACTGAAACAGTTCCCAATGGTCGATCCTGTCTTTGATTGTCGCAGTTCACGGACGTGCTTTATAACAATCCAGACTGTAAGAAGGAAGGCAACGATCTCCCATACAGCGGTGGATATAAGACTCTCGTAAGTCAGATCTGTCTTAAACGTATCCATGTAGTCGATGCAGGTATGGAATCCGGAAAGGACGGCCTCCTCTGGTAAATATCCATGAGGTTCTCGTGTTTCAGGCTTCCATCGATAATTAAAACTTACGCGCTGAAAAGCCCAGGTTTTCAATTGCCACCATAACTGCGGAGGCGATCGTGCAACCCAGCAAAGTTACAACAAGAAAGATGTATAGCCTTTGCGATCCCTGGTACATGGCAACTACCCGGGCAATCATTGTGACTTTGGATGATATTTCAGTCAACTCAGTATCAGTAAGGAAGCTGTGGATGAACTCACCGCCCAGCATGGCATTGACGATGACAGGGGTCCATGTGCCTATGTACCATATCATGACGCCTGGAAATCGAGTTACTTTGTGGTGGAATAGATACTTCAAATGAACTCACAGCTGTTACGAAGTTATTTTCCTTGAGGACACAAACCAGCAAAGAATATCACTCACTCCTAAAATAGGAGTGTAGTTAGTAGTTGAGTCGGAACGGCAGAAACAGGTGCAATATACTCACAACATCTGGAATTGAGACAGGGAGAATTGCTGCACGCCACTGGTCAGAAAGGGCTAAGTTCGAACACATTTGAGGATACTTACACAGGATGTTGATACTGGTTGCGAGATATGACTTATTAACACATTGCAGTGTTATTTGGATAGACGTACACAGCAAATAGTATTCCAATATAGCGCACCTAGCATATGTTGAAGTCAGTACAAATATACCAACTGCTCGTAGCAATGACGTACACAAATATAGAGAACGGTCATGAAGGACCAACGTTGCCTCTGCCCCGCGTCAACTCTATCGTCCTATTTGGTACTGATACATGATTATGCTCACCAAGATAAGTTCGAACTGTTCAACCATTCTTAGTGGCGGATTTGCAGGTAATGACATCAACTCACTTCTTGGCCGAATGTCAATACTTGGATAGTATTGTATACATATCAATGATTTCTCGGGACATATTATCTTGCTCACCCCAGTCGTACACCACCACAGTAGAGCTTGCGGCTGTAAAGTAGTAATCAACAACGATATTGA